TATCAGCGCTGCTTAGGTCGGAGCTTCCCACCAAGAGTTTGCACACTGAACGATTTGAATCCACCGGTCCTTGTAGAAAAACGCACAGGCGTGGAACGTGTGGCGGTGGATTCCAGTAACCGAACAAGTTAGGGAACTGTTCGCTGTGTTTAGTATTACGACCGACGCAAAAGTCCCATATGCCCCAAGCTGTAATCGACGACATGCCGACGGGTTAAAGCTAATATAGTCAATCTCGAATGGCACCACCGTAGTTGTTAGACGTGGCAGCTATCCAGCGTACTGAGCTCCGCGACAGGCCTACGCGGTAAGACCGGTTCACTGTATAGCCTACCGTTAGTCCGGGGGGAGGGGGCGTTAGTTCAAAGAACAAAGCAATTAAACCATGGCCAGTGAAAGACAAGGCACGAGTGAGCGAGCAAGAGAGTAACGGTAAGAAAAATGGGAGAGACCCAAGGGGGGGAGAATAACCAGGCTAGGTAGGCACGTAGGTAGGTAGGTAGAGGACGTATCAGAGGCTGAAAGACCATGAAAGGCACAAGCGAGATGATTTGCCTTTCACAGCAACACATGGATGGGTTGGGGAGCATTCGGGGGCCAGGGGCTGGCCCGTGTATCCAGACAGATGCATACCGTACACTACTATTCGTACATGGCATGGAAGCTGGGGTGTTCGCAGCCGAGTCGAGAAGCCGGGGGGGAGGCAGAACAGAGGACTGGGAGAGAGACGACACCAGAGCGCAAAGCAAGCAAGCAAGCAAGCTGCGAGAGTGTGCGAATGGACCAAAAGGGTGTGTGGGTGGGTTTCCTGGTGAGATTAGCCCGTCCCGTCCTGGTTAAGCAGAAGACCGGGCTTATGAGATGGGGCGCGATAGGGGGCCTTCGATGACTACAGTCGTCATCAAGTTTTCCGTACTGTCTAATCTTGTGCAGTGGGTAGTGCACATAATGCAGTTTTCGGCAGGGAATCACTGGCAAGAGTGAGGTCCCCAGGCAAGTATCCGTACAACCATCGACATTTAATGTGGGGGCATTGCAGCACGGGCCATGCGGACACAGCCGCACACTGTGCTTGACACCAGACGACTATCGCGCTGCATCAGACGCCATGTCTCATCTTCCATTTCTCAATATCACGGCCTTATGCCCGCCCAGCTCATATTAAAGAAATACCCATGGTGGAAACACAAGAAAGGCTCCATTCTGGTGCAGGAGTGAGCGAGCCCCCCCCCAAAAACCGCCCCAGTTGCTAAAAGTATGATGGGCGACGACGATGCCTACTTGGACTTTAGAGCAATGGGGGCCCTGGCCTAGCAGTAGAAGCCTTTGTTTTAAACACCTTTTTCAGCTCAACCCAGCGGACCGAGTCGAGCTGATAATAAGCGGCAAGGCAGGCAGGCATATCGCGGGTTTGATGTTTCGTTAAATACTTGAGGCGACGAGGCGCGGTAGCCGTTGCTGGGAACATCCAAGCTGTCAAAGAACTGCGCGCCTGTGTCTCCCGAGGGGTGAGATTGCATCGTGTCCTAGCTCTTTATTGACCCTATCGCTCGGCATCCCGGTTCCGTCATTTCGTTTTCCTTAGACTTCCCTATTCTTCAAGGCGGCCCCGCTCTCACAGACAATTCCAGCTACGGGAGCAACGCAAACCAAAGAGCCCACAACCCTGCCCGGATAGAGAGGAAGAGAGACATTCTGAGGGTGACTTGTCTGACTGTGCTTCCGACAACCGACCGACCTGCCTGGGTATGGAGGGCACCGGTCGTCGCATCCGATGATGCACTCCTTACCCGTCCCAGTTCGATTTTTGGTGCCCTGATTACGGAGTAGCTTCGAGCCTTTGGAAAGTGTGGTAGCGGATGCTCCCACCACCGCCGCCTCTACGTGAGGGCGCTGTCTGGTCCAACCCCAGATCAGAGACAGGGTAAACTCAACCGGACGCTTTCTCATTCAATGCGTGCCGGACCCCCCGTAGCAAGAGACTTGACCCAGCCGCCGCGACACCATTTGACAACCCCCCCGGTCAGCCAACCCTTTTCCTCTCTTTTTTCCCCTTTATTTTCCCTTTTTTTTTTGTTCTTTAATTGGGGTGACGACTCGGGCGCGTAACAGATGAAGGGGGCCCTACGTGCTAAGCTAGATGAGTGGTCGACAGGGTGGAAGAAGAGCTGCAGCGCATTGCCTGCAACCACCACTGCTTGGCCGATGCTCGCTGTCAGGTGCTTAGCGCATGAGGATATTGGGCGGTTCGGGTTTGCCTATTCCATGGTCATTGTGTGTCTTCTTACGGTCTGATATTCGCAGTTTCTCGTTCTCACTCTCACCCAGCTTATTTGCTTGTGTACCAACCTCTGTACGCATCAGGCAGAGTCCGTGAGTTTGTCGACAATCCCGCCAAGCCTCGACAGCCTTGCAATCGAGCAACCAGTTGCAGCCCGCCATCCCAATTCCAGTCCCCAAGGATTCCACAAGCCTCGAAAGCCGCGAGGAACGAGAACATCCCTCCCTCCCAACCAACTAGTGGATAGATGCGACAATCTCACATAACTGGTGGAGATCCGGTCCACCCTTGGCCATATTCCCATTGCTTCTCATTGGCCATGTTACCGCCCGGTCGAGTGACGGATCTGGGTAACCCACTCACTCTCTCTCTCACACACACACACACTCTCTCTCTCTCTCTCTCTCTCTCTCCTACCTTCACGCTCACACTCCCTAATGCAACACTCCAGCTCATTCACATGCCGTAGCAAGCCAAATGAAGAGAGCCACTCGGGTGCACGCATCCCACAACAGGGGGGGAAGAGGTTCAACCGTCATGCAAAAGGGAAATACCACCGTGCGGTATGGCCTTCCCGATTGCGCACCCACTGCGACTCTTCCGGGAATCGTCCAGGGTGTTGATCCCCCCGAGCGAATTTCCCAAGCACGTCTCCCAACGTGGATGTCGTGCGCCGGTTCCTGTTTCTGCGTCCCACCATGGTTTTTTTTTTTTTTCCTTTTTGTCCCCCCCTCTACGGAGTATCTAGTTAATGGACGGATAGTGCACGTTATCCGTACCACGGACGGAACAGCTTTCTTCTTCCTGTCGCTTGCTGCCTTACGTTGTTTCTCTTCCCTTGCTGTGGTACGGCTCCCCGTCGTCTGTCCATACAACGGCCAGGTCCAAGAAACGTTGGAAACTCGCCCCGAGAAAGTCAGCCAGCCCGCCCATGGTTAGTGCATATTGGCTTTGACGGAAAGCTCTCTCGGACTGTGTCCCCACCCCCCCCTCACGGGCCACGGCCGCAATATCCGACGAATGACCCTCAAACCCCAAAGATAAAAAGACACACAATGGGTGTTGAGGCTGTTGGGTGGTCCAGAAAGCTCCCGATAAGTTTCAACCACAAACGCTAACACTACGGCGGCAAGCCCCGATAACACTCTGACCAGCCCACACACGGAAGAGAAAGAGAGAGAGAGAGAGACTCATAGGTGCCGTGCAGTGCACGTAAAGGCTATTTTGCGGGGCCAGCCCAGGTTCCGTCTCTTAGTTCCCCTCTTCCTCCATACTGGTACACTCCAAAAGGAGTATCAGGACAATATGTCTTCACTTATTATTGGATCGCTCGGTATTCGTGAGCAAGATCCTCCCCAGCCGTCAGGTCCGGCTTCAACTCGACCTACCACTACCCCGGCAGTCTCAGCAAGTACAAACTAGGACACGTAGCTGGAGCGAGTGCTGTTTGCCCTTCTTTACCCCCTAGCTATGGCATTGGTACCTTGGGAATCACGGAACAGTGTAAGGATGTCATTTCAGTCCTAAGCTGCCTGTCTACCCACCAACTTTCACCGCTTATGCTTCTGCCAGAGTCCCTGGTCTGGTCCACTTCCATTGTGGCGGACATAGAAAGTCGAGGCTTCCGAAAAACTGTCAGTCTAGAGGCATCAGAAGGGTTGGTTTACAGTTGATGATCCAATGTCCTTCATATGCGACCTGTCCTAAGCATAGGAGGCAGCCTCACAAGCACTACGCCGCGTCTTCATTCCCTTTCGATGGCTTTTTGACAAGAATCTGGTTCTCGAACATGGCGACCTCGTCCTCGGGAAAGGGGTAGGATGTGTACTCCTCCTGTTCCATCTTCCTTGTACGCGTAGAGTCAGGATCGGAAATCCAGGGGCTGCGGATATATCAGCTCTTGTTACGGCCCTAGTCTTTAGACATAATTAGGCAAACCTGATCCACGTCTCATTGCCGTCGGGGAACCTCATATGTTCCCAGTCCATCTGATCCATTTCAGGGGACGTTTCGTTGTCCCAGATGATGACGGCTGGCCTGGCCAGGTCCGTCACGATCTGCTTGACGGGTACAGTCGGAGCGACGCTGAAGACCAGCGTGTGTTCGTCGGTGTCGAGGAATCCCTGTGGATCATTAAGCACCACGATGTTGCGGCTCTTGAGAAATTCGATGGAGGCTTGGGTGTACGCTGGATCTTGCGAGTAGCATCGAATTTCCCGGCCGGTGCGGTCGCCTAGTATTTGTGCCAAAGTTAACGCGACCGCGTGCTGAATATGACTTCGAGGCTCGGAGTGGTGTTGGCTACATAAATAGTGTTCATTATTATCGGAATCAGGGGTCAAGTCGCCTAGACCGAAGCAGATGATTTTGTTGATTACATCGGAGGTCAAGACTAGGGATAGGGTGTCTTTGAGCTTTCGACATTGCGGGCTCTTCTTCCACGTCTTCTCGTGTTTCTCGAACGCCGCACCTATCTTGCCAACGGCTAAGGCGATTTGGTCTGGAGTCATTTGGGAGGGCAAGATGGTGAGCTTCACGTCTACAGAACAACAAGGTTTTGGAAGTTCGTCTGGCTCGTCCGATGGCGACGGGATGACCAGGCGCTGAATGGGTCTGTAGCTGATTGAGAGTGTTTCGCTGTCAACATTCGTGTTAGTTCTCAAACCGCATCACGGGTCTGCCGTCACCCACTCTTCCTCAAACTGGTCCCATCCGATAGGATCCCAGTTCATTTTCCCATCCATGCCCTGGATCTGGACAAGAAGGCTCTTATGGGCTATTTGCTCTGCCAGACTGGCTAATTGGCTCTTGGTAAAGAGTGGCTGGCCGGCATCGTAGCGCTCTTGGAGCTTTCTCGAGAGCTCAAGACGCTCTCGTCGCCAATCAAAGTTATTTGACTCCACTATTTGCTCCGTGTGAGCGGCGTCATCGGTCTCCATAGTGTTGTAGGGTTTCCTGGGTCTCCGTGTTGCTGACGTGCTTTCCCGTTTGGACGACCCTGTGTTGAATGTCAGTGATGCTACTTGAGTGCGGTATACTGCAAGATCCCTGCGATATCGTTGCTGGACGGGTTAACTGATAGATGGATGTTTGGCGGATGGTTGAAAGAAGATGGTTGTAGCCGTGTTGGACCGGAGCTCTGCTTGTTTGGTTCTAGTAAGGCAAAGCCTGCTTGGCCTTTCCATCTGGGCCACAGCCGAAGGGACACTTCTTTCCTCACAGCTCGCAGCATCCCAGAATAAGGCTGCAACGGATGTCGCACTGCCGTTCCTGCTCGTCAGAAAATGCATCTCAAGTCTTGGAAGAAGGTCTTATCATCCGTTCTTGCCCCTCTCACAGATGTCGATTGAAGCCGGGGGCTCTGTTTCCTCACAGGACATACAGCAGTGCACCATCTCAAACTACTCTATCACCAACAATAATACTGCCAACAACAGATCCGATATCGAGCCCACCCCCCACCCAAAGTTAAGTAAGTTTCGGTTCTCGGCCCAATCTGACTTTCAACCCATTGTGGCAATCCCTTGGAAACAACGAGTAAGATGGCTTACGATAGACAGACTGAGAACGAGGCGTCATTTCAGTATTCCGAAGAAATGACTCCCAAGTTTTCACAGACTATTGGGACCCGCACTGGCATGTCTCGGCGCTCTCAATAATCCATTTGAGTAAGTCCTAACTTGGACATGAAGAACTGTGTTCAACCAGATCATCTTGCGACCTCCGCCATAGCCACTGGCCACCCGCCGTGAGTTACCAATAGTTTTGTGATGGCCGTCTGCGGGCCGTCACAGCGAGCTACTTAGTCTCCATTATTGCGTGCAGAAAGATAGGCATCAGAACATGCTCCAGAAAACAACCAGGACATGGTGCAACTGAGTGACCAGTAAACATCGGAAGTTATCAACCGAGAGTGTACCCCGGTCCCATGAAGTTCAGATCCAAAATGTCATCATGTGACCAGGTACCTAAGTAACCACGCGCACCGCGTGCTGAGGTTCCCCCACATTCTTGGGGCGTCGTCGTCTTGAATGTGATTCGCCAAAGCGTCCCCCCCGGAGATTCTGGCGGAATTAGTGTCATCCCCACCGCAAACAGCCACTCACAAGCCCGGGAACTTTCGACTCTCAGCGGCTGGCTAGGACCCCCCTCCAGTGGGGTGCCCAAAGCGACCGCTTTCCCCAAGTTATCCACCAGTTCGGGTGGCTGCTGGCACTGCCTCGGAACTCCACTGCCCGCCGGCATTCACATGTCGGAATGAGATCACGAGCCAGCGTCCCCCAAAGCGTTCCTTTCTCCAATAGCAAACGACTCATGCCTCCAAATGCGACCACGTGCTTAGCTGGAATTTCCCAAGCGTACACACATGAGGCTAGGACCGTCCGTCACCATCGAACAAACAGAACCTCAATTGCGACGCATTCTGTGCTCCTCCATTCGTCGGCAATAGCGTCGCACATCTCGCAGAATTGAGTTTCCATCCGGTGATGGCTGTGCATTCGTAGCAGCATCATACCCGCGGCGAGCCTGCCCGACTCGATCCCACCATCACCAACACATACCGTAAATCCCCATCATCGTCGCCGCCATGGCCGAACAATCAACCCTCCGCCAATCGGCCGCAGAAGAGGCCATCGCCGCCTTCTTCGAGAAATACACAACCCTCATCCGCTCCCGCCTCCAAAGCACGTCTCGCACAACTCGCCTGCTCGGAACACTTGCCCTCGCTGCATCCATCATCCTGGGCGCCGCAGGAGGCAGGCGCTGGTGGAGACAGCGCCGCGAGGAGAAGGAGCAGGGTCGTAAGCTCGTCCGCACAAACTCGTGGCTGCACAATAAGGATGGCTCCCGCACCATTTACGTCCCTTACAAGGATGGCACCTCCAAGGTCGTCATCCAGACGACCAAGCCGCTGACATTCGAGGCGCATCGCCGGCTCTTCCTCAACCCGCCACGGGTATCCGGTCTCGGCGACGGTACCGTACCCGCGGCGCAGACCAAACCCGGGCTGAACTTGGCTTTCCTGCACCAGTTTCTGAGTCTGATGAGCATTATGATTCCGAGATGGTCGAGCAAGGAAGCCGGCTTGCTCTTAAGTCATAGCGTATTCTTGATGCTTCGCACATATTTGTCTCTTGTCGTCGCCCGACTTGACGGTGAGATCGTGCGCGATCTTGTCGCCGGGCAGGGCAAGGCCTTCCTCTGGGGACTCGTGAAGGTGAGTGATCGCAGACATATCCCAACTCTTTTGTCGTGCTAATAGTAAACTTAGTGGTGCGGTCTTGGTGGTTTTGCATCGTATACCAATGCGATGATTAAATTTCTCGAGTCCAAGGTGTCCATCGCTTTTAGGACTCGTCTTACTCGGTATATCCACGACCTCTACTTGAATAACAACCTAAACTATTACAAACTCTCCAATTTGGATGGAGGCGTAGGCCAGGGTGCGGACCAGTTCATCACACAAGATCTGACACTATTCTGCGCCGCCGCCGCGAACCTGTACTCGTCGCTTGGCAAGCCTTTTGTCGACCTTTGCGTCTTCAACTACCAGCTCTTCCGGTCCCTCGGTCCGCTGGCTCTCACGGGGCTCCTGAGCAACTACTTCTTGACAGCAAGCATTTTGCGCCGGCTTTCGCCGCCCTTTGGCAAGCTCAAGGCGGTTGAGGGCCGCAAGGAGGGCGACTTCAGGAGTTTGCACGCGCGCCTGATCGCTAATGCCGAAGAGATCGCCTTCTACGGCGGCGCCGATATGGAGAAGCAATTCCTCAACAAAGAGTTCAAGTCGCTTAAGAATTGGATGGAAGGCATCTACATGCTCAAGATTCGTTACAACATGCTTGAGGATTTCATTCTCAAGTATAGTTGGAGTGCCTACGGCTACCTCCTGTCGTCGCTACCAGTATTCCTCCCAGCGTGGGGTGGCCTGGGCGGCGCTGCCGAGCTGGACCAGAACGCTCCGAAAGGCAGCAGGGAGCGTGGTCGTATGAAGGAGTTCATTACCAACAAACGTCTCATGCTATCACTGGCAGACGCTGGCGGCAGAATGATGTATTCTATCAAGGACCTATCGGAGCTCGCTGGGTACACTAGCCGAGTCTACACGCTCATCTCAACGCTCCACAGAGTCCATGCCGATGCCTACTTCCTCCGCGGACAACAAAACGAGCTGTACTCGCTTTCGGATGTTCAGGGAACCATCCAGAAGGGGTTCGATGGCGTCAGATTTGAGAACGTGCCTGTTGTTGCACCGTCATTGTGGCCCAATGGCGGCGAAGAGCTGATGGAGTCGCTCTCCATGGTCGTTAGGAGAGGAGAGCACCTTCTCGTAAGCCCACTTTGACTGATAGAAAAGTACCGCGCAAGCTAACATTACCAGATCTCGGGACCTAACGGGGTGGGAAAGACGGCAATTGCTCGCATTCTTGCGGGTCTTTGGCCAGTGTACCGGGGTCTTGTTAGTCGACCCAAAGATATTGGCCAGGATGGCATCATGTTTTTGCCGCAAAGACCATATCTCAGCATCGGCACGCTCCGTGATCAGGTCATCTACCCCGATGGCCATCACGATATGCGCGAGAAGAGAAAGTCCGAAGACGACCTAAAGCGTATCCTGGAGGATGCTCGTCTCGGTTACCTTCCCGACCGTGAAGGTGGCTGGGATACCCGTAAGGAGTGGAAGGACGTTCTCAGTGGTGGTGAGAAGCAGCGCATGGGTTTTGCTCGTGTGCTGTACCACGAGCCTCAGTTTGCAATCCTCGACGAAGGAACCAGCGCCGTGTCCCAAGACGTCGAGGGACTGCTCTACGAGGTGTGCAAGGAGAAGGGAATCAGTGAGTAGAGCCATTGCGCATACCGTTGAAAATATGCTAACGCCGAGCAGCCCTCATCACCATCTCAACTCGCGCTTCCCTCAAGAAGTACCACACCTACAACCTTATCCTTGGAGGAGGAGAACGTGGCGACGAATGGGAATTCGAAAGAATCGGAACGGAGCGGGAGAAGATGCAAGTCGAGAAGGAGCTCCAGGATCTCCGGGAACGCCTTGAGCAAGTGGAGACATGGAAGGCGAGACGGCAAGAGATCGAGGAAGAGCTCTCGCGCGTGTGGGTAGCTGGTGGTGACGACTTGGACCCTCCGTCATATGCCGCGAGTGAGAGCGAATCGGCGAAGAGCAAGGGCAAGGGCAATGAGTCGCTGCAGGATGTGCAGGGTGATGCTTAAGAGGAAACGCTCAGCTGATCCCGCATCTGCACGACCATCATATACATCATACATATACGGCTATCTGGTTATCTGGAAAGGAGGATGGTTTTCTCCGTGTTCAACGAGAGAAAGAGCCGTGTATTAACAGTTTGGCTCATAGAACCGCGCGCAAGATATGGCTTCCTCACCAAATATATTTCCATAGTTCTAGGCTACGAATGGCCCATGTCTTCACAATGCAATCCGCACATCTGCTCGCCGTAACCATCGCCATTCTGGCTTCGTGGTCTTTGAGCCTCACAAGAAGTCCCCTCCAACCTCCGACGATAGTTCGATTCGTCTCTGGGGTTGTGCGGCGAACGTCGCGCCACTAAACGATTCATTCCTCGGGAGATCTCTTGTTATTCACGTCTTGAAGCGGCTAGCGATGTCTCGCTCTTGGTCCGTCGACCAATGACGGCCCTGGTCAGACTGACGCTATCGTTTAGACTATTTACCAAGCGACTATTTACTCAGCCGCCTCGACGTCAACATCCTGGGCGGGTCTCCGATGCCGATATGTCCACTCTGTGTTATCGTTGTCTACCTCCTTGCTTTACGATCCTTCCACCGGCTGGCCTGTACATGCAGGTCTGCAAGTATCTGCCCATTTTGGCCTACTCCATACTAGCGCCGGACGATCTATGACAGCTCGAACCTTTCCGTGCAACCTCCGTCCCCGAGAGCGGCCAACATATTCCATTTCAAAATGTCATGTTGCACCGCGCCTGTAGCCTCACATCCTTACTGCTCAGAAGAACGCTCTTACTGTTCATTGGTTTTGGAACGCCGTTATCATTACGCGCTAAATGCTGGTATACGGAACGTTACAGACCGGTTGCCCGTAGAGAGCCAGGACTCAGCCGAAGAGACAACACGTGGAAACGCCACGCATCACCCATCTCAAAGGCTCAGCAGCGCTCTATATTCGGACTTGCCATATCAAGGCTTGACAGGATCCCTCTCTCGGGTACTTCCAGGCCAGATGGTTCATACTGTGGCATTGCTTGATTTCCATAACAAGCTTTCCTCGGGGCACGAAATCTCAAACGCGGATTTCCTTTGCTCTTTCCATGCCTGCTTCACACTAGTCCTTTGTCTCTCTGAGCCGGTTGGATGTGGCTGACCATCCCCCCGTAAACCATTTGACGTTCTTTGTTCGCTGACGTTGGCAGAATCGTCAGCCCGAGGGAAAATCAACAACGATACCCGACGCGTGGTGTTTTTTTCGGCACCCGTCGACCTGAGGGGGTTTCGTGGACCTATATCAAGCTTGATGTCTGAGACTTGTTCAGCGTTCATGCGATTCTAAAATCCGATACTCCTACAAACCCAAGGAGTTCGACTCAGTTCAGTCAACGTCATTCGTCTTAATGCCCACAAGTCCCTTCCGCCAAACTCGATAGTCAAGAGCCGGGTATCGCAACTCAGTCCACCTACGCCTGCTGTATATCTTTGGGCTTGGAAGTCGTCCGCGCGTTGTAACGGAAAAGCAGCTAAGCGAGAGGTGACGGTATCGTACTCTCTCTTTGGTTCTGTTCCTCCTCCAGAGAAGACGACATTTGCAATAAGCCGGGTCATAGACGGCCACTCTTGTGAGCATCGATATAAAGGGGTCTACCTCAAACAAGGACTTTTCAACCCTCTTTTCCGCATCCACAACTCTACACGATGCCCAAACCCTCAACCATTGGCCGCACCACGAAGACGGTTGGCCGCATGCCAGTCATCTCGGAAGACGGATCCACCACAGCCGTCACACGCCCACCGCCCGTGGGACTCGCTCCTCCTCCGCCATTTCGGAGCACAGCACCGAGATTCTACGGCCGCTCCCCCACAGGACGACCCATCTATCCACATCCGTCTTACCCCCCTCCGGCCTACTCCCGCAGCCCATGTCGAGATAGTATCAGGAACGCCCTCGGAACACGTAGCAGCCTCAGCACACGCAGTATAAACAGCATACGCAGCGTCAGTAGTGTCGATAGCAATGGAAGCCCCTTGAACTCGGGCATATCGACTCCCAAAAGCTCCTACAATGAGAACGCCGGACTTCTGCCCAGCACGAAGCGTACGGGCCAAGACTCGCTTGGAGAAAAGAGAAGAGGCTCCAAATGGGTTGCCCGCCGTAGAAGCTGGTACCGGCTGATCATCCTCGCCATCATTGTCATTGTCCTCACTGTGGGCTTATCAGTCGGTCTCACAGTTTGGAATCGCCAGTCGTAAGTATCCATCTGACAGCCGGACCCCGCTTGGCACAACTAACACCATAAGACAAGCAGACAACCCGTAGTGACCGCTGGCGCGTCAAACGACACAAATCTCTTCCCCTCGGGCTCCTTCGCCTTCAACACTGCCCTCTTGGAAGCCAACACGGGCTGCACCTCTGACTCTTCGACCTGGCGCTGCTTCCCCGACCGGACCTACTCGCAATCCCCCAACGCCTCCGTCGCGACCTTCTTCGGCACGATATCCCAGTCGAACTCGTACGCCTACCAAATCTCGTCATCATCGTCGTCGAACCCCTTTTTCCCGCAGTTTTCGGACGAGACAATGACGCTGGTGGAGGGCGGTTCGCTCGACGAGCGCCTCGTCTTCAACTTCACCCTCCCCAAGACCGTGGCCCTCTCGGACGCTGTCACGCAAGGCGGCCGCGCGGCGACGTGTGATTTCCCGGACATGGCGTTCCGCGCGACTTTGTGGACGAGGCGGAACGCCACGACGGCGCTCGCGCAGTCCGTGGGGATGACGGCGACGGCGGACAGCGCCGACGGCAATGTCAGGTGGGGGGTGTGGCCTGGCCAGATAGAGGTCGAGCAAGTCAAGACGGGAGGGCCGGATTGCAAGGACCCCGCGGGAAAAGCGGTCAGCGTTGCGGCGGGGAATGACCGGTGTAACTGCCTGTATGCCAACTTCGACTTTGTCGTCGAGGAGAAGCGGAGAAGGCGGCGGGCATGAGATAGGAGATTGGAGGCGGTGGGTGACACATGATCACATACTAGACCCGGATGCAAGATACCCTACATAAAGCCACTAATTTTCCAAAAAAAAAAAAAAACTTCTTTCTACATCATGAGCCTGGCGACAAGTTTCGAGTTACACTCAAAGAGGAAAAGGACGTGAACATGAGGCACAACCTGGCTCTTCATAGCAGTCTCACTGAAACGATATTGTTACTCACCCTGTTATGTTACAATCAAACTTTTGTCACAATTGGACTTTCAAATGTCCGTCTATTTCTAACAAATCTCAGGTCAAAGAACCCTCCCTCTATAGAGCTACCCATACAATGTATCATAAAACATCATCGTCTTGAATGCCCGTCCTAAGCCGTACTGTTGTAACTTGGGCGCTGAACCAGCCGACGCCTCTCTCTATCAGGGTTCATGCACCACACTGCCATCCTCAGCACCCCTTGGCCGACTGCCGCGAGCACCAATGCCGTCATTTACAACTACTGCTGCCATCAAGGCCAATCTTCGAGCCTCACTTGAACTCGCGGCGCTGCACACGGTTGCTGCCGCTGCTGTTGTTGACCTTGGAAAATCGGCTATTGCTGTGGTTGGTATTGTTGCGGTTGCATCTGCTGGAAAGGCTTGTTGAATAGAGGCATATACTGCGCCGGTTGCTGCTGCTTCTGTTGTTATTGTTGCTGCTGCGGTGGCGGCTGGAAAGGATTCTCTCCGTACTGGGCATGTACGTTAAAGTACCCGCCCGGCTGAAAACTTGCCGCACCTACGTTCTGCTGCATCTGTTGACCGCCAAAATCGAAGGCGTCCGGCTGTACGCCGAACTGCGAAATATCTTGCCATTGTAACGGCACCTGTGGCATTTGAGGCATCTGCGGCATTTGAGGCATCTGCGGCATTTGAGGCATCTGCGGCATCTGAGCCCCGAAGTTGAAGTCGAAGACGTTCGGCTGCGCACCGAATGCCGAAATTCCTTGCCACTCCGGCATCTGCGGCACCTGCAGTACCTGAAAGACCCGGGGGTCGACGGCTTCGGCTTCGTTCGAACCGCTCATGCCCTGGTTGGCACCAGACGCGGGACGCAAGGCTAGCGCGCCGTGTTGAACTCTGGGACGCTGGTTGAGCGCGTTTGACACACGCCTGGGCTGCTGGAACGCGGCGTGGATCATGGGCTCGGCTTCGAGCCTCTGACGGGGCGCGTGGCGCCGGGAATCCCCGTCCTCGTCATCGTTGTCGTTGTCGTCGCCACCAGGATGCCTCCTCTTGCGCCCGTTGTCTTTCAGGTTGCGGGGCGAGGAGAAGAACTCCTGCGCCCAGGTGGCCACGGCCTCTTCGGAACCGAGGTCGTTGGCACCGAGCCGATCCTCAATGATGCGCATGAGTAGGCCGAGGGAAGGCCGTTGGACCGGGTCATCTGCCATACAACGCTGAACGAGGCCCCTGAGCTCCTCATCGACGCCGTTGAACCGCTCGTTTTGGAGGGCGCCTCCCCATGTAACAATTTCCTGGCCGTCGGGGAGCCTGTAGTTCATGGCCGTGAGCGGCTGGAAAGCACAGAGAGTAATGGCGCACCATATCTATAAGTAAAGGTCAATTTCTAACATGGAAAATGAGCCAGGGCAATATACTCACAATGACGCCGACCTGGAAGATATTGGAGTGCATTCCATAGTTGCCAGCAACCGGGGGCTTGGTGCCATCTACTGCCACAAAATGGTTCGGGAGGTTGTCGTCAGCCAAGTAGGTTTGCAAGTCCAGATGATCCCATTGTCTGGTGAATTGTTCCTGCATAATGTCAGCTGTTAGACCAGTGGTCGGGTGATGGCGTCCTTCTGGGTTACTTACAGGCGTGAAATAGTTCCCCTTTCCGCTGAATCGACACTTCCAGAAGAGCTCCTTGCTATAAAGAGCACATTGGTCAGCTTTGCAGTCTAATACGGAAGACGGTGTGGCAAACTCACTCAAAGTATGCTGGGTTGGTAGCATACTCGCCAAAGAACTGGACGGACCCAAAGTCGGCAATCTGGGCTGGTTAGCTCAAACGATGCTTACGGTTCATGGAGGGAGGAGCATCCGGCATACCTTGAATATGGGCATGTTGCCATTCTCCACGTTGCTGCTTGCTAGAACTGTTGTACTAGTCAGCCATCTTCGATGTATACAAAAAACTCTCTCGCAGATTGACCTACTATTGCTCGGCTCAAGGTCAAAGTGAGTCGTCTGCTGGGGGGGATAGTACTCGCTCATGGGGTAGTCATCCGGGAGGTGCTCATCGATGGGTTCGTTGGAATTCCATTCTGGTCGATCCGCACCGCCGAAAACCTCCTTTGGAGGGTAGCCCATACCGATGAGCCCCTGTGTAACTGTAGTGACAATGTTAGCAAAGAACATCTCAGCTGTAGTATTCCAAGACTCTTTCAGTAACTTACGGCTCCTGAAGAGCATCCAAATTGCTCGCACCGGCCAGGGAGTCCTGCTACGGCTGGCTTTGCTGAGCCACACATTTAGATCTCCCTGAGCCGCATGCTCGACAAAAACGAAGTTACGGATTGGCTGACAAGCAAAGTCATCTAAGCTCCATGCACAGTCTAGCTCTTCATCAGAGAGCTGTGGTGACGGATCCGGGGCTACGTGACCTGCTGCGTACAAGCCATAGCTTGTGGCTCTCTCCGACTTGATGAGCTGTGTGACGTCTAAGAGTTGCAGAATGTGCTTTGCACCTTTGAATTTCTGGGATTGTTAGAGGACGTACCAAGGCGCCATATTCGTACCGGATGGGGGCAACTTACCGTCAGGGCCTTTTCCTCCCGTGCAAGCGTTCCATGGACATGATGCCGGTATCTCTCCAGCTTCAACACACAGGGGAGGGTGTCCCCCTTTTCGTTGATGCAATGCACAAGTGCGACGATTCCAAAGCGACCCGCGCCAATTATCTTCTTCACCGAGACGCCGTAGCCCTTGTGATCGTTTTGACCCCATTGACCATATTCTGCCACAGCTTCATCAACATCCGCCGTGCTGAACCATCGCGCCCCATACGGTTGGGACAGTCCCAGGGGCTCCGTGTCGAACACAGCGTGTCCGTAACGTTTTCCGGTCAGTGTGCCGTTATCTTTGTATTTGTTGTATTTCGCTCCCCTCACGGTAGCCATTCTGGCTGTGCTTTCATTTCTCAGCCGCTGCCTATACGTTTGCAGGCTTTCTCCAGGGCCCCGGCATGGGCAATCAGGCTGGTGAGGCCCATTTTCAAACTGTTGTTGTTGTCGGAAGGCGCCTCGTGGCATTTTGATGAAGTGTACACCCAGAGCCCTGTCCGTGTGCCAGTTTCTAGGACTTCTAGAATTCTCACGACGTTGGGGAAGATTTAGTCAATCGGGACGTGTCGAAGTTGATTGTGTAATCGTTGCTATGTTTTCTCAAATATTGTCTGGGGATAATTTCAGTTATTGGGAACCACGGAGGGAATCCAGGTATATTTATGCACATGGTTAACGGGTATTGATCTTGGAGAAAAGGAACTTCCCAACGCGACAAGGAAGAAAAGTAAGAATAGTCTAATTTGGGAAGATAAAATCCTTGAAACAAAGCAGAGCATCTCATCGAGAAATGATGACTTTGGAAGCTCGCGGGCATGAAATAGTGACTCTATTGTCACATTGTCACTTGACATGGCGGTGCTCGAACCCGTATATATGCCGTTTGTCCTCGACAATATCTTGACAAAGGGGGCTTCTTGAGTTGAACATAGACACATTTCTTGTCGACAAATGTCACTCTGTCCTGAGTATCGAACACGACTACGAATAGTCGATCGAGTCCGTACCGTACAAAGGACCAATGTTCCAAATTATCTCGGCCATAAAGCGTCTAAGGACTTAAAGACAAGAGCCCAGCCATTGGTCCGCAAGACAAGAGGACGTGGGGAGGCGACTGAGTAGGGTCGGTTCCACCCGGATGAAGTGCAAAGGGTGTGTCCAGGCGGCCGGCAGTGACTCCACGAGCCGGTCCACACACTGGCAAATGTGTCAACGAGTCGACGAACAGTGTGAAAGACATTACGCGTGTGAACCGAGTCCGGGTTAGTGTTATCTAACGGTCGTAGACGAACCAAAGATCCGGTGCTTGGGTATTGGCGAAGCGACATTTATGAGAGGCGCCAATGCATGAGTGGCTCAAGCAATGTGCATGCCGCTGCATCGATTGATTGAGAAAACGGGGGCGACATTGTATAGCAAAAAGGAGAGACGCTCTTGGTGCCGCTCTAACTGCAGAGATGAGAGAAGCGTTGACGATGGAAGAAAAGAAGCCAATTAGCCGCGTCTGATGGTCTTTAGGCTAAATTCGAAAGAGCGGGTCGTTAGCGAGATCCACTCTGCGTCAACGGTACGTACCCCTGGGCACGTACCGTTGCTTCCACATGAGAATACAGAAAAACACCAGACTGAGACGGAAAGAAGAACAAAGGGAAAAGGCAATGCAACTTGGCAGTATTTTGTCGACAGAATTGAATATCATCATCTGGACACCGTTCCTGAAGTTTCAAAGTCTTTAGGAGGAGGACAGCCCTTACAAGGCCCTTCCCGGCACGAGATGAGCCAGTCGCAGAGCACGAAAACCGCCCTGAGCCAGCCTAAAATACATAGATACATATACTGTGGGTAGTACGATCTGATGCTGCGACGTATGTACGGCCGCTATGTTACTGCGAAGAAAACCCCCCTTGCTTTACCTGATGCGCAGCTATACGTGTTTGCTTTGAGTTACGGATACTTCATCATCCCTCGGTCTCCCGTGACAGAACAAGTCATGACAGTCAGCGGCGAGTCGTTTTCCAGACTCTCAGGCTGATTTAAACGCACAAATGGGCGTGTCCCGTTCGTTGTACGGCGACCCCCCCCCTTGTTATACACACCATTCGAGGGTAGCTGGCTGCTGCTTTTTACACAGCCTATCCTTCGCTTTTGCCCGTGGTGGAAACTATTTTACCCGGTCGTCATGTCGATGGGCCAATAGGTTTCCCATGCCATCCAATGTCGGGCTCTCTTCTGAGATAAAACTCCATACTTCAACAACCACCCCTGACCGGTTGGTCGGCCTCGGAAGGGAGGGGGCTGAACGATCTGTGTGCACTTTTGCCTATCGGTCCCTTTCACCCCGCTGCCTACCTCCAGCCCCTCCTGCTCTTGATACCCGCGCCAGAACTGTATGGTGACGGCATCATGGACTGTCTAAATCTGTAGATTCAGCCAGCCAGTCAGCCGAGAGGGGGGCAGGTGGAGGCCATTGGCGCGCCGGTGGAGGGAAAGGTCAGGAGCAAAACAAGCCTAGCATACGAGGGTTATAAATACCTACATCGTCTGTCGTTTTGTTTCCTAACGTCACTTACCTCTTCCCTTCCTTCCTCTTCCTCTCCCTCTTCCCTCTGTCTTCCTTTCCAGACATCCCCCATACCCTACAGAGAAACCGCAAAAGCAGGTGTCATCATGGCTGTCCCCAACATCAAGCTGAACAGCGGCTTCGACATGCCCCAAGTGGGCTTCGGCTTGTGGAAGGTCGACAACGCCATCGCCGCCGACACCGTCTACGAGGCCATCAAGGCCGGCTACCGTCTGTTCGATGGCGCATGCGGTAAGTGAACAGTCCGCAACCACCCAGAGTGTGCACATTCGCAAAGCTTGCGAGGCGTGAGGGAAGAGAAATGGTGTAAAAGCCCCACTACGGCGACAATGGCAGAAGTCATGCGACCATAAAACCCCCATTGGGAGCATGGCTTCCTCCCAGGAAGGATACTTCCTGGTGTCGTTTGCGCCGTAGTTGGTTGTTCCTTCGGTCTGCTTTCCTTCGAAAACTATCGGAAGGACACCTGAACTACCCCTCCTTCACCCCACCATGGATGATGATGGGTGCGAATTTCTGCAGGGCATCGATATCCCCCATGCGTTATAATTTCACCCGGAAAGCTCTCCGCAAAACCCCACCCCCCAACCCATTCAACCGGACTTCACACCCCCTCCCCTCACCATCTCCCCATGTCACTCGCTCGCTCACTTACACTGGGGGTCACACCCCCGATCTCCCTGATACTACATAGTGACATCTTCTGCGCATGCCGCACAAGCAAGCTCCTCTACTTGCGCTTATTACACAAGCTCGACACTGACGTTGCATCCTGTCTCCAGACTACGGCAATGAAGTCGAGTGCGGCGAGGGCGTCGCCCGCGCCATCAAGGAGGGCATTGTGAAGCGCGAGGAGCTCTTCCTCGTCTCCAAGCTCTGGAACACCTTCCACGATGGCGACCGCGTGGAGCCCATCGTCAAGAAGCAGCTCGCCGACTGGGGCATCGACTACTTCGACCTCTACCTCATCCACTTCCCCGTCGCTCTCGAGTACGTCGACCCCTCGGTCAGATACCCCCCCGGCTGGCACTACGACGGCAAGTCCGAGGTTCGCCCCTCCAAGGCCTCCATCCAGGAGACCTGGACCGCCATGGAGAGCCTCGTCGAGAAGGGCCTCTCCAAGAGCATCGGCGTCTCCAACTTCCAAGGCCAGCTCCTCTACGACCTCCTCCGCTACGCCAAGATCCCCCCTGCCACCCTCCAGATCGAGCACCACCCCTACCTCGTCCAGCCTGACCTCATCAAGCTGGCCGCTAACGAGGGCATCGCCGTAACTGCCTACTCCTCCTTCGGCCCCGCCTCCTTCAAGGAGTTCAACATGGAGCACGCCACCGACTTCATCCCCCTCTTCGAGGAGCCCACAATCACCGAGATCGCCAAGAAGCACGGCAAGGAGCCCTCCCAGGTCCTCCTCCGCTGGGCCACCCAGCGCGGCCTTGCCGTCATCCCCAAGACCAGCCGCAAGAACGTCCTGGCCCAGAACCTGGCCGTCACCGACTTCGACCTCGAGCAGGCCGACATCGACAAGATCAGCGCCCTGGACAGGAAGACCCGCTTCAACCAGCCCGCCAACGTAAGTTCCATCTTGTTACGTCTCTTTTTGAATCAATTGAGAAGAAGCTAACGTATCCACCAGTACTTCTCCACCGAGAAGCTTTGGATCTTTGGTTAGATGGGTCGCCCATGCCATGTTGTTTTCATTTCGCATCATTCACCGTACCTACAACAGAATTGCGCTCCCATTTGGAGGTGGCCTATTCGGGTAGTAAACCATAACAGGGGCGGTGTGCAAGGGAGCAATATGCGGCGTGTGCCGAACAACGTGCGACGTATGTCGATTGTATCTAGATACCCCCTCCCTCGGCCAGACCATTGTCTGCCGCTAAAATACAACCAAGTGTCATGATCAAAGACCACGACAGGTTATTGAGCCCGCTCCCGCAGGAATGCAGTGTGTTTTCCTTGCAAAAGTCAGAACAGCCGCCCGCCCATTGAATAAAAGCTTTCCCGTCACGCTCCTTGCTCTAAAGACAAGCGTGACCACATGTGTGGCAGAGAGGTATCTCGTAATAGAGAAAAAGAAGAAGGATAAAAAAGCCATATACATGTCCAATGATTGCTGCTCCGCCGCCAGGCTCTAACCAAACGCCTGTAACGCCATGCCAGTCTCGTAAGTATCATGCCAGAGTGCCGAGCTTCAAGGTCATGATGTCCTGACGTAAGCTGTGAGATTGATTAGTAACCATGTTTGTCTGCTGTAGCACTGGGAGTTGATGCACTCACTTGCGTCGATCTGGGACAGTTGAGGCAGAGCCAGACGGACTTTGTTGCGGTAGACTGCGGGGCCCCTGAGCTGCAGCGGGTTACCCTCGAAATAAACCGTCGTGAGGTGCTCCTTGTCGCGCAACTCCTTCTCAACCTCGTTGAAGTCGGCGATCTGGTTGTAGCTCGCCCAGAGCTCCTCCAGGTTCTTGAGGGGGCCAAGACCCTTGACGCTCGTGACGGCGTTGTTGGAGATGTCGACGACACGTAGCTTCTCGTTGCGCTCGATGCCGGCGAGAGAGGTGAGGGCGTTGTGGGAGATGTACAGCTCTTCCAGGCTGGGGACGTCGGCGAGTGGGGCCAGATCACGGATGCGGTTGGACTGTATGCTGAGGAGACGCAGGTTCGACAGGCCCCCGAGGCCGGTGAGCTCGGTGATTTTGTTCTTGGCGACCCAGAGTTCCTCAAGGTTTTTGAGGGAGTCAAGGTTCTGCAGGACGCGGATGCGATTGGAGCCCAGCTCGAGGGAGGTCAGGTTGTCAAGACCCTCGAGGTTCTCAATGGTGCTGATCTTGTTGGCGACAAGGAAGAGCTCCTTGAGTTTTGTGAGGTGGTTGACACGCTTGATATGCTTGATCTTGTTGAAGCTGAGGTCGAGCGAGGTGAGGTTGATGAGGTCGTCCAGGCCACGGATGTGGGAAATGAGGTTGTCGTAGAAGTCGAGGTCCTCGAGAGTTGAGGCGATGGGTGAGAGACCTTCAATGGACTGTATGGAGTTCTGACGGAGACAGAGGCGGACGACCTTTTGGAAGCGCTCAAGGCGGAGGGCCGGTATGGAGGAGACGCGGGCATGGGAGACGATAAGCTCGTCGGTATCTGGGTCTTCGCCGTCAAGGAGGTCTAGAGCAATAGCGTGTTAGTCTTGTTTTGCACTGAAAAAGGCTGACGTTGTGGGCTAGCCTGCTTGCCTTCGTCGGCGGGGAGTTCCTCGCCGGGAATGACGTTTTCATCGTCGGATTCAGGGTCCGAAAGGACTTCGGGGTTGGCGAGGACGGCGGTACGCTGTACCCTGAGCTTCCCGTCCCATCCTTTACTATTCCTCAGCCCGGGGCTGGTCTGGCCGTCCGTTCGTAGGGAGCCGTCTTCCTCGGGGAGTTCGATGCGCGGGGAGTGCCTTGGCGAAGATTCGGTCGGGGTCTTTGGGTCTACGGAGCCGGGCATGACGGGCTGTTGTCGGCCTTGTCGCGGGGATATGGGTGGTGTTGATTGCTTGGTTGTAGATGGCGGGGTGAGAAACAAGCAGTGAAGGCGGTCAGTGGGATTTGAAGGTGGTGGTGGTGGTGGTGGTGGTGGTGGTGATTGTTTTCCAGCAGGATTGCGGGGCAGGTTAATCGGCAAAGTGGGATGTCAGAGGGAGGAAAGGAACTTGGAGCTCGAGAGTTGGAGGGATTGTTTTTCGAGATGATGAAGATGCCGTGTTGCACATGCTTGGGATTCTTTGGGCATCTGATTATTTATTTACCTATTACGGTGGCTTACACTTAACACTTTGCCGCCTTTCCTGCGCTGCGGGGAGAGGGGATCGGATCAGCAGGGAACAACAACGCACACATGTGGCACATGTTCCCCGGAGCAGTGCCTGCAAACTGCAATGTGAATGAGGTAGCTAAGGTAAGGTGAGAAGTGATAGGATGGCTAGGCTGCCCTGTTCCCTCTGAACTGGTGGAGCTGAACAAGATTTGAAGGCATGGGATTGGTGGATTGGTTCCAGGACCCATGGAGGACCGTTTGGCGCTAGAGTATGACGTCCCAATGGGCTGGCCAGACGCCCGTCCACTAACCAGTACCTACCTACCTAGGTATCAGTCAGGTAGGTCTCTTTCCCATCTCACCAGCGGTCCTGGGAGGCATTTGGCATGTTTTCCATTCAGATGAACAGAAGCGTCCAAACCGGAGCAGTGCCACTTGCTTCCAGGCCTTCGGAGACCTATAGTCATCGTACCTCTAGAACCCCATTGTCGCAGACAGACTTCAGCGCCGTCAAAGAGGCCCAGCGCTCTTTAGGTACCTAGTGTGAACTAGTACGGATAATCTTGTCTCAGTTGACTGGCTTTTCACCCCACCATGGGCTGCAACACTGCATTGCAAAAATTCGGGCGCACTCCTCCCTCCAACCTCCAGAAAACGGCGTCGCCATGAACGAATGCAGAATGCCTGCGATCGGGCTGGAATCCTGCGCAATTGGGAAAGGGCAAAGAAAAAAAATCCGTCTTCGTTTGCTGCTCACGCCGAATCCGAACCCTGCTTCCGAAAATTCTTTGGACGGAATAGGTCCGGCTGCATGCTGGCCACAATGAGCCCAGTCGCGTTCGAACACATACTTGCCGTGCCATGACCCTGTCAGTCCACGAGGAGAGAGCCGATTTGCAACCCCCTCTCTTCCTGCCCGGACCCAGCCAGATGACATCCGTATTACTCTCGCACATGTAATCAGGAACAACCCTTCGAGGCGGTCCCCTTGCCCGCGTCGCAAGACCCTTCGCCAACCTAACACCACCCACCACCCCCCCAAAGGCCCGACACACGCCTCCATGTCTGGCAAGCGGTTGTGATGCATGCTATCCGCGCATCCTCGATTGGGCAGATCCTTTGTCGTCCTTGCCGTCTGCAAGCACTGCCCGTCATACCAGCATGGCGAGCCACGTCTCCGCGGCTGCCCTTTCCGCCGCACCTCGGCCTCACCCACAAAAGGCAGTTCCAAGCCGAGGCGCTGTATCTCCCGCCGCTAGTCTTCGCCGGTCTTCTGGTCGTCCTATGGACACAGAAATGTATTGCAATGGTCGTCTTCCAGAACAAGATCATTTACATGCCCGGTTTGCCGCCCAACGCGCGCAGAGAACGCATCCAAGACTACACGAAGCAGTGCTGGGGCGTGCCATGGGAGGAGAAAAGGCTTCAGGCCGCCGATGGGACGGATCTGGCCCTCTGTGTGGCCTCGGCGACATCGACTGGTGACAAGAAGCCCACGTCGCACGGCGACACTCTATCGGTGCCGTCGATCTATATCCTCTACTTTCAGGGTCCGCCCCATCCCCCCGCTCTCGCAGACGCATAGCTTCTTCCATGGCCAACCCGATGCACAAAAGCTCACACCCGGGAGAACAGGAAATGCCTCCTCTATCCCCCCACGATTGCCCGACCTATCATGGGTCCTGCGGGAGCTGCAGCAGAGCAAGCGGCCCGCGCGATACATTATGGTGTGCCTGAGCTATCGCGGTTACTGGAAGTCGAGGGGCCGCCCCTCCGAGAAGGGCATCAATTTGGACGCGCAGGCGGCTTTGCACTGGATTGGCCGGATGCACAGGGAGCATGATGCTCACGGGCACCAGCCACAGCCGGAGGTGATCCTCTGGGGTCAGAGCATCGGCGCTGGGGTAGCCACGAACCTTGCGGCTTGGGAGGCCTTTCCGCCCACGGCGCGGCTCCGGTCGCTGATTCTCGAGACGCCCTTCACGTCGGTCAAGGACATGCTGGCGACGCTTTACCCCCAGAAATGGGTGCCGTACCGTCACCTCTGGCCGTTCCTCCGAAACCACCTGGACAGCTGGACGAATTTGGCCGCAATTGCGAGGAACTGGTCAGGAAAGCGCGAAAAGCCTCGCATTACAATTGTGGAAGCAGGCAGAGACGAGCTAGTGCCGGCCGAACACGGCGCGAAGCTAGTCCAGCGCTGTGAGGAGGTCGGGTTAACGGTCGAGAAGAAGACGGTGCGTAACGCATTTCACAACGAGGCCATCTTCAAGCTGGATGGACGCAGAGCTGTCGTCGACGCTATCGAGCAGGTCACAGCTGAATATGATTGTAGACATGGCATAAAGTGAGGTCTTTTGATAGTACAGGCGTCCAGCCGTGTTGGTCCAGAATTGCGAACGTAGCCAAGCAAAGGTATTCCTGATTGGCGAATTGGGGAAGAAGCGTGAGGTCTACCGAGGAACTGCTTCAGCGTTCGGGTCTGCATCCAGTTCCAGGGTCGTCCCTGGAAGCTAGGAACGCCCTTGGCATATCGGGACTAGGCTTGCAGAGATAGGTAACATTTAGGGGCCTCATGAAATTGCCGTGACTTTTTCTTTGTTGGAACCAAACCTGCTTGCTGGATGGTGCCATCCATTGCGGACCAATGCCATGTGCAGGGGGGTTAGTATTTCACTTCTAGAGCTCTTCCGCGGCCACAAAAGCTGGGCTTTTAAGGTAGAGGCCTCGATTCTTTAGGAAGCGATTGTCTTCGACGAGTCTGGAGATACCATCAATTGATCCCTTGAAACCTTACAATTGCCCCGGAAGCTCCTCTGAAAGAATCTCGTACCTTTCGTGTGACAGCATCCAAGCCTGGTTAAAAAAGGGTTGCTCCTGATGTTTCTTCTTCCGGCATGGCGGTGCCAGAGCTTGGACGCGGCCACGCCGCCTTAACGTGTTACCTTTCTTTTACTATCAGGCAGCTTTGTGAATTGTCGGAGCACCAAGCTATGGCCTGTCTATCTGCAAGCTCTTAGTTACAGGTACTTCCGTGTCGTTGAACCACTGTAAAGATACATGCTGGTCGGAGCGAGGCGGCTCCCACCCCCTGGATTTGGCACCATGGAACCAGGCAAACTTCACCCGTCGACACTGACGCTCTCGCACTAAATCCTGACTCGGCTGTGATCCATCCATCCGCAGGGGTGGCTTGGTCTTGGACCGGGTCCCACCTGGCACCCAGTGCCCGCCAGTGTCCAAAGCCAAAGGGCATAGGCAACCACAGGTGCCACACGGTGCACCAACTCTCTCGCCTCCCCGAGCCCCTGTCACAATGTCACGTGAAATCGTGTTTGGTTTCCAAGTGGGTCGGCGCGGTCTAGGTACCTTGACGCGTCCAATTAACGACGCTCTCACCACTTTTTTTTCCCTGGGCACAGTCTCAATCTTGTTCAAAAGCAGCCAGGCCCGAGGCAATCACTGCAGCATGGGGGATGGAATCTCTCCTCAGGGGAGGGGGCCGTGCAAGGTTAATCAGGCTGTATATATTGATTCTGACTCCCCATCCCAACGATAAATTCCTCTTTCTCTCCCTCCTCTGTACTCATGCATCTCGGGACAGTGCCTAGGTAGGTCAAGCAGGTCTCAATAAAACTTTGATTTCTCATCCATCGCAACGAAACCCGATCATTCTTTTCATCGGTATCTTTTCATTATTTGCAACCACGTCCTCGACCATAAGGCAGCCTAAGTGGTGATATTTTGTTTTATCTGGCGATTCTTTCTTTTTATCCCCCCAAACCTCATCCAAACTACCGCCACAATGTTCACCAGGCGCTTCGAGCCCCCGCAGCCCGTGAACAAGAGCTTCTCCAAAAGCCACAAAGCATCCAAATCCAGCTCCTCGTTCAGCAAGTCCAGCGGCGTTTCAAAACATCGCCATGAGTCCCGCCACAGCCGCCGACCGACGACCGCCACCACATCGAGCACAGCGACCGAGGACACCGCGATGGGCAAGTAAGTATTACCACGTTTCAATATTAAAACCCATTGAATTATATGTCAAATCATTCCATCCCAACCGCAGTTACTGACAGACCTCCTCCTCTCAGCAACCTCACCTCCGCCATCATAACCCTCGTCGTCGGCACCGAACAGCGCCTCTTTGCCGCCCACGAGGACATTCTCTGTGCCTCTCCCTTCTTCCAGAACATCCTTCGCAGCCCCTACTCCACCGACGCCGGTACTGGGGCCAAGCGCGTCGCCCTCCCCGACGAGGAGCCCGAGATCTTCTCCTCCGTCCTCGAGTACCTCTACAAGGGCGACTACTACCCGCGCCTCGTGCACAACAAGCGCCGCAACTCGTGGGAGATCGAGGCTCTCAACGCAGATGACGGCCGCAACGGCGTCGAGTCGACCGTCTACCACCACGGCGTCGACGGCGACCTGCTCAAGGACACGGTCATATACTGTGCCGCGCAGAAGTACGGGCTCGAGGAGTTGAAGCGGGTTTCCCTGCGGAAGCAGGGCCTGCGTGAGTGCCCCTTCTAATCTGCCGATACCTTCATTCAGCTCAGCTAACAGTTGCAAACAGAATCCGGGATCCAGTGCAGCACGATCCTGGCGTCGGCTCGGTACGCGTACGCCAACACCCCCGACAGCGACTCCAAGTTGCGGGCTCACTATCTCGCCCTCATCATCCGTAGCCGGAGCACCTTCAAGCGCAGCGGAACCATGCAGCTGGAGATGTACAACGGCGGCACCCAGCTCTTTTTTGACCTGTTCGTCGCGCTCTGCAACCATGTCGACGATATCTCGACTGTGTAAGTCGCACGCCTAGACGCTGCCCCAGGCTGTTCTCGAAGCTAATCACCAGCAGAAACACTCCTCGCACGCCTCGCAGTGGTCGTCCCTTCTAGGACCCTACTAGGCTTCCCCTTTTCTCGGTCGTCATCACTTCCCATCTCAGCCAAGGATGAACAAATACCCGGCTCACACTTAATGACTTGATGTTCACACGTATAACCTTGTTTCTATTTCTTTTAGCCGTTTCGACTTCCACTGTAGGGTCAGACAGGGCGGGCTTTACTTTGGGTTTGCAAAAAATTCGCAAAATACCATAAACATTGGGCGTTTTGCACCCTCCTAGGAAGGGGACGGTCTCGGCGTTTAGGGAACACATGTATCATTTCTGTCGTCGACGCCGCGTTGTCGCCGGCGTTGTTTTTCGTTGGTTCGATTTCTTGACATTCTCACCAGAAACCCTTGTATCATTACATTTACATCTCCTAGAGATCGTCATCGTCTCCCTGAAGAACAGGCCCTGGGGGCGCTTTATCGCGGTTGTTACCTTCCAACTCCCGAGGACGGCTCATATGGAGGTCGCAGAGTCATTTTCCATCATGTTGGAACGAAGTAAACGGAAGAGTTTGCGTCTGTTTTTGTTTTTGTTTTTTCCGTCTTGCGAAAACGAATCGCCACTGTAAATGTACCATTCTACACACTCGCTCTGCCGCTCTGGAATCTATAGGAGTTGATGTTGTGATTGCTGAGTCTTGCAATTCCGGTGATATAAAGCTGCCCGCACGGCGTAGCTTCTACTCACTTTCACGAAATCATGTTCGCCACCGGCTTCCCCGGCGGCTTCACTTGCTACTCACTTGAGACGAACCCGTAAGCCCAAAACATTGGATAACCCGGAAGCAGTCCCTACGTGAACGAATGTGAATGCCCAAGGCACCCCTATCGCTTTAGCCGGCGAACCATCCCTGCCCATATCTCAGTCATTGACCTCCATCCCCACCCGCGGAACAGCCTCCCGGATCCTGGAACACCACCGCACCAGGAGCTTGCCTAGTGGTGCGGCCGTAAAAGTAAGTAGGTGGCTTTGCTAAAAAGGGTCCGCCAAGCTTTGATGGCCCCTTGCCTCACGCAATGTGAGTCATACGATAGCATCACTGAGTCCAACTCGTAACCACCTGTTCACACAAACCGCAGTCGCCCAGTGCCTCAGTCACACCCTCGGTGACCCCACTGTTCTGACCGGACGCTACGGCTGCAGGCACTTTAGCCCTACCCCTGCAAATATTTCTACCTTGGGAGGGAGCCGGCATGGTGAAACGTTAGTTACCGGGTGCGCATGTGCGCCGGCTGAACGGCTGGACCGCCGAGGACGGACATCAGAGGAAGGGAGATGAGCTAGTCCCAAGGCGTTGCTTTTTTTCGTTTGTTCACCTGGATGCAACGGTATTACTGGGTATGTTTTTTTTTTTCGTGAATAAGAAATGCAGTCGATTAGGAACTGCCTTACTGGGAACAGAGACTGACCATTCAGTCGCGGGACAGCCTGCACTTATCAAGCAAGGTGTGGTTACGTGGACGTGCAGTGATAGTGGGGGACGGAGAACGCGTGCTACATCGAGTGCACCGTAGACTCAAACGATGGCCCAGGTGATCGACACAACCAGCAAGTTTTGGTTCTCAATACGCGACGCCAGCGACAAGGCTGAGAGTCATGATTCTACTCAAAGGCAGGAGGGGAGATCATGAAGAGATGCGAGGCATCTAAGTGTATTCACTCACCAGTTCAACAAATGGCGTCGAGATAGACTTTATGAGCCTGATAACGCCAACCCACCACCCAAGCGTGAGCCGATGTGCATGACCCTATGCATGGTTGCATGGCGTTGCCTCTGTCGAGCCCCTCGCCATTTGTGTAAGATATGTGACCGATGCCTCATTGGGAGACCATCGCCGTTCTACGCTTCTTCTGCTGTGGTATTAAGTTCGTATCTCATTTTTAGGCTGGTGACTATCTCATGCAGTGCAGTCTTTGGTCGTGGACTTTCCCCACACCACCAATTTTTACACCCCCGTTCCGGGGAACGCCCCGTTCTTGGACAAAACGACAATCCCGCGCTCACGGGCGATGTAGCCCTTCATCAGATTCTATAAGCAGGTAAATAAGATTAGTCAGTCTTCAGTCAGCGAGACGAATGACTCTCTGCCAATCAAAATGGACTTTATGAGAAGTGACGTTGTCTGGATGCCTGGCGTTCACTTCGTCGACCTTGGGATGAGGTTGCCTGAAAGGCAGCCGGAGTGGTGACGAATATAAACTGGTATGGAAGGCAGACAGACGCGCGTGAGAATTGCAGGATGCTTTCTCCACAACTGACCGAGCGAAACACTCAGGTTTGGGCTGCAGACGGCAGGCTGCCAACACTCGGGCACGCAACTCCGCCACGAGGCCAACGAAAGGGATGGTGCCACGTACCTTGTAAATCATGTTGGCTAGCAGGCACTCGACCTCGTCTGGGTCCACGCTCTCCTGGCTGCCGAGACTGATTGCGGCCGCAAACTCGGCGACGGGGATTCTTGTCCGACGAACCGGCGCCACGCCGGGTTCCTTGGCTTCCTCGAAGCCGCCGGCGATGAAGACCTTGCGCAAGAGGTTACGCAGCGCGATGTCGCGGCCTCGTTCAAGAGTGAGATAGATCCTGCGGCGTACGAATTCCTCCTCGCCCTCCTGGAGGGCCAGGTCAAAGTTGCGTAGGTCGCCTGTGCGGATGCAGCGCGATAGCGGGAGGAAGAGCTTTTGCAGACGGGGAAACGGTTCAAGGAGTTTGCTACTCGGGAGGGTGTGGGTGGTAAGGAGATGGCAGGGAATCAAGTAGGTAAGGATTCTCCTGCGGACGGGAGTGTTAGTTATTTGCCGCGTGATACAGGAAGCTTCGGGAAGACTTGCTCTTGGTTGCTCTTGGCGTCCTTATGGCAGAGAGACCATGCTTCGGTGAGATGCTTCTCGGCCTGGGTTTTATGTCAGACGTATGCTCGGCAGAGTTTGGTCAGCCAGTATACCTACCTCGACGTAGTTCTCCTCAAGGAAGAAAAGCACGCCTTCATAAAACTTGAAGGTTACCCGCTGTGATTTGGGGAACGCCTCCAATGGAGGCATATCTCCACGATTCGTAGATAATGCCTTGAGGATCGTCCGACTAAGACTGGCAGAGTTGAGTTTGAAGTACGTCTTGAAGAGCAGGTTGATGACGAAATAGATAGCCCATTTCCTCGAGTCCTCGAGGGGCGCTCTGGTGATGGTTAGGCTAAGGGGTTTATCTGGAGGAGGGGGCAAAATACCTGTCACTCAAGCACAGTGTGAAAATGCGCTTGAGCTGTTGTTCGCAGTCACGAAGCTGCTTCTGCTTCTCCAGGTCAGGGTCGAAGTCATCGCCAAGCTCCATAGCGTTGGCGGCAGCGTCGGTGGTGTTCCGCTCCTCGTCCGAGCTGATGGCGAAAAGTCGTAGGTGCTTGCCTGCAGTGTAGAGGCAAGGAATGGTCCAAGCCTCGAACCCATAGTTCGTGTAACCGCGAATGAGAGCAGTGGTGAATTCTTTCCATGCCTCATATACCTTTGTCCATGATGAAGACTAGACCGAGCGTTAGTGTCGAGCAGCAATGCACATGTAAAGCCAGGCATATTGTGCATGAGCTCACCCTACCTCCAGTACTGGAGTCGCCTTCCACTTTCAAAATCTCGCCGATGGCCTTCCAGTAAGCCGTGTAGACCTCCACCCAGCCGTTGGCCTCCTCGTGGTCAAGCTTGAATTTCTTAGATCCTGAACCTCGACCCTGGAGCATGTACTTGACATCGGCCTTGGCTTCTTGAATGTTTGTGCTCAGATAGATGGACCGAAGCTTGCCAGGCTTGTTGGCTGGGCTGAAGGGCTGGAGTGTTTGTGCAAGAGAATATCCGGATCTTGCCTTGTAGGCATTGCGAAACTCTTCTAAAAGGCCCTCCATCGTGTATGCCACCAGGTACAGGATGACAGCTTGAAAGATGTTGGAGGGCGAAATGGATGACGAATTCACCACTGTAAATGTCTGTCCAGAGTTGACAGTTGTACCTAGTGACCGAATCGAGCAAGCCTTCAGTCAAGATAGGTAAGTGTAGTTGAATTTTCCAATTGGTCGAAGACGTTGAGTGAACCACTCTGCCTCTATGTCTCCTTCTGGGATATGTCGTCTTCTTTGTGATGCTGGTTCTGTCTGAAGGTCGATCTACAACGTGATTGGCCGACGTGCACCACCCGCCAAAGACATATCCCGTTAGGCAGTAAGAATCTCCCGCCTTCATTTTCAGGCATCAGTGCATTAAAGCTTCTTGGTTTTCCAGTGTAAGTGGGGGCTTGCCTCAGCCACAGCACCAGCCCCATCAACCCCGATTGCCTCGACCGGGTGCGCTTAGCAAAACGCCCCACCCACAGGTCCCAGCCCTGGAAACTGCTCCTTCCTCTCACACAGAATCCTTTTTGCTCCTGGCGCGCCAAATTCTTCCAAGTTCTTCGACCGCGCAACCACCACGATATCGGATATTCGACGACCATCGGCCAGCTCTTCACAGTAAGTCAACAGCCTTACGCAGTCCACGACAATACAATTCGTTTCTAACAGTCTTTCAGATGGGTAAGCACAATTCCTCCTTTCCCCTCTCTGGACCTAGGATGCGAAACGGCAACTTCGACAAATTTCTGCGACCCCGACGACAAAACTTTTTTCCCTCTCCGACCAAGACGTGTGATCTACCGATGGCGACTCCGGCGAGGCAGGTTGGCAAATGAACACCATGGCTACGACATCGTCACTAGAACTTTCCATTCCGGCTGGCCCCCATAGCTGGGAGAACTCGACTAGAATTGTTCTCGAGGGGCATTTTTCTCGTGGGGGATTTGACGACCAAGTCACTTGTGTGCAAGCAGCTTCATGCCGGGGAGAAGAACGGCAGTCGCCACGGTTTCAATTGCTACAAAGACACTGGACTCGACACCGACAATTCGCATTTACGGACTGGACAATTTTGTGGCATGGGGACGACGCATAACTAACAGACTTTGTTCAGGTCGTCTCACGGAATACGAGGTCATCGGGCGTCACTTGCCCACCGAGTCCAACCCGACTCCCGCCCTGTACCGCATGACCATCTTCGCTCCCAATGTCACGGTTGCGAAGTCCCGTTACTGGTACTTCTTGCGTGGCCTGAAGAAGGTCAAGAAGGCCACCGGTGAGATCGTCAGCGTCAAGGAGGTGCGTCACCCGCGTTCCGGAAACCTCGAGCGAGTTGAGAAACTGACCCTTGTACGTCACAGATCCACGAGAAGCACCCCCTCAAGGTCAAGAACTTCGGTATCTGGATCCGCTACGACTCTCGCTCCGGCACCCACAACATGTACAAGGAGTACCGCGAGATGTCCCGCACCGACGCCGTCGAGGCTCTCTACTCCGACATGGCCGCCCGCCACCGTGCCCGCTTCAGGTCCATCCACGTATGTGCCTCCTGAAAAATACCGCCCAGCCCCCCCCCCCCCCCCCCCCCAGACCGGTTTGCTAACCAACCCGAAACAGATTCTGAAGGTCGTCGAGCTCGAGAAGGGCGACGACGTCAAGCGGCCCTACATCAAGCAGCTCATCACCAAGAACCTCAGCTTCCCTCTCCCTCACCGCGTCACCAAGGTCAACAACCAGAAGATCTTCAGCGCGAAGCGCCCCAGCACCTTCGCATAAAGCGGTTGTTGGACGCGGCGTTGTTTCACTGGTTTTCGACAAATGGACGGGCGGGCTACTACTACTGGCAGGTGTTCATTAGGTCTCATTGAACTATCACGTGCATTTGCTCTCTGAAAGGCAGGGGGGCCGAACCAAAAAGAAATGGAATTCAATTCAAAAACATCTTTCGAGCATGGGGAAATGGAACCGATCCTTCATGATAGACGAGGGGTGCGAATGATGACCTGCGTACGAAGCCTGTGAATTATGACTTCTTGATGAGACGATGCGCGGCACAACCCCTTCCCCTTAGCTAAGCTCGGCCAGAAGAGGGATGTCATGACGTCCAGCGCCGTCTAGGTAGACCAAATGCCAACCCCACCTCCGTCAGTCGGCAGAGTTCGAGCTTCCCGTCTATTGCTCTTGTGATGCGATCGTGTGCTTGAAACGCATGGGACGGCCGTTGAAGCTGTAGGACTGTAACGAGTGCGGTACATCCCAGCTGTGTGTACGAAGGGGGGGGGGGGGGGGGTTGTCTAGGCGTCGCCTTGCTGCTTTCCAACAGCGCCGTCTTTTCGGGGACCCAATTTCCGAGTGAGCAGTCGTGCTGGCATGCAGGCATTCGGGCCGCCTCCGGTCGCCCTGGAGCCGGAGGAACCCGACCGAAGGAGCTGGAGGGATCACGGCTGATCCGGGTCAACCCCCCCCCTTCCTTTTGTAACTAATCCGTCATGATTATGATTAGTAGAGGGCAGTCACAACTCAAGAGATATAACCTGCTGTAGATAAAATCTCCACGGAACGGGCAATATTTGTCTTGGTATAAAACCCCTGCCGTAGGAAAAGGGGTACAGCACATACCTTTGTCCTCTATGCCCCAGGCATAAATGACGGGGCTCAGAAGAACAGGGGACGGGGGAGGAGAAGCCGCTTGCAGTCGGGTAAAGTAGTTAGTAGGCTGAGAGAGTCGACAGCTGTCATACAGCAATCCCCGTGCATCCCTGCCTCGGGATATGTGGCTCGTCGATGGCCGCAGCACGGTAGGCCTCACGTCGGCAAACATGGGATGCGTCGAGACGTACACCAGAAGCGAGAGTCAAGAGTGGCATATCCAAGACTGATCGGGGTGGTCTATCATACACACATCATTGTCGTACACGCATCCATCCTCCCGTCCTTGGCTGCCCGGCCCCCACCTCGCCGAGCGCATCAGTCATCCCCAGGCGACCTCTCGAGGTTCGCGTCGCTCACAAACTCGTTCCACGTGCTCGCGTCCCACGCGAAATCCTTGGCGTCCATCTGGATCCCGAAATGGTCAAGTATGTACTGCGGGTGGCCGAACAATGGCATCGGGCCGTTGAATATGTCCATTTCATCGAACGCCAGCCCGTATGGCACGTTCGGCATGTTTTGGGCGTCTGCCGTCGGCTGCTGCGGCTGCGTGTCTATCGCCATGGGCGTGGGCACGCCCATGACGGTTGCGCTCGCAGGAGGGGCGCGTGCGGTCACGCCGCTTCCAATACCGATACCGATTCCGTTACCGATACGGTCCAATTTGAAAGCCGGATGTAACGCTGGCGCACTCGGACCCTGCTGGACATCCGCCCAGGCACCGGCATGTTCATACCCATCCTCGTTCCCGTCTCCTCCGGCATCAGCATCAATGCCGGCTTCATCGTCCTCCTCGTCGTCCTCCTCCGCATTCTTCCCTCCTGCGCCCCCCTCCTTAACAGCCGGCGTCGGTCTCATGTCCGTCAGCTTCATGTCCCCCATCAACGCCTCCGCCCTCGCCGCTCTCGCCTTCCTCAGTAACTTCTTCAAGGGCCTCCACAGCGTGCCCCTCCTCGTGTCGGCGATCCGGTCTCTCATCCCGTTGAAGTTCCTGTCGACGACCGCCCACGCCCTGTCCACCAGCTCCCCGCGCGTCTGCACGCACAGCTCCGCCAGAGCGACAGCGAGTGGATGCCACTGGACGTAGCTGTCGATCCACCATCCGAACCGCTCGCGGTACGTTATGCTGCTGAACTCGACGAGCTCGATTGTGTTCACCGCCGTGCGGAGCATCGTCTCCCGCGCGACGCGCGGCTTGGCCGTCGACGCCGCCCGCGGCGTGAAGGGGTACTGGGCCGAGAGCCACATCTTGAGAATGATGATGCGCACCGTGATGGCGGCGTGGTTGGCGAGGAGGTTGCGGGCATCTTCTTGATCCTGTAGCTGCGACGGCGAGGCGGGCGCTTTGGGCGCCGTGCCGAAGAGCGTCTCGAGGCGCTGCGCGTGCGCCATGATTTCTTCCTCCGACGTCGCCGTATCTGGGGAACTGTCAGGGCCCAGCGCGAGCTGCGGGTGCTTCGGCCGCATGTTCCCAAAGATGCCCGAGGACATGGACGTGCAGAGACAGAAGGTCATCTCGGTAGGTCCCGTCCGGTCTGCGAGCGGAGTCGTCGTCGACGGACCAAAGTCCTCATCGTTGAGATTGAAGGGCAGCCTGGTGTTGTACGACTGCCGGGGGATGGCGGCATCCGTGCCGCGGTCCTCGGCGGCGCGGATGTCGAGCACGACGATCATCCACCACAAGCGGCGGCGCATCTCGGCCTCGAAGGGCGGCAGCGGAGGCGAGACGCCGTCGCGGTAGAGGTGCAGGGCCTGGGCGAGGCGGACGACGAGCGGGATGAGGGCCCACGAGGCGCGGCTGGCGTTGTGGCTGCGGAGGAAGCACTATGTTTGCGATTAGGTCATGAACGGCAAGCCGACAGACGGGCTGGGTGAGCGTGAGGAACCTACGACATAGTATGTTAGGGCCTGGAGAGTTCTGATTTCTGTACTGTTGAGAAAGTCTGCCTTCTGCAGCGCAGTTTCGACGCCTTCTCTGAACCGCTGCGCGAGAACACTCCTCTCCTCGCCCAGGTTGGCGAGACACGCCTCATGGGATAAGCCCGTTATAGCACCGAAGTACATAGAGAAGAACAATGCCTCCGTGGCGTTATCAATACGTTTGTTCGGCGAGTTCGCAAAGGCCTCCAGCTCGGCAGAGATTGTGGGCCGGTGGATGACCTTGAAGCATGGGTCAATGTTGGAGAAGAATATCCTACACATGAACAGGATGTGCTTGCGCGGTGGGTGCCTCAGCTCCTCGGTGCTATGGCGGCCGATACTGGAAAGCAAGCCCGACACTGCCGGCGGGGTCTGGTCATGGCCCGGGCCGTGTCCCCTGACGGTGAGAGACTCGGGGCTCGTCGTGGTCGTCGGGTACCCGTCCTCGGACCCGTCGCTCTCCGAGGGCTGGTCCAGGGCTTGCCTCATACCTTCGACCTCCTGGCAGAGATTATCCCAGAACTCGGCACTCATATAGTTGGTCGGCAGGGTGGGCTGTGAGTCACACACCGCCATCGGCGAGGGCGCCGCGTCACTCATTGCAACAACGGACCCGTCGGTCTTGCCTCCGATGGCCGACGCCGCCCCAGAAAGTGGAGTGGGCACGGCGGCGGAGGGAGTCTTGCCAGCCCCATCGAGATTGCCCGAGTCAACTTTACTGACGATGCTCTCTAGGCGAGTGATGCGGTTGAGCAGCTCGCTCTGTCTCCCTTGGCGAGGCTTACGGTTCCGCTTCCGCGAGGGGAAGACACAGTCGAGGTCGGAGCGCTCGCACTGCTTGCAGCGCGGCTGGAGCTTGTCGCATTTGATCTTACGATGGCGGCAATTTACGCAGCTTAGCTGCTGCTTGCTGCTGCCCGGGTCCGATTGCTGCCGGGCTGTGGTAGCCGAAGATGGCGGGGGCGTCATTGTTTATTTGCTCGGTGCGCGTGAGTGTGAGTGTGTGGCCATGTGGTGACGTTGACAAATGTGGGTTTGTCACCACTAGCTCGGGTCGAGCTCACAGTGATGCCTCTTGCTACTCTCGAGTGACAGACGACGAGCAATCGTACCAGATAAGCCCCGCTGATGTCGGCACAGGGCATCGAGGGAAAATAGGCCGGGCAGGGAAATGTCTTTTCGTCAAGAGCTTGAAATAAAGAACGGGATCAGGGTTGAGGAAGGCTCAGAAGCAGCCTGGAGGCTTCACATTCATCAGGTATGTGTGTGTGTGTATGTGTGTGTGGGTGGGTGGTGCTGCTGGTGTTCTAGGCCGGGAGGGTGGTATGTAGCAAGCGCACTGCAGAGGCCGCCCTAAGCCCCAAGGGGCTGGATACAGTCAGTTCTCCGTACATGGGGATGAATGGAGCAGGATGTTTTCAGATGTGAAAATTCCTAGGCGAGACTCGTCAGCGAAACCCCCACTTCAGCCCGGAAACCTTAAAAGTAGAAGACAATAAAGAAAAGAAAAAGAAACGCCCAACATTCTCAAAGGGGAAAATGGAGGGCCCGGCCGTTGTTTCCTCATCTATTGTGTTGCCGATGATGAGGGTCCGCATCTCAATGTCTGACTGTCCGTGACTTCACTTCGGTGGCAGATTAATTTAAGAACGCTTGTTGGCCTGGTCAAAAGGTCTGACAGCTGAACCTTATGTTTGGGCATGGGAGTAAAACGAGATATGCACCAAATGTCATCGGCACTCGGCAGTCCTCTGTATGACCCAACAGCGGAGCTTTCCTCGAGTCGAGTTTCGTCTTTTCTGAAGGATCTAGTGTGACTAAATTGGCGATAGCGCCAAGGCCTTTGCTCAGCAGTCATGGGCGTTATGGGGGTTGTGCAATGAGAGAGAGGATGACTCAAACTCGAACCCCGGTGCAATATCACAGCGCAAGAATAGGAAAATTTGCATCCGGAACAGCAACCACCACCTCATACGGCTGGCTCACCGGTGTACGGAAGAACAGCAACAAGAAGCAACTCGAATTTTCTTTGGGAATTTAGGAGGGGGGAAACCAGGACGATAAAGAAGAAGATGGACGTCCAACCTCTAGACTTCGTCACGGTGAGAACCACACTCCCGACGATTCCTCTACCACCTCACGCCTCGCGGCAGCCCATCGTCACCGAACGTCTCATTCTGAGGCCTCTCTCCCTGGATGATCTTCAACCGCTGCACGTCCTTCGCACGCAGCCCGAGGTCATGAAGTGGTCGGCCGCTGGCCGCGTTGACGTCGACATGGAGGAGACGCGGACCAAGTTGGCACAGAACCTACCCCCCAATGACGCCGACAACTACGACTTCTCCATCTGCTTGCGATTGACGGGCGAGTGGATTGGTATCGGCGGCTGCAAGAAGTCCGCCGGCGGCGAGCTGGGCTGGCCCGAGATCGGGTACATGTTCCAGAAGGACTATTGGGGCAGCGGGTACGCCACCGAGTTCGTCGAGGCCTTCCTTGTCGCCTGGTGGTCTCTGCCCCGCTCCGAGTGCGAGGTCAACGTCGACAAGGCCACCGTTCCAGGGCACCTCGCTGGGGACGTGGTGGACGAGATCATCTCCGCCGTCACGGAGCCGGGCAACTTTGCAAGCCAAAAGATCTTGGGCAAGTGGGGCTTCAAGAAGCTGAAGGTGTGGAAAGAAGAAGCCGGAGAAGGGGTGGAAGGGACGATACTTGTTGGCCACGGCATCGGACGGCCGAAGCAATAGGTGGTCCGACCAGGCGACGTCGTTGCAGTTCGGTGCAACTCGGACTTTTGGCTAGCTTTATCTGCTCGACCGACCGACCAGTCTCGGGTCCCGGACCCTTTTCGACCGGTTCCTCAATTAAAGCAAGCCTTACAGCAGTAGTACCAACGGGTTCGGGGCAAACAAAACAGTAACGGCTTTCGGACATTTATGTGTTGTCCGCCGTTCTCCTCCCGCATGGTCGGCGGAAGCTATCACCGTTTTCTGGGGAATACCGTGTTGTAGTAATGGAACTTGAAATAGAGAAAAGCCGTCCCGAAACCATAACTTTGCTGCATCTCGTCAAAGAACTGTCATCCAGAAGAGAACAATCAGCAAACTTTGGAACCCAACCTTGTAAACGAGTGTTGGCCACTGAACCCCCAAACACACACGACTCGCCAAGACCAACATGCTGCAACTCGGGTTGATCACTACAATTTCCACTGCAACCGGCATCCTTGGCTGTGCCTGGTGGGCTGGTAAGCAAGCCCCTCCCACTCTACCGAGTGTTGCTTGTGTCACTTGGGGGCCGACGTCAGTTGCTGACCCTTAGTTCAGGCGCAACTGCATCATTGTCCATGTTCAGCGTCCCTGCCATCCTCCAAAGCAGCTCCGAACCAGCCCATGCACTGAGGCTATGGCGACATATTTTCTTGAACGGCGCGTCGACCGGCCCCAAAGTAGCGCTCCTTACCTTTTTGTCCTTGGCTTACACGGCGTATGACCACCACAACCGGGGGGCTGTGTGGAAGCCGTACACCACCGCCGCGGTCCTGAGCCTCGCCATCGTGCCCTTCACCCTCGTCTTCATGTCGTCGACGAACAACGCACTCATGGCCGGCGCGCAGGGTGTCGAAACGCTTTCCTTGTCCGAGACGACGGAGCTGTTGACAAGGTGGCGGGCACTCAACTTAGTACGGAGCCTCATCTCGCTCGCCAGTGCCGGCATTGGTCTGTGGTGTGTGACTTTCCAATAAACACTCGGCAATTCAGGTTATCGTACAGACGAGGGGGAAGGGGGCCAAGGCGGGTGGCACGGCGAGAGATTCATGTAAGATAAAAGATAGCGCTGGAGACGAGGCAACGAGACGGTCAGTGCAGCAACGTGCCTAGGTAGTGTGTGTTACCAAAGCGGTTAAGAATGGTACACACACCAGCGCAATGTACAGCAGCAGGTTCCTTGCAGGCCTTGTTCGTCAATCGGTGCTCATCTGCTCACCGCCAAATTAGCCTGTCCCTAAACCTTGGCTGCGACTACCTACATCATACCCAGGCGCTTTCACAGCGGTCAGGATGAGACGAAAACGCGGGGCTACCCAAGTAGGCCACAGTGGTAGACTTAGTGCTGTGCTATGTCAGGATGTGCGAGAGGCGCCGCCGCGGGTCGGCTTCCGGTAGGTCGCTATGGTTTAGCAGTGCGTCCTCCGGATGATGGGGCGAAATGCCGCATTTTTGGTGTTTTGCGCTGATGTTGACCGGGTTGTGTGGTCTGCCGCGGAACCGAAAGCTGCCATGGTTCTGCAGACAACGATAACGCTGTCTTGAATTGATGAGATCGTTGCTGTCTGCTGCTGGAAGGACAGAGGGGTCTCCGGGAAGAGATGACATGAGCAGAGTTCAGCCCCGTGTCCAGCGTTGATCTCTCCAAATCACCTGTAAGCTGGTCTAATTGGCTTTTCAGTGCGTTGTAGTGCGCAGACCAAGACAGGTCTGTCGGCATGGTCAGGCTGGCTGCCTCAGTAAAGGATGTGTTTTTGGGACCGGCTTTCCCAATGTCGTTGTGCCCAGGCAGTGTCCGTCATGGCGGCTGAACGGCCACCAACCTTCGCAACCTGGCACCTCGCGGCAGTCCGTCCCTGGCAGATGGCTCACCTGGACAGACAGACTTCCAGGCTGCATCCCAGGGGTTGGCTGGGCTGGGCTGGGCATCCATCGCCTTCGACGGGCATCCTTGATCACCTGTATCCCTGGATCTGTTGTTTAATTTGCCGCCCAGCCTCACTCTGCCTGTTCTCGTGGGGCATGCAGAATAAAAGTGTCAAAAGTTCATGTTGACGTGGACCGGGATCGAATCGGGACTCTTGTCGAAATCGAAGGTAGATGAAGTTGAGGTGCAGTCTGGATAGATAACAGCGAGAATCTACGACAATCGCAGTCGAATGTCGGACAGGCCGAGAAGGCCGGTGAACCTATCGCATGCCAGAGGGGAGCGGTGTTATTCATGGCGATTGAAGGAAGGACAATCAGTAAGATTGGCGTAAGGTAGAATGGAAGGCGACACAGACATGTCGAGTCGGAGTACTTGCAGATTGTATGCGGATAGAATGACGGCCGAGGTATCCGTACCTTGTCTGGGTATTACTCGCAGCGCCTGGTCCAATTATTCCCGCGAGGGAAGCTGCGCCAGGGTGCACGTGTCAGCCCAACATCCAAACGTTTTCCCTGTTTGGTCTCTATTCTTACCTCCCACTGCCCTGCCGGGCATGCCCTGTCCGCCCTGCATCAATTTTTTTCTGCTTGGAGCCGTTGCAGGTCCGGGTAGGAGTTACTTGCTTGCTGCTCTCCCGCTGCTCGGTTCTGCCTAACGGGGGGGGGCTCACCCACACGAAAAAAAGGCCATCGTGCGTCCAAGTCATCGTCCACGTCCATGCCTCCCGACCCCCCTCCAACCTCCAAACAACGAGGCGCAGGTACCCTCCTTGCTTGGAGTCGCAGTCCAAGTACTTTAGTTACATCATCAGCTCCCGTCCGCCTAACGCTCACCCGTCTCCCTCTCACTCACTCAGCCCATCATCCATCCCGTCCGACGGCTCTTCGCACCCACCAGACAAAAAGAAAGACATATCACGCCCATACGCCATCTCCTCGGGCCCAATCTTCTTCCCTCCTCTCTTATGTACCCGTTCGGTCTTGACTCACGGCTTGGCTTCAGCCTATTCCTGCCTTATATCTCTCCTCTCGCGTGCGCATAATGTTGTTTATGGCGGCGACCCGCACCCAAGAAGATCATATCCTAGATTATTAGTAGCAGTTGAAGCCCCGCCCCAAATCGACGACGTCTTGTTCGCATTCCCACGCTAGCGACTTTAAACCTTTCGGTCAAACGAAAGGTACGACAGCTCATTCTCAACGGCCGCTTGCCCTCGACCTTGCTCTTGCTCGTCGCATTCCTCGCCCAAGCCGACTCCGGCCGCGCGCGATACGTCTTTTGCCAGTCAGCAGGCGCCACAGCCGTTATACACTACCTATTTCTCCATTCCGTCCCATCTCCACACTTTCTTACCGGGACCTTCCTGTCCACAAAACCACACCGTTTGATGTAGACTTCGGCCCCGAATGGCGACGGCGACCGCAGAGGCCGACTCGAAAGAGTCCTCTGCTCAACCTCAACCCCAACCTCAGACTCAACCTTCCGACCCGAAGTCCCCTAGCTTTTATGGTTATCTATTCGGCCCAGACAAGGCACCGACACCCATCCTCGACTCGCTGCTGCGCGCCATCGCCCTCCACATTGTACGTCCCTGTCCTCGCCCACCCCGCCTCCGCCGATGCTGGACAAACACTGACAACCCCGCCAAAATCTCTAGATCACCGACATTGGCGATAAACATGTCCAGGCCCTGACCCCTCAAAAGCTGGCCGCCTTTTACAAGGCTGTAGGTGGCGATTATGATTGTAAGCAGACATCGTCGGCCCCCGCGACGTGCATTCCATTCCGTGCTGACAATCGTGTCATCCTAGCCCTCTTCATCGAAATGCCCCACCCCGCCATATCCTACATTTGGCAGGTTACGGGCTGTCAACACTCTATGCAACCCTCCGACGACGATTTCGTCGCCCCTTCCATTCCGGCTCTGACCTTGCGTGGTTTCGTTCGGTGGGAGTCGATAGAGATACTGCTGAGCCCCGAGGAACATGTGCCTTTTATTCAGCAAGCCGTCAAGCACTGGAACCTGAAGCATCCTGAAACGGGCGAGCCTTTCCCTCCTGACCTACCCGCGGAAGCTCTTCCTAGTGAACCGGATGCCGGGATAGAGAAATGGCACAAGGAGTGCGCCGAGAAGTTGAGGCAAGCCGCAACGCCAAAGGACGAGCCTGCATCTCCCAAGACTGCTCCTAGCCGCCCAGTGGAAAGAGACGAACCGAGAGTCAAGGCGGCTTATGTCCACGTCCGCAATCCGTATCCGAAGGCATCGCCCAAGACCTCACCTCCTCCTCGCGGCCCGCAGGCAGACTACTTTACCCCGTCGACCCGGCCTTCTGTAGCTTACAGCCATGTTCCAGGGCATGCTGCGAATAGGTACCCCCCGTCACGCCTGCACATACCTCGGTCTCCCGAGCGGGAGCGTTTCCGGGGTCAAACCTCGCCAGACGATCGTCGACGCCGTAGCTTCTCCGACTATCCCTCCCCGCCACACGAGACCATGCACGCTGCCTCTGAGCATCTGCAGCCCAACAGACCTCCTATGCAGCCTCGTCGGCACAGCCAGCCACGGCATTACTCGTCATCCTCGGCGTCCGATCCTGACGAACCAGCGAGTCCGCGAACCAAACGCAGGCCTCACACTCATCACTCCAATGAGCCGCCGCCCCCAGGCTTCCGGCGCATGGGTCCGTCAGCGCCCCCGCCGCCACCGGCGCCGCATGGCCCGCCTCCAGGAGCCCGCATTCACCGTGCCGATTTGAGGCCAGAGGACGCGCGCCGTCGCAGTATACCAATTGTAGACGGTCTGAGGGAGAAAATCGCCGAAAAGGTGACGTCTATTCTTCCCAACGGCCGGTCGCCGGAACGTCATCGGAGCACTTCTGGTCGCCGAAGTGATCCGCCTTCGCGCCGTAGTCGGGAGTACCTGCCATCTTCCAAGCTCAACCGCAGTTGGCCCGACATTGGGTCGGATGACTCGGGAGCGTCGGACTCCGAGGAAGAAGGCCGGCGTCGTCGTCTCAAAGCTCGAGAACGTCGAGAGATGGAGGAAAGAGAACTGAGGGAGAGGGAAAGGGTACGCGAGAGAGACCGTGGTCGAGACCGCGACCACAGACGCGACCGAGATAGGGACAGGGATAGGGATCGGGACTTGGAGCGCGAACGGGACCGAGATCGCGTCGTGAACTGGGAGAGAGAAGAGGACAACGAAGTACGAAGACGAAGGGAGCGACACCTGGTACGACCCGAGACCCACCGCCGAACAAGCAGTCATGCCGACGTGGACCGGATGCGAGGAAGGGGCGAGGCCCCTTGGGAACCTCGCGATCGCGAGCCCAGGGAGGACAGGAAACGGTGGAAAGAACGTGGGGCCAGCCCGGTAATCTCTGGAGTTGGGGGGCGACAATACCCAACTGGCCCGACTCGGATCTAATCTTATCATGGGGCGGCGAACCCGGTATAGAGGGCGACTTCGAGCGATTTGGAAGAATTTGGACTTTGACATATGGCTGGACATGATGGCATCTTTTACGTTTCCAATTTTGTACAACATGCTTACTTCTCACCCCTAGGCTGGAAGCCAGGTACGTGCATATGATCTAGGACGGACAGCGAGGAACGAGAAAAATATAGCTGCATGAAATCCAACGCTCATGAATCAAATAGAGAGGTATCAAGACTGCTTCCCAGAATGAATCGGCTTTATCCCCAAACGCCATAACCGCCAAAAGCAGAAGGAGACTACTTCAATCATCGCCCCCTTGGCAACTCACCCGTTTTCGTCGGTTAGGCCGACGCCCGATTGGGACGCAAGCCAGTCAAGTCCTTGAGCTTCAAAGTCCGCTCGACAGGCGAGTAGGAATCCTCCCGATACACATTGCATAGGTCGGTCTCATCCACGTCCATCGCGTTGTCTTCTCCAGCCACGATGTCACGTCCTCCGTTCATTTCCTCCCAAGACGCCATCGGCTTCGCGCCCTCGCTGTAAGAGGTCGTATCCAAGGCATCGGGGTGGACCTCGCTGCTGCACGCGGAGGAATTGCTATCATCGTCCCACGCGGAGCTCAGGAACCGATCGCTCGGATCGAAGAGGCCTTCCCTTTGAACGGTGGCGAGGAACACATTGCGGAGATGGCACCGCGTCTTTTGCTGCGCCACGTCCTCCTCCTCGAAATCTGTGTGCTCGTAGGGGTGACGGCCCGTATACTCCGTACCGTCGAACTGCCTCGAGAAGACCAGAGCGCCGCCTCTCGGTCTGAACTCACGGTCGCCTCGGTACGACCCCTCGAGGCCTTTGGCCTTAAAGCGGTCGAGACGCTCCCTCATGTCAAGGCTCCGTAGGTGCTCTACTTTCGCCTCTGCGACTTCCTTGTCTGTAACACCCGGACCAGAGGGTCTACGGAAGCATGGCTTGCGAGACTGTTCGGGCGCGTTTTGCTGCTGCTTGGTGAGGCAGGCGTGGTATAGACACTCCTCGCCCTCGCGGGTGACGATGCCGATGGTGTGCTGTGGGCCGCAGAGGGGCGACGTCGGGCCGTGGCGACATTCGCGGAGGGAGGCTCGGGCTGCTAGGAGACAGCCACATTCCGTGTAATGTCTGTAGAGTCGGAGGCACATTCTGTCCCCAGTAGGCGGATGGTATGCTGGATGGCTTTTAAGGTGTTCGACTTTACAATGTTTCCCACCTGATGTTCACCCAAAACCCTATTCAGACGGAGTAGTCTTGCGTAGGGTGCTCAGTTTGGTTGTATGGCTGGCCAGAATTGATGTGGAACTGTCGATATCCGCGTGGCATTAGCTACGTCTGGGAAGAGTCAGCAACTATCCATGATAGGTAATGAGTTTTGCACATGGGGAAGGGGGTTACCTAAACCATAAGGATGCAAGTTGCAGATGCAAAGCAGAGTGATGCGCAGGTGAACGTAAAACTGGTTTGCAAGTAGTGAATCAGCTTGATCGGTGGCAGTTGTTCTCACAGTCGTTGAGGAGGTAGGCTGAAGAAAAGAAAAGGCGATATGAGGTGGAGCATGATTTGACGGCAGCAGTGCGTCACCAAAGAAACGGAAGGCGTGTGTGGGATGTGAGTAACCGATGGTACCCAGGCGAAATATGACAAATATGGTTTTGCTGCCTGATCAAAGAAGGGAGGTACGGAGGTCTCAGGGCAGGATATTTACGTGGAGGTGAATGTTTTTTGTTTATACTACTATACTATCCTACACTGAACCCTCCTTTGGTAGCTCAATCTTTCTAGAGCATTCAATATTTCCTATCTTTATGTCTGATGCTAACATCTACGTATTGGGGAGGTAAGTCCAAACGCCAGGGATCATAAAACACACTTACGATATCATCTATCTACCTCTCACCAGCTCAAGGCCTACTCACCTCAACGCTCATCCTTCTCGCCCCTCTCCACATCCTCCCTGCTCGTGTCGTCACTCGTCACGAGACCTTGCCTAGTGACATGCTCCTGATCCAGGCTGTACTTCTTGACCGTAACGCTGATGAGCATACAGAATCCCGCGAACGCAATCAGGCTGATCCAAATCGCCCGCAGCGCGTCGCAGTACGCCTCTACCAAGTCAGCGCGCATGGGGTCTCCTTTCGGCATTCTCTTGATGACTTCCACTACAATGGTCGCGTCGCGTGAGTACTCCTCGGCCACGTCCGCGAGCGCCGGGATCTGCTCCAACCTTGTCCGGAACGCATTCTGGAAGATGACTCCCGAGACGGCGACGCCGACCGACTGGCCGAACGTGCGAAGAAACGAGTAGAAGGCCGCGGCCTGCCCGTTGAGAGCCGGTGCGCAGGCCGCCTGGATTGAGAGCGCCATGGCGGGGAACAGCATGCCCGTGCCGATGCCTATGGGTATGTTGAGCCAAATCCACTGGGGGACGGTGGTGGAGGGCCGCATGAGGCACATGAGTCCGGCACCAAGAGTCGTTATGACCCAGCCAGACCAGAGGGACCAGCGGTACCGGCCCGTGACTCCGGCGATGATGCCGACGACCATGGCTGCGGGGGCAACAGTGAGGGACTCGGGGAGGGCGGCGACGGCGGAGATGACCACGGAGTAGTCCTTGACAGCTTGATAGTAAAGTACTGCAGGGATGTGTTAGCTCGGACAGTTCTCGGAGGACTCAAAGGGAGGCACCAAGGGATAGTTTACCGAGGAAATAGAGGATAGACCAGAGAATCATGCCATGAAATACGGTCATGATGTAGTTAGCGACCATGGTCCAGTTGTTGAAAATGCCCTTGTCGATAAGTGGCTCCTTCGCGAATTCGAGCTCCCAGAAGCCAAACCCGACGATGATTAGGGCGCCCAGGAGCAGTGGCAGGAGGCACCTGAACGAAGACCACTCGTACATGACCCCGCCCGTCGAGATGCCGAACAAGAAGCTCGTCGAGCCCGCTGTGAAGAGGAAGCTACCGAGCCAGTCGAACTTCTTGAGCTTAACGCTGACCTCGCCGGGGATGCCTACTTGCTTGAGGAAGAAGAAGATCATGACGACACCCAGCGCGGTGATGGGTAAGTTGATCCAGAAAATCCACCTCCACGTAACGTCCTGCGCGAAGCCGGCGCCGATCAGGGGCCCCGTGACGGTGCCGACGGACCACACGGCCGAGAGCAGCGAGAACCACTGGCCTCGCACGGCCAGCGGGACGAGGTCGGTGATGATAACCTCTATGAGGGCCATAATCCCGCCGCCGCCGACGCCCTGGATCGTCCGCCCCGCGATCACGACGGCGAAGTCGTTCGCGACGGCGCCGATGACCGAGCCCACGGCGAACAGGAGCGCCGAGGCGAAGACGAGGGACTTGCGTCCGAAGATGCCGCTGAGCCCGGCGACAGTGGGCTGCAGGACGGTGCTGGCTAGTAGGAAGCTAGTGCCGGACCAAAAGGCCTCAAGGGCGGTGCCGCCAAGGGCCAGGGACATGGTCGGGAGGGCAACGGAGAGGGTCGTGGCGTCGAGGGCGACGACCAGGGCGATGGTGCAGAGGGCTCCGAAGGCGAGGAGGAACTCGCGCGAGGGCTTGAATACGACTTTACCATGTTGGTCGACGTGGGTAGTGTGTTTCTCGAGGGCGACCACAGATGCCCCTTGTGGATCGGGTTCCGCGGTAGCCATCATGAAGTAAGGGTTTTAGAGATGCGATGTATGCTTATATGCCGAGTACAGAGAGTAGATGTTTATCTATGCATCCATATTTCCCTGGGTGAATCAATGTAGACCGCGTTGACCCGGGGGCTATGCAAGTTTTATATATCTCCAAAGGAAAGAGGAAGCTTAAAACGGAGTGCAGCGACCCAGTACGGCCTGATTAATGAGATGTATCCTATCAAGCTGTCTATCACCGTCAATCCGGACCAGGGGCTGAAGGGGGGATCACGAGTGAATGGCAGCATGGCCAGACGGGAATGATTAACTATCATTGGAGTTAAGCGAGTGCGAACCTTGATTATCCTGCCCGTAGCGCCGGTCAGCATTTTTGAGCCACGTCATGGTTGTCGACGAATGACACTATGGATAGTAAATTCCGACCCGAGCGGGATTCTGAATTTGGAGTGTCATCAGCCCTACGGAGTCTCAGTCACCATGTTCCTCCGCTGTCATGTTGTGGTATTGGCTAAGGTCGCAGTCCGAATGCACATGGTTGAATGGTATGTGGTTTATAAGCCAGCGCGATCAGTTTAAGCACCGGTTGGGAAGTTGGCTTTGCCCAGAAGATTTTCTTGCCCGGGCTGTTGACAGTTGAGATCCGGCGGACATGTCGGACGAAATGTCATGCCGAAGGAAGCGGGCTGACCGGGCTGCGGCTCAGGCTCTTGTGGGGCCTAACCCGGCCCGCATCAAACCACGTTTGTTAACCAGACGCGGAGGTGTGGTGAACAGCCCATTCATTGGGATAAGGATATGCGGTCTTGCGGGCGAAACCGCCATTTAGGTGTCGATTCTCGTGAGCGGCTAACAGCTTATATTCGACTAAATGAGTGGAAGTTTCCATGGGATTCGTCGCTTGATCCAACTGAGATCAGTATCAGGATGAGCTGCCTCTTTTATGCATCCGGAACCACCCGGGTTACCACGTATCTCAGCCTGAGAAGATACTCAACTTCGGTCTGTCCTTTGCATTGCTACACTTATAACGCAATCAGCTGCAGAGGAAGGACTTCTACCAAACACCTTTTCTTTCTTCTTACCCCACCTCACATACCTGGCGATCCAATGAACGTGCCGCAACCAAAAGGCAAATGGGCCAACAACGGCAGTGTAAAATAAGAAGAGAAATACTTGGCAGTCATCCGCGCCTCGGATTTAGATGCTGAATATCGTACGATCCTTCAGCAACCGAGGCTGTTTATCTCCGATCCGGTCTTTTCGCGTGGGGTGTTTGGCACAGCAAATCAAAGACCCGGGATCGGAACTTAAGGACGGCTTCGACAGGTCTCAATGCTGTGTAGGTTTTAGCCGAACGCTCAAAAGCTAGGTAGCTCAGGGTAGCAGTTTCAGTCAGATGGAAACATCAGCCTTGGCGACGTCGACCGAGCACGCGGCCCGGGCCAGAGGGCATCAACTGCAGTCACGAACGACTTGCAATACTGGGCAGTATCTGTCAACTGATTGGAACAGCGAGGTACCATATCCGTAAAGAGCTGTCTGGACAATAGTTCTCGACATTCGGAACAGTAGCTTGTGAGTTACTGGGTGCATCATGCTGCCTTGCAAAAAGACCTATGCACCGTTAGAAATGTAAGCTGATGATGAGTTTAGCAAGAATGGTAATGGTATAGCCCCAGCTTAGCAGCGCAGCTTTTTGTGGTTCCCTCTTGTGAAGCCGACAGGCCATTGATCTTGTAGTCATCAAACCAGTTTCTGCAAATCGGAAGCGGTTTGATCTTTCCCGCATGATTTCTGTGACGCCTTCGAATCCTGCCACTGGGTGATCCGAGTCAAGTAGAAAAGCAAGTTCAAACTCAACGCCACCTAGCTTGGGGTTCACAGAGGCTTCCCCGTAAATTACCAAGCAGACCTGACTAGGCAAGTTCCGAAAGTTTAGTCGAGGGATGCTCCAGATCCGCTTGAAAGGGTAAGGTTCTCGGGCTGGATGTCTAGTCTTTTAGTTGTCTACACTAGGTAGTGCAAACTGAGCTGTGTGGCTGTGTATGGGAGACTTCAGACAAAGGTGAGGAGAATTTGAAGCGGTGAGGCAACTTGGTGGCCCGTTTCTGCTTCGCCATTGCATACGACACTATTTCTCGGCCACAGTCATCATCTGACAAATTGGCTGTTCGGGGTCAGTCCAATTGGAATTGCATGCTCGGAATGAAGAACTCGGGCCCCCAAAACCGTCGTAGCCGTCCTGATGGCCATTGCCTCAGATGTGCAGCGTGCTGCCCGTGTCACTGCAGGCTGGGACGGCAGCCTATCGGTAGGTTTGGAGGCGCCGTTCAGAAAGCCCACAGCCCTATGACATTTGTTTCGGCTGCGCCACGACCTCCCCCCTTCTCCGTTCAAAGAGGGGGCCGAATAATGTGGGAAAACAACGATCAGCCTGGCGGGGTTCGACAATGCAAGTAATACTGGTGGCTTTTTGGTCGGAGATCGGCAAAGCTGATTTCTTGGCGCAAAAGCTTGACTTTCATCATGTAAACTTGTCAAGACTTTGGCTTGGATGGTGGCCCGCGGGACAGGCGAACGTCAGGCGAACGTCGACGCTATTGTTGTTGTTGTTTTGTTGAAGTCGAGTGAAAGTTAAGCTTGCAGCTCAAAATGTCAAAAGTGGGTCTGTCTACCTGTTGATCGACAGATGGACCCCGCATAAGCTCGGTCAAGGAGGTTGACCATTACATAAGCAGCTATCGAGTGCTGGTCGTTTCTTCGCGCAGACATAGAAGAATTCAAACCTTCCGGCTTTCCATGACGCTTGATGGCCTGGAGTGGGAGAACCCCCTGTCTGCCATACCTATTCCCAACACCTTTGCGTCCGGATACAAGTGTGGCCTGCTAAGCGAATCAAGGTACAGATCAGAAATCGATCACGCAGAGACGCCCCGGTGTCGTTTTATGTCTCGCCCCTCAGTTTCCAAGGAATCAAGAGCGTCACTGCTCTACGTTGTCAAGCGTCGCATGTGGCATGAGCGGCGCCCATTCACCAGACCGTTGGAATTGGAGATTCAGCAAACATTATCCATGTCTTCCGTCCGACTCGATAATGACAGCCCCTGATGGTTACAGACTCTTCCGTGCATGCGACCCCGCGAGCGGCTTGTAGAGTTAAGCACCTCCTGGTGATGTCTTGGCATGGCCCTCTGCAGGACACGGATGATTTGCCAGCATTTCTCTTGAGACGTTCCCCTAGCCCGGAGCTGGCATCGGAACCGAAGACAATTATCAAGTTTGGGGCTCCTGCAAGGCAGCCCGTGCCGACAAGATCGATGGGCACACCTGCGGTCAGACAAAGACGGTGCGACTCGACGGGCCGCCTGAGTTTGCAATTTTAGATAGGAAAGTCGCACACTTGTTCTTCAATAAGGTAGCTCGGCTTGCAAGGTTTTCTCTAAACGGTCAACGAAAGGGCCTATGGTTCGTGGCCATCGCCTCGGCAGATGGCACACACAACCACAGCATTGGTACCTGTCTGAACTGTCTTTTATCGACCGCCTAGCCGACACGCTGGCGTATTCCTTTCATGCTTCCGCTAGGTTGTCCAACATTGGTCTTCTCATCTGGTATGTAGTTTGTCTCCCGTCTTCCCGTCTCAAACACACCGCGCACGAGCCGATAGAGCCACCCTCAATCGCCGCCGGGAATGTATCGTCACGGCCTAGAATCGCATGAAACAAACCTTCCGGCTCAGTAGACATGGTTGGCCTCATACTGCCCGGTGCTAGGGCCCCTTAGGGTCGTCATTCGACGACTCGGAAATAGCACTTCGTCTAAACTACTGATAACGCGGCATCCAAATACCACACAGTTTCGCAGGCGTGCCATCGGTGATCCAGCTTTTTCGTCCTTAAGCCACCGACCAGGGATTGAGCTTGCCAAGTCTGCCTTGGACATTGGAATGTCATCATAACGCATGGAGTTTGTCGCTTTGACATTGAGAACCCCTCTTCTATCCTACGCTTGTGCTCTAGCTGCAATCTGTGGCAGCAATTCACCAGTTGATCTCGGATCCAACTGCTTATCGCTCCGGGAGAGTCGTGAAAAGGATCTCAGCCCCTCCCGCATCCTCGAAGCCTCCTCCAGCATGCGTCCCACTCAATGACATCCTTCTGTATAACCTTCAACACCCCGTATTCTCACCGCAATCATGGTCAACACCGGAAAGCCATCAGGCGGCTGCAAGCTGTGCAGGGCTCGGAGGATCAAATGCGACGAAGGCAAGCCGTTCTGCATGAGATGCAAGAAATCACGACGGCAGTGCCCGGGCTACCGCGATCCCTTCGAGGCAAACATCCGCGACGAGACCAAGGCGACGATCAAGAGGTTTAAGAAGTCAAGAGGGGAGGAGGGCTCGGACGAGGAAGGCAAGGACATAACCCCGATTTGCAACAAGAAATGCCTGAAGACAGTTGCCGGTCCCAAGTACAAGACGTACGACTATTCGAACCCGGTCACCTTTCCGTGGCACAATAACGACAACACGACCGACGAGGACGAGGACATTCCCAGGTCCATATTCGACTCGCTAGACGAACAAGCCTCTTGCTACTTCTTGTCCGAATTCATTATTGTACCGCAGACGCCGACGGCCCGTGGCTACTATCGCTTCCTCCCCCGGTTCCTGAGCGGAAAGAAGGTCTCCAAGTGCCTCTACCAAACTTACAAGGCAGTCTCGCTGGCCGCGCTGGCAAACCGCCGTACCGTCAACGCCAGCGCCGCCCTGTTTCATGCCCAGGGGCATTACGTCCGGGCAGTCCGGGCCGTCAACAAAGCGATCATGGACCCGCAAGAGGTGCTGGACGACCAGACTCTCGGTGCCGTACTGATGCTGGCATTCTACGAGGTAGGATCCTTTGCCAATCTCCTCCCGTGAGCCCACGTTAACAGGATCTAGATATTGACGGCTTCCCGTGGTTCCATCGCGGCGTACACCGACCACATGAAGGGCGCCGCCATCATTGTCAAGCTCAGGGGCCAAAAGGGACTCGAAACACCCGAAGGCGAGGAGTTGTTTGCCATCACGCGAAACCAGTGCCTCTCCATCCACTGCCTACCCAACTCTCCCGAGGTGGCCGAGTTCACCTGGCTCCTGCACCACGAGTGCCGCGGCCGCATGCAGCACGCGATTGCCACCATGGACATCCAGAGCAGCCAGATCAGGCAGGACGTGGACCGCCTTCTGGGCCCGGGGGACCGCGAGCCCGGAACGATCCAGAATGTCCTCGACGTCCTGAAGCGCGCTCAAGCCCTCGAGGCCCGGTTCCGCAAGCTCAACAACGACCCAAGCCCGCAGTGGAAGGTCGACACTCTCGAGTGGGTCCCCGAAGGGTCCGATGAAGAGCTCGACACCGCGCGGGCCTTCACCGGCCCGGTATACGGCTTCTTCAACCTGCCCTTGGCTGTCCTCCACGTGGCCACTTGGTGCTGCCACCTCATGCTGACGACCACGATCCTCCGATGCATGGCCTGGCTCGTCTCGCCCGACGACTACCGCGAGGGTGAGGATTATGAGATGCTCAAACGCTCGGCTCAGCTGCGTGTCGAGGACATCATCGCAGCGACGCCCTTTTTTTGCAAGTGGAACGGCTATGGGGTCGTCGTGGCCCAGTTCCCAGTGGGCAAGACCAAGATCGACGATCCACTCAAGGGCGCGGCCGGCCTGATGATAATCTGGCCGTTGGTCACGGCATGCTCCAGCGATTTCGCGACGCCGAGGCAGAAGCGTTTCTTGCGAGGCCGTCTCAAGTATCTGTCCGAGGTGGCCGGAATCAAGCAGGCCAGTGTTTTCTACAATGTAAGTGCTCGCAGACAGTTCCTCCCCCCCCCCCCCCCCCCCCCCCCCCCCCCGACCCTTGGAGATCGCTGACCCGGGGCTCAGATGCAAGACACGTCATCGCCGTTCAGAGAAATCGAACGGGATCGAAACCAGGGCGCCTAGCCACCATTCCGACCCGGAGAGTGTGCGAGCCATGGCCTGCCGATGATGCCTGCGACCGTTTGGCTCTCCAACGATGCCTTCGAGTTCCAGACGACAGCGGCCTTTTACGTCTTCTCTCTCTACTTCTTCCCAGTCTTGCATTGCTCAGCGCTAGCGGCTCTCCACACTTCTCGGTTGCGATGTACACGCTCTTTTGTCTCTACACGAGTTACGGCCTGGACAGAGAGAAGGGGAGAGGGGGTGGGGAGTTGGCGTTGTGCTCTTGTGGAGGCGTCCTCTGGAGGCTGACGCCCGTTTGATATTAGATTTCAGCGAGCACATTTGTTCTTGTTTATCCTTTATGGGCTAGGGTTCCGTCGCCCCCAGGCGCTCGTTTCTTCGTCTTGTGCATTGTCTATATCTGATGGCAGGGCTACTCGGCGGTGCGGAAGACGTGACATGGATGATTGGACACGGGCCTCAAAAGTGGACTGTCTCTGTTTAGAAAACGGAAAACTTCTTGGGGAATACAGGTGCCTGTTTTTCTTCTTTTGCTTGAAAGCTGTGCCCGGCACACGGGAGAGGGGGTTGGGAAGCCGTCCACACCCTTGGCCCTAGTGTTGTCCAACATGCCATCCAACGAGACGGGGACATAAAATCCCAACCGAAGAGAAGCCTCACAACCCACGTGAGTAACCACGAAAAGGGGGAGAGGGTACTAGCTCCAACTGGGTTGGGCCAAATTGCTGCTCCCAAATATTCTTCCGACGCACGGGGCCAACAAGCACCCCCCCCCCCCCCCCGAAAGAAAAAGACCCTCACCTCCCGCGCCGCCCGACCCCGATCCTCTCTTCCCTCGTCCTCCCCCCACGGCCCCCATCCCCAGGCGTAGGCGTCGTCTGCATCGCGCCGGCTGTCCCGGGCTGCTGCTGCGCCCTCTGCGCCCTCATCATCTCCTGCTGCCTCCTCAGCAGCTCGTACTCGTCCAGGCTCTCGTCCTCGTCATCGCCCTCGGCCGTGACCATGCTCTCATCATCGAGCTGCTGCTGCTGCTGCTGCTGCTGCCGGAGGCGTTGCATCTGTTGGAGCTGCGCCGGCGTGTTTCGTTGCTGTTGGAGTGGCTGTGGGGAAGAGAAGGGCTGCTGGGACTGAGACTGCTGCTGGAGGATCCGCTGCTGCTGAGCCTGCTGCTGGGCCTGCTGAGCCTGCACGAGGACCTGCCGCTCGCGGAGCATGTCCTCGCGCGCGCGGCGGTCCTCGTAGGCGGCGATGTCCTCGGCCGTAATGGCGAGGGTGGTCGCGGGCCGGCGGAGCATGGTTACCAGGTGTGCGTCTGTCGGGTTATGGAGGCGAAGATGGACCAAAGCGGGCAGGGGATGAGATCCGAATCTGAGCCTGATGAGACCGGGCGCGATGCAGTGTGACAATGAGACGAAGGAGGGTGTGTGTGGGTGAGTGGGTGAGTGAGCTGCAGCCTGGACAGGCGAGGGGTCCGTTTCTGCTTTGCGCTAGGGCTGAAGGGGGCGAGATGAGTGTCGGAATGCGGGTGTCCTTTAGGAGAGGGCCCCCGATGGAGGCAACGACGATTGTGCGATGAGTCGGCCTGCTCGGGCGTTGATGTCGTCTTCGGGCGCGAGGCACACCAGCAGCTGAAGAAGAGGACCCTTTAAATAAATAAATTGATTGGACAAAAAGGGCCGCAGTACCCAAGCGATGTTGATGCGAGCGCAACCCTCCCTCTCCTTCTGCAGGCCGGGGGCGCGTCTGTCTGCCTTTGCCGCGGGGTCGTTGAATCAGCCGGGACGTCAGTCAGTCAGCTGGGTTGGTTTCTTTCTCGTTCGTTCGTTGTTGGTTCGTTCGTCAGGGAAGGGGCGGGGTGGAGGTTCAGCGCGTAAAGTTGATGCAGAAAAAAAAGAGAAAAAGAACCACAACGCACATGGATGGGGTGCGGGCGGGTCTTGCCGGGGCGATCCGTGGCGGGGTTCGCTGGAGGGGGAGTGTTCGCCGGATGGCGGGACCTACATATCGGGGGCGGCGTTGGTTGGCCGTGCGCCCCGGTAAACGGTGGCACTGTACAGTCAGTCAGCTCTAGTGGATGCGATGCGCAACGCATGTGGCGGATACATACTACTCAGTACTCTACCGTTGGATCTGTCTTCAGTTGCTTCAGGTTAGAGCGTCACTGACACTAACATGAGATTTCAGGTCATCGACATGTCAGTGTTGAGCAGCAGCAATCGAGTGTAAGTGTCATTATCATTTCGTTGTACTCTGTCCATACTGCCATCTACCTTGTGTGCCAAACCAGAACCCATACCGGCCGTGTATGTAAGCATTCCTCTCAGTGCATCCCCAGAACACAAACGTTCTCCGCCTCCCACTTGAGGAAATCCTCGAGGTCATGTCGTAGATTATATCCCATCGGCACCACTTCCAACTCCCCCCCCGAATCCCTCATCACGACTAGGTCCATCATCGGGCTGGGCGGCAGGCTCCCGACGCTCTCGCGGTTGAACCGCTTGAGATGACCCTCCGTCGTCCACCGCCGGATGCCACGCCCGGACTTTGGGATTTTGGACACGCTAACGGCGCTCTCGTTCCAGAAGCCCGTGGGGTATTCGGACCCCACAGGTATGGGCAGTTCGCTGTCTGCCGTGGGTCTGGGAAATGGACTAGGAGATAGCATTGCCGGCACCGCCAGTGACTCCTTCGGTGAGCGTGCCCGTTTGTCACTGGTGATTAGGGTGCCGGGGCTGTCGAAGCAGAAGCCATGGAACCAGGAGGCCAGGTCGGCAGCTTCTTCATTCTCTGGTAGCCGTGTGAAGTCGGTGGAATCGGAGGAGAGGTATCCCGCGCCACCAAGAATGGCCATCTGAAAGGCGGTCCAATCCAGTGTGTCGTCAGGGTCGATCTTCATTCCCTTGACGACTTCCGTTCGAGGAAATCGTATCGGTCCGTGACGGAACATGGGATGATTCAGAGTATAGTCTGTGGACTGGAAGAAGACAAAGCCGTCTTTGTCCACCGGCGCGAAACTCCGAGCTGCCATCTTGTTGCTTCTATCGACCGGGGTTTTCCCAGTTCCCGGTGTCGTAACGATAACTTCAGGTATTGTCGGCAAGAGAGGCGCTTGCGGCCGGGCCAGGAACCTTGCCGGATTCTTTGCCGGTGGAAGGGGCACGCCGACCTCGCCGTTTGTCAGGGGGCCCTCGCCCTCGTATTCTTCGTTAGTTACTGGCTTCTTCCTTCGTGACGACTTCTTTTTGAGAGCGCGTTCCAATCGCCCTCCTGGGTTTAGAGGGCTTGGTGGTACGACCACGTCAGCAGCAGGTGGCACCGTCACCTTGACTCCCGCTGCTCCTATCCGAGAAGGGAGGTCCTGGAGGTGGAACGGCTCGAGCGGCGTCTCGCTGTCATCAGTACTGGTGGTACTTAGAGTGTCGCTCGATCGGCGTGGCTGTGATTGAGCTTCCCTCTCCACCCGCAATGATTCAAGACGGTCTGGTGTCAGGAACTCGTCAACTTCCACCTTGCGGAAGAATTGCCCGCTTATCATGTCCTCCCCCAGCTGCCAGCGGGCAGATTTCCTAGCCGTTGTCTTGAACCCCTTTGACTTCTTTGGTTTCTTCCCTCTCGCTTCGAGTGCTGACGGCATCGGAGCGCCGAATCCCGAAGACAGTGCCGGAGTGCTATTTCGGCCTTGCAGCGTTCTGTGTGGGAAATTTGGCGAGTCCTGCTGGAACGGACTGGGAGCTGATGATGTAGATGTGCGACCGATATCGGTAGGCGACGGGAAGTTCGATACAGCCATTTTCGCCTCTTCAATGGCTGTCCCTACGGCTTTGAAGGCCTCGTCGGTTTCTTGGATGAGGTGTTGAACATTTGGGGACCACCCGTCCAGTCCGTATTCTTCCTCCTCTGGCGATGCTGGAGGGGTCAAGGTTCCTCTGAATGCGGGATGGAACGATAAGTCTACGAAGCCAGCCTCGTGAGCCTTGATGCCAGCTTCTGTCGAGCCGGGCCCAGGCACGCTGTCGTATGGCGGTGATAGGGGAGATATCCAGAGATGTCTGCGTTCCGCGAGACGCTTCGGCGCCGAAGGACGAGAATTTCCCTCTTGTGGTGGAGAGCAACAAAGGGTGCCATATCCGGGGGTAGTCGGAGCTGTGTCTCTAGGACACTCGCAACTACACAAAGAACTCGAGGATGAATGTGGCGATCCCTGGAGACGGGGAACGTTTAGTGAGCCTCGCACGGGGACATCCCCTCTCGAAGGCCTCCCTGGTTGGGAATTGGGCGGGCGTCTGGGCGGCGCCCAGGAATTGGCTTCCTGCTGTCTCTGCCGCGAGCTGGGTAGATCAAGGTCCTCAGTCTTATTAGAGTCTTCCGAGTGACGATACTCTTCTACTGTCGGGGAAGGGCGAGGTGAGATGAGCCTCCGTATGCTGAAATTCGACCGAGGCATCTTGGTGGAAACTTGGTCGCACAAAGGGGACCATACAGCAGAGTCAAGGGCAGGATGGTCCAACACGACTGGTACAGGGCATATATGGGGAAGATGGTACGAAGGGAGATGGATCTCTTGAGGCCCTTAGCGAGTGACGTGACTGCGTGGGAGGTCCATGACCGGGGGGGAGGGCAGACAGTACACGGGCAAAGTAGAAGGGAAAGGATGGATGCCATTTGGGGCGAAGGGCACAGACTGAGAGCTGGCTGTATGTATATTGTTCTGGGGCTGAATGTGGTAGTACAAACGAGAGCAAGCGACTTGGGGTCGCTTTGGACCGGCTGACGATGATGTCCGTACGAGATACAGTGCCTGTCGAGTCAGGATGGGGGCGGTAGTCAAGGGTGATCATTAGCTGGGAGGGGGCATCTGTAGACAATGGTGGTAAAAGAAGCATTCGTGTGTGATTGTGGTCGTGCGGTGCGATGCCGTGTATGCATGTTGCGGCGGTGCAAAAAGCCAGCCGGGGTCCCTGCCGGTTGTGCAGGCAAACTACTGTGTGAGAGCGGAGGCCGCAGAGTCGTGTGTCTCGTCAATCCGGCCGGGGGGGGGGGGGGCAGGCAATGGGTGCATGCCAAAATAATAGAAGCCGGGGCAGCGAGTCACCCCCGCCCGGGTGCTATTACTGGCGGTTTGGCTTGGTTTCCTCAAGACGTCGTCCGGAAGGGGGGACTGCAGGCGACCCCAGAGGGAGGGTGACATTGCATCTGTTCTTTGCCCTCCATTTCCATTATGAGACACAGTCGTTGCGGACATATGAGATCCACACACAGCAACTTTACGCATATTGCCTCTGTTCTGGGAACCCACCGTCAGTTCGTGATCCCTTGCCAATACTTACCTCGCCCGGTTCTCGTAGGTAGGCAGGTAGCATCGTGCGTTCAGCCTTATGAGTCGATAGGCGCCGTAGCTGTCGAAGCCCTATGGAGGCGTGGATGATGGATGCGGCAGGATCCGTTCCATCCGACCATTGGACCAGGGCGTCGCACATTAACGAGAGACGGTCGGCCAGCTGCAGATGCGAGTGAGATGCGACTCGATAGGAGCGCTCGCTGTGCAACGGTGCAGGCGGCGACGTACAGAGAGGCGAGCAACCAGTCGAATTCAATCCGGCCCGTCTCGCTGGCACCGAATCCGCTCGCCGGCCACGAGCGAGCACACGCGCGAGAGCCGAGGACAAGGAAAGCCCATGCTGGGTCACGGGCCAGGAAAACAGACAGGCGGTGCCGAGACTGCGACATTTGCACCCAGTGACAGCAATCAAGCAGCCACGACGGGGCAGGGCCCTACCCTGTCCTGTTCGGCATTGACCGACGATGCCGCGGTATCGAGGACAATGGTCTGCCGATGGTCTGCCGATGTATGAAAACAAGAACATTGCCGACGGAGGCGCCTTCGCATTAAAGCTCTCGTCTGCCTCACTGAGCGGCGAGACACTTGCCTGACCGCCGTTGGGATAACGACAGCATGCTTACGATACTTGGTGAGTAACGCAGTATCCTCGGGCAAAGGTGCAGTCGAGCGACTGACTTGGTGAAAAAGAGGTTAGCATCCGCTCCTGTCGAACCAAGACAGAGAGAGATGCGGCTCGGGAAGAGGAAGGTGGATATCCAGCCGCCTTCTTTGGTATTGTGCTCGCGAGCGTGACATGGTATTTGGAAGGGCAGAGAGAGGGCCGATTTCAGACACAGCGTGCATCAATTACGAGCTCTTCCTGGCCTGGTGTTGAGGGTCTCAATTCTGCAGGTCTCGCAGCCGATAGGTAGGCACCTAGGTAGTCAGGCTGCTAACTTGTCATGGCTGACGAGAGACGAGGCGAGGAGGGCGGCAAGAGACTGCGGGCCACTATACGGCGGCTGTGGGAAAGACTGGACTGGACTGGACTGGGCAGCAGATCTGCCGGTGACGTCTACCATGTGCATGAAGGAAGTGCCGATCATGGGCTGCTCGGTGAGTTGGTGGTGTGGTGTTGAAGAAGAAGCAAGAAAGGCAGGTACGTAGTCTCAGCTTGCTTGCCCAGCCCAGGAAGTCGACTGTGACTGGATTCGGCCTGCGTTGCGAGTAAGGTAAGTTGGTGTGACCGGGCTCAATGGCCACTCGTTGTCAGTCAACCCCCCACAGCCGCCTGCTAGCCCAGTTATACAATTACAGATTTACAGATAAAATCTACGCCAACTTTTAACCCTGTCAGGCTTGCCCCGTCATAGACCTGGGGGGCAGCCCTGACACACATACACAGATAGGACCGGCCCCTGCAGGAACAAACCCCCTTGTGCCTTGACACTGCACACGTGGTGTTCGGGAGGCTGGCCGGCCCAGAAGCAGTGTCCTGTTGGCACTTGTTGCTAGTGGCCTGACTGCTACTGCTCTTACAGTGACCACCAAAAAGGCGCATCGCATATCCGTATATAGGTCGTATATCAAACTTTTTTTCCGGTGGAGATTGTAGACATGCGCTTCATGCTCGAAACAAAGCAGAATGAATCGGGCGAGGCCACCGCCTATTCCATCCATCAGCCAGCCAACAAACCAGAGCAAACAAGATCGTGGGCAAAAGGAGCCATAAACCAGCCATCTACCCACCCTTGCTTTTTTCTTCAGTTCAGTGTCGTTCAAGTATGTACCCTGGGGGCCCGTATCTCTCCTTGATCTCCGACCTGTTTCTCCTCCCCCTGATCACCGTTGAACCAGCGTGGGCTGTTCCGACAACCCCCTCGGACACCCGAGTGCCCGTCACTCCGTCTACCTACACGGCTGGGGACGTCTGCTTGGCGTCGACGGCGGGTGCCGGCGGCTTCCCAGAACCAAGAAAATACCTGGGCCGCTGACGAGCCAAGACAACCTTCATAAAGTAGGCCGTTCTATTTCGGACCTGGCAAATGCCACTTTGCTCTGCAGCCGCGATATGCACCTTGCCCACCCACCTTTTTGCACCCCTGCCACCGCGTTGCAATGCCCCCAAGGTCTCGGGAGGGGAGTGTGACTGAGACGCTGTGGTGGGGACCCGCTCCTTACTTTTCTCTATACCCATTTCTCACATATATCCGCACTTGGCAGAAAGACGTCGGCCTCCGGTTGTTGATCACGTACCATTCATTGCTGCGGTCGCTACGCATGAGCTACTACTTTTAGGCCAGTGCGTAGCCTGTGGCCGTAAAACCTGGGCCATGCGCTCGTTAAAAAAAAACACAATAGCCCACCTTGGCATCACGCAATGTGTCTATCCTGGATGCCATGGTATTGAATATTAATAGCCGCCTGAACTATTCCAGATCAACGCGCAACATCTACATTGTAGATGACGTTGGTGGCCACTGTGCTTCTATCTAGAAACCTTTCACTATGGTGTTGGGTACCAGGCATGATGCTTGTACTGTGTTTATCCGACTGTGTTAGAGTATTATTATTGTGGTGGTGGAGCCATATTGATGTTGCAGTTCAGACTCCTACAATAGATATATCCAAGTCCGTCTTCACCTATGCCAGTGCTGGTCAGCAGCCATGCCTTATGTCGACTCCACGTCAGGTATTCAAGGTGACAGTTATGACGGTTATGACGCAATCACTGGCCTTTAATTATTAGAAGTGGTGCTGCATTGGAACTGAGGTTGCTTTGAAAAATGCTGGTGTTCATAATGCTTCGACTGGCCCGGGCTGCCGGGCCGAGTCGTCTAAAGTAGACATTGCGCCGCCAAAAAGAAGGCCATCTTCGTCAACTCAATGGCTCGGTTCCCTTTTCCAGAACGAGTGTATACTCCTTCCGTTACAAAAGAGATGCGACCCCTTGGCCGACTATTCCTGAAAATTCCATTGCCGCTCTAACTTCCGGCCCCTCCCATCCTTTGTCAAGTGACGAGGACGAGCAAGCGCCATGCTGATGACTGCATGCCAAATGCGTCAACGGTCTCCGGCAACAACGTTTACGTGTTTTTGTACCGCCCATTTATGGATTTCTGGACTTGTTGGTTCGATTAAAGACGGAGTATGGTGGTTGTTGGTAAGGTGACGTAGTCGCGCAACTCGGCGGGTTGAGATATCCATCGGTCGACAAGTGTCAGTTTGGTCGTTATCGAGATGAGAGACGTTGCTGGGTATTGATCTCTCTTTTTTTTCTCCCTTTTCTTTCTTTTTCCGTCTTATTCCATGAACTCGTTGCGAAGGATCTCATGGTCCTTCAAAGAATCTCTCCGTTCTTGCGAATTTCTTTCGAAGTGGCCGTCGACATGAAAGACTTGGCTGCGTGCTGCGGTACATAGGCCGCCGTCTTCGGTTGCTCGGCCATGAGGTGCTCGTTCTCCTCCAAGTTGCCCATCGTAGTCATGGAGGCCATCGAACCTTTACGGCTGTTTGTACCCGACCGCGAGAATATCGAGAAGGTGGGGCTTCGTGGTGATAGGGATGGGGAGGAGGAGGAAGCCGTAGAAGTGGTAGAGGAGCGGCGGGGGTTGAATGTGCCAACCCACGAGACGCGCTTCTTGGAGAACATTGTGAAGGGGTTTTAGAGTGATTTCGAGATTTAGGTGTTTATCAAACGGTGGAGAGAACCCAAAGACTGTTGTTTGCTATGTTGTGTTGTTTGCTGCGTTGTGCTTTGTGTTGCGAGAGTGTTGTGTTGCTGGGAACGGGAATTGGAGGCGACGATCCACGAGTTTTTAAAGACAGCAGAGCAAAGGAAAACGATAGGGATCTTTGAGGAGCCGAGATAAAGAGAGAAAGGAAGCCACGCGAGATCGTATCGACGTGCTCATGGACACAGAATTGAATCGAGTTGCCAGGATTATGGGAGGCGTTGAATCAAGGCGGAAGCAGCACAAGTGGTGAAGAGAGTTCGAGCTATGAAGTCCACTGCTAAAAGATAGAAAAGCCTAGCTTAGGGCCGATTCATTATAGTACGTCCGCAAGAGGACGTGGGATTCCGGAAACAGACCTCATTTGTACCCTCGGCGGAAGAGGGTAGACTGGTCCGAGAGGGGACTGTCAACAGAGCCTGGGACGACAAAGATTCCAATCGCTGTGGCTCCGCAATCTCCTTACATTCTCTTTTCGCAACCAAGACATCAACAAGCCCATCCCAGCGCCTCGCCAACGCCTTTGCCGTTTGCAACCAAGTTAGCTTCCTAATGGGCCCTCCCTCTCAATATCCTCCATATAAGCCCCGGCCCTGTTCAGCCGGGAGGTGTCCGATCCAGCCAGCCCTCTCGGAGGCTTGGCCCGACGGCGTTGGGCTGTCGCTTGAGAAATAGGCCTTCACTTAGATGCCAGTCGCCCACGCCTCGTTGCGCTGATGGCTTCCTCTTACCTTCTCCGGACTGTAAAAGTTCGCGCAATTGGCTCTATCGTACCTAGTACCAACTCCGGGCTAGGTTGCCAGCCAAGCTGCCATTCCAAGGGAGGCGCTTCAAGGCGCCGTGCATGCCCCACGCCGGAGTCCTTCACAAAAGAGGCTAGTGGCACACTTTGTTCACACTAACCTCGGGGATGCAGCTCGTTTATTGTCAATTTTGGCGCATGCGGAAGGCATACCAGGGTGTGGTCTGGTCGAGCCAGGAAAGCTTTCTCGCTATCGATAGGGGATATTAGAAACCATTGTTTCGACGAGGCTATCCTACGTACCAGATGGGTCCTCGAACCATTTGGCATTGCTCACTCATACTCGTCCTGGTTCTGCTCGTCCTCGTCATCCTCGTGCTTGATATAAGGCACGAACCGAAAGTCCAAAAAGCTGACTCCGCCGCCTTCCACTTCCACCATGAACTGCAAGCTTAAAACGCCCTGGGCGTCGCCGCGGAAACTAATTTTGCTAGCGATCCGCATCGCCTCGCTCGAAGACTTGATCAGATCGAATTTGTAAGTCTGGGTCCACCGATCCTGGATCGAGAAGGTCTCGAGCAGCTCGCGGCCTTTAGCAAAGTCCACACTGGACGAGCCGAGGTCACCAGCACCGAAAAGGGTAAGATAGGGCTGTGTTTTCGAGGCCGTGATAGTAAGACGACTGGGCCCAATGGGGGCCAGTTCCGCTAGGGCGTCGAGAAGGTAGCGCGCTTGCATGATGATTTTGAAAGACAGGTTTTCTCTGTCAAAAGGTATCTCCTCTGGGATTTCCGGCAGATAGGTCGTAAGGCCGGCAGTGGTTTTGACCCCACCTTCCTCAATCACAATGTTGAACTGCCCACCCTCCTCGATATACACAAGACTGCAGGTTCCTCCGATTCCCAGAGTCTGGTTACTAAACGCATCTGGTCGGTAGTTGCGGAGGTTGCTGCGGTATGGGTCCTGCTCGGCCTTTTGTGTACGTGTGGCAACGTCCACTGCACCAAAGATCTGAAGTGTTTCGAGGAGGGCTGGAAGAGTGATCTGAAAGTTTGGAAGAACATCATCGTCTTGGCCGATATTCAAAGCGTACGAGGTGAAGAGCTTCTTGTCGAGGAAGGCAGTACCTGATTGGCTGTCAATTAACCTGCCGACTCTGCCCGGCCAAAACCTCACGTACCTTGCATGACCCTGGACAGGTCAGCTGCGAACCTGATGCCATCTTCTTGTAGTTGTACATGGACCTTGTTGGAAAAGCTGATGGTTCTCAGCAGCTGGTACAGCGGTCTTGTCGAGCTGGCCACGGCACGGAACAACGGCTGTGGTACCGTTCCGGACTGTGGAAGGGGGCCGGACATGATTTCTAGTGACGCGGCAGTTCTGTACTTGAGAATGGTCACCTGAAACTGCGAGAAAGGTGATATTGATGGGTTTCTTGGTTGTTTCTAAAGTACAAGGTCGCCGCCGACTTGAAAAACTTCTTGGGGTATCTTTAGACGTAGACTCCGACCGCGCAGAACATGTAAACCGTGCCGAATCTGTATTCCTCCATCAGAAAATTGTTTTTGTCAAGAGATAGAAGTGTGTTGACTTACGCAATTGCGGCAGAGGCAGGTACACCTAGAACCAGAATGTTGGTAATAGAACGGTCTGTTTTGGAGGTTAGACGAAGGACCTTGCTGGAAGAATTACTGATCCAAGCTTACTCAGAGCGAAAACACCGGTAGTTCCAACGCCAATGAGAAGGAGAAGGAATGCGACAAAAAACTGGGTGTCCTTGCCGACAGCAGGGTTGAATGGCGTGCTAGCAGCAGCTTGCCAGACCTCAAGCAACTTGGAGTCCATCTGCTAATTGAGGGGAGGCGATGGGTTCTTTGACGTTTGGGGAGGACGTTTGTCTCGGTTGAGTATCAATGACCCGAACCGTTGAAAGTGTGCGTGCAGAATCGTGAATTTCCCAATTGTTTCCGGTAAGTGCTAGCGGGCGGTTGCTTTGGAAGATCGCGAAGTGTAAGGTCGCCAGACTGTAGCTTCCCCAAACGTGTTCTGAGCTCCAAAGGGCCCACTGGGAACTGTGGCCTGAGCCATAAACGGACTAGTGCCATACCGCTTTCCCCTTGCCCATAGCCCCACTTGGCGCCATCCGGCAACGGAGAAACGGCAGAGCCTAGCGCGACATGTCATCAACCTCCCTCCAGGGATCACGACAACATCCATCGACTTGAAAACAGGCCTGCAAGGGCTCGCGATCAAGAGCAATATGAAGGAAGAGAGTGAGTCGCATAGTGCTGATTGTCCATATGAGACAGATTTCAATCTAACGCGATGTCGTAGCTGCGAAGCGCAAGGCTGAGGACGAGCCATCCTCGCCGATCGCGACAAAACGGGTCAAGCACAATGAGTCGGCCGAGCCAGAGAAGAAGCCGGCGATGAAGCCTATCCCTTTTCCCGAGAAGGTGAGTTTGTCTACGCATGAGCAGCGCTGTTAAGACACCGCGCGCAAACGCAGGCCTGTCCCGCGACCCCAACCCATAACCCCTCTGTCCTCCACATGGGTCCGCAAGCTGACCACGACCCGGGTAGCCTGCCGTCATCGAAGAACGAACCGGCGAGATCGAGTTCCGAGTGGTCAACAACGACAACGAGCGCGAGTCCCTCATCATTCTCACCGGCCTTAAATGTATTTTTCAGAAGCAGCTCCCCAAGATGCCGAAAGACTACATCGCGCGTCTCGTCTACGATCGGACCCACTTATCAATCGCCATCGTTAAGAAGCCCCTCGAAGTCGTCGGTGGCATCACGTACCGCCCGTTCAAGGGCCGCCAGTTTGCCGAAATCGTCTTCTGTGCCATCAGCTCCGACCAGCAGGTCAAGGGTTATGGCGCGCATCTCATGTCCCATCTCAAGGACTACGTCAAGGCCACGAGCGACGTGATGCACTTCCTCACCTACGCCGACAACTACGCCATCGGATACTTCAAGAAGCAAGGATTCACCAAGGAAATCACACTCGATAAAAGCGTGTGGATGGGTTACATCAAGGACTACGAGGGCGGTACGATTATGCAGTGTTCAATGCTGCCGCGGATTCGGTATCTCGAAATGGGCCGCATGCTGCTCAAGCAAAAGGAGTGCGTGCAGGCCAAGATCCGCGCATATTCCAAATCGCACATTGTACACAGCCCTCCGAAGGAGTGGAAGTCCGGCGCGAAACCCATCGACCCGCTTAGCATCGATGCCATCCGCGCATCCGGCTGGTCCCCGGACATGGACGAACTCGCGCGGCAGCCTCGCCACGGCCCCAACTACAACCAACTTCTCCATCTCCTCAACGACCTGCAGAATCACCAATCGGCGTGGCCCTTTCTCGTACCCGTCAATAAGGATGACGTCGCCGATTACTACGAGGTCATCAAGGAGCCCATGGACCTCAGTACCATGGAGACCAAGCTCGAGGCGGACCAGTACGCCACGCCCGAGGACTTTATCCGCGACGCCAAGCTCATCTTTGATAACTGCCGCAAGTACAACAACGAGTCCACACCGTACGCGAAGAGCGCCAACAAGCTGGAGAAGTACATGTGGCAGCAGATCAAGGCCATCCCCGAGTGGTCTCACCTCGAGCCGTAGAAGGGCAAAAGGAAAGGCAAGGAGGGCGGGCCGAAAAAGGCATTGCAAAAGGAGAGCACGAAGGGAGGTCCACGGCGGCGGTCGTCTAGGGTGCGCGAGATGTCGTAGGCTTGTTTGGTCACATAGTCTTTTGACGAAAATCCGGGGTCGGATAGGTTTCGAAGCTTGTGGGGATTGGCGTTGGTTGGCGACTGTTTCCCCTTGGGGTTTGTTTCGTGGTGCTATGGAAGGTTACCGAGAGTGCGCAGGTAACAAAGGCCCACCGTGGCGTTTAGGGGAATCGGCGTACTCCTTGTTATTAGCATGATACTCCAACGGTTGGGAATCTTGACAAATGCTTCACACTTTGCGCATTGCTCCACCACTTTGAAATATTGGAACTTGTGAACCAATCAGTCTGTTGAAGGTGTATGTAAGCCACATACTCTTGGACAAAACAGGAAAGCATATAGAATTGGAACTTTTATGACAAAGGGTTATCCACTAAATATAGGTGGCCTGGTTGAATGCAAGCCCTGAAATGTAGAGTTCTCGTTTCCTCGTAACCCCTTGTGCTCGCTGATCCAGTCCCTGCAAGTCCTACCAAGGAATAAAAACATGAGATAAAAGCAATCCGTCTGACGCCTTGTGTGTGGGGGGGAATAATGGGATGATGCGTGAGAGGTTCAGCGCATTTCAGGAGCGATCCTCCTCGTACCCAGTGGACTAAAGAAAATAAAATCTAGTACAGAAACCAACCCGAATCCGGGGAAACGTAACGTCAGCACATACGTTGAGCGCTACAACGAGCCTCGTCCGTGGTCGCCTGTGCATCAGAAGACCGATGATTTGTTGACTCGGTTATTTTCAAGGAAGAGACCTAAGGGGGGTAGGTGAAGATCATGTCGTTGGGACCGAGTATGCTGCTCAGTGCCGTAGCCTCCCTCTCATGCGGATTCGGGAAAAAATTGATCAACGATAGAGGGGACATCAGGCGCCCGAACCTCCTAGGCGCCGGGGGCCTGTGCCGTCCGTTGCAAAGCCGGGCTAGTCGCGCTATCGCCAACAGGGAGGCGCAGATCCGAATACGTACGCCGCCAGTTTGTGACACCGCCAATGTGGTGCTCGTCGGTGCCTCTTCGCTCTCGTGCTGCACTAGAGCTGGCCAGGGTGGGCAGACGAGCCGGTGGCATGATGGCGTCTTCCAGGCCGGAGCTGGTCTCGAGAGTACGGCGAATGATGTCGTGGAGGAAATCGGGGATATCTTGCCACTGGCCGGCGCGGGCAGCCATCAGCATGCGAGGAGGAAATAGGGCCTGCGGGACAACCGCATCTGCAGCGTCGGTTGTTGATGTGGGAATCCCGTTCGAGATGTACGGCAGCTCACCACTCTCGATGACGTTCTTCAGCCACTGCTCCCATTCCTCATCCAGAACCGTTGACATGTCTCCCGCCTCTCGCCGGGCTGCCCTTTCTCTCAGCCGCTGGTTCAAGGCCACTCCAACGCTCTCTAGCTCCTCTTCGCTCTCCTCGCCGTCCATGTCTTCGTCTCCAGATGCTGTTGCGTCGTCCGTCTCGACAGATCGTGATCGAGCGCTCCGGACCGGGGGAGTAGGGCGGTCTTCGGGCTCAACCCAGTCCGGGAATCCATCATTCGCCGTATCCCTGATAGTGATGCCCTGCTCCTTCTCATAGCGCTCTTTGGCCCATTTCGTGCCCTCCCATTTGGTCAAGCCCGAGATCTCGTTGGGGGTAAGACGAAGGTTGTCAAACGCTCGGAAAAGGCGACGGTGCCAAGTCCAGCGGCTCAGGCGAATGCGATGAATGGGATTGCAATAATCCAATCCCGGATATTTGGCTTCTTGTGTGTCGAGGTGGCCATAGAAGGAGTGGACCTCTTGACGAACCTCCAGGATGAGGCTGCGTTGCAAAAGGGCGTGGAAGTTCTGGGGGTCGCTGGCGCGAGGCTTGGGGAACATGTGCTCGTAAACGAGCTGATCGATGGGACGGCCCTTCATTTTCGAGACCGCAGTCAGATTTGAGAGCTCGTGGAGAGAGGCTCTTGGGACTGTTGCTAGACGCTAGGCGCAAGGCGTACACAGGGAGGGTGGGAGTTCGTAGCTGCCTGCGGCAAGGACGTAGATTGTTGGTGGCACAGCCTTTGTAACGGGGCCGCTGGTCCGTTGAGTTACTGCTTGTGATGGGCAGGTTGTAAGAAGTCGCAAGGTCAAGCCGCGCGGTTGAGAAAATGCTGTTTCCGAGTCGATAGAGAGTGGTGGGTGGAATGCCTTTGCAATCGGTCTTTCGGTGAAGCGTCAGGCTCAAGAGAAGAGGGGGTTCGGGATGGAGCTAGGGGCCGACGTGCCGCTGTATCGTCCGAAGTGGTGACTTTGGAAGGTAGGGCGGTCTGCACTTCCCCCCCCTTTCTTTTCTTTTCTTTCGATCTTTACCGTGGTCGTGTTTGTGTGGTGTAGGAATACTTCAAATAGGAGTAAGGAGGGTTGTCGGAGGGGAGAAGTCGTGAAATACGAGTACGAGGCTGGGGAGAAGTCGGCAGCCAGCGGCAAGAGATGGTGGAAGGAACGTCTTGTGTGGGTGTTGGTGAATTGCGACGGGGAATCCAGGCAGAGGGAATGGATATTGAATCGTGGGGCCTGTAGGTTGGTTGGGTGGAGCGGGAAGTACTCCTACCCAAGAGTTGGAGGTACTTTAGTGACTGAAGATCGGGAACTCGTGTTTGCGGGCTGTGGAGAGAGAGAGGGTGTGAGTGTGGCACACGTTGGAAAGGGGACTGGGATGAGGGAGGATTTGGGCAGAAGGGGGAATGAATGCTTTAGCTGACAAAAATAAAACAGCACCCACCCACCTCGTTCAGCAAAAACAAGCGGCCAGCACCTTCCATTCTGCGAAGGATTTGATCCCTCTTCCTCTCGATATTACTGGGCCGCACTAATTAGCTGGATGGTGCCTACCTCAGCGGCTACGCCTCGTTTCTTGGGCCGGGGCCTTCCATCCTGCAACCCACCTACCGAGGTACCTTGAGTTAGTACTCCAAGACGGTGCCTGAACGCACGTACTTTGTACTATTGTCGCTAGGTAGAATGGCGGCTCCTTTGATTGACTTTCCAGCGTACCATCAGGCTGGCAGCGTACCTACCTACCTACCTACCTACCTACCTAGGTATGTAAGCAAGCTGTGGTCACGGACGGGGGGTTGAAGCATCACGGACTCGAAGATAGCCCCGCACTCCCGTCCTCCCACTTCAATGCAGTGTGCTCGGTACTTGGACCCCTAAAGTACCTAGATAGGTACCTTCCAGTCCAAAGTCCCTCTGTGCCCTCCGCTGGGCAAGAAGACAGCTTTCTCATCCCGGCTCGAATGGCCAGAGTAAACCACCCTAATCCAGAATCAACCAATTACTGCAAAGCTCACAGGAGTTGAGTCCCTGGAATACGCGATCGTCGAGTTCGATTACGACCCTCGAGTTCCGGTGCATCACCTCTTCCCATCCCATTCAAAACCGCGCCTCCCAAGTTTCACAGCGTCGCTCTCGTCAAAGGTCAAGAAGGGTGTCAAAACAAGGCAAATGAGCCCGCCAGGCAAGGGCAAACCGAGTCAGTCCCATCACACGCTTCAACGGCAAAACTTGGCTTATGGCATCAGCCGTGCCAACTTCTCGCTAACCCCGACATGGCCATTACGGGCGGCTACAATGCATAGCACATTGTCATGGGAGCTCGCCGTGTCTCTCTCCACCATTGCCGTCTTCGTCAGCGCCTCTATTCGAGACGGTCTTCTTCCCACACGTCCCTAGCCGTACAGCGGCCAGAGGACCATGACTGAGACCTGTGAGACCTGAGACGACGGACGGCTAAAGGACAGCCAAGAACCCGAGCCAACGGCGCGCCTCCAAACTCCCGTCGCAAATATGGCCATTCAACAGGTGACAGCGCTTTTCGACGTGCACAAGCCGCCTTGCAAAGCCGCTGACTCCACGGCCAGAACCCACTCCGGCCATGGGCTCATCTGACCTCGACTGACCGCCTCGGCCAATTCAACCCTAAGCCGCCCTGCACCCCCGTACCTTGCCGTCTCAGAAACAGGGATGGCTTCCTCGGGCCAGTCAGATCACGAAAGCTGCCCATCCCTGCGGACATCCCGCCCTTCCCTGACTTTGGCTCCATGCACCGAATCCAAAATCGTCTCCGCTCCGTTCGCGGCCATCCGCAATCCCACAGGTTCCATTCTTCAACATTCCCGAGCCCCGGGCCTTGATCTGTTCCGTGCAGTCGAAAACACCACCGTGCTGCCATACTTAGACAATGTCAGAGTCAGTCTAGAACCACCATATCCCACATCGTGGGGTCGGTCTCAATTTCACTGCATGTCACGTCACTCCCGAGGGACGCATGACGCTACATCTGCGAGCAGGTTCCCGCTTCTCGGCGGAGATTCTTAACTCCGGTTCTGACAACACGGCAGTACAGCACAGTCTACATCTCATCTAGACCTCTTCACCGTCCGGTCAATTACATAGATACAACAACCTAATCGACCTGCAGACTTCTCACGGACCCAGTGTGATCATTATTTTCAGCAGCCTCCACCCTGTCGTTGGTTTGTTAGTCTTATACTTAACCTATGCACAGACTTCGGGGGGCAACGGAGCACAATGCCATGCCCTTTGGCAGATCTCTTCACCCAGGAAGCGTTCCTTCGATTGCAACCCACATGTTTTGTTGTGTGGCTTCATCGGATGCTCGTGGGTGGGCAGGAAGAAACGCCAGGAGTCGATACCCAATCACGCGTTGTGAAAGCCTTTTGATTGTCATGAGTGCCTATGCGCCCAACTTAACTACGCACGCTGCAAACCATAAGCCGCCCAATGCAAGTTTTGTCTCAGACAAGGCATCGCGATGATATGGCTTGCCTACACATGATCATACCGGTTCTTGAACTGTTCCTGACTCGCTTGCTGTACGCTGCGTATCACGGTCGGCTTAGTGGTCCGCCCAGAGCACCCGCTCACACCGGCCTCAAACATCTTGGGAACGTTGCTGGATCTGCTGCACTCAATGTATTTTTGTTCTCCATCTGTTCATGCGCAATCTTGGTGGTGTGTTCGTTCGGCTCGGTGACAGTCGCGACTCCGAGACGGAGCTAAAGCCGGAGTTTTGAGAAGTCATGCCGCCGCATCACAGACGGCAATGTTGCTGGCGAGATGAGGCACAACATCGATGATGCAGGATGATGCTTTCCCGGACTCGTCAGCCGGACCTGCTCATGTCCATTGTAATTACGATATACTTCGCCGGTGTAGCCATTCTGCTTGGGTGGGGGTTTTCTTCTTTTTTGTCTCTCTCTCTTTTTTTACCTTTCTCACGGAGCATGAAACCCAATGTCTTTGTCCACCGTCTGTGGGTTATCCCGACTTGACAACGCACAAAATAATTCAAGCTCGGTTTCGCTGGAGTATTTCATGGGTTTATGCGAGTATCAACCCGGTCGGTTCGGCGCACCCCTGATCTATTTCTGCACACGTAAGCTTTCGGGCGTTCTTGTCAGATGGGCGGGCTGTCGCCTCGAACGCGGCAACAGAGTTGCAATACGCATTGATAAAAGCTCTAGATATACAAGCTGCCTGCTCCCCTTCTCGCGCAGCCGAGAGCGTACGCGTACCTGGACCTGGTCCGTCGGCAAACCTTGGCGTGCCTGCCATGACCAGGGGCCCTCTCGGGTTTCTCCCAGGCGCGAAGAGTTGCAAGGCAACTCGTGTGCTTGAATCGAGAACCAACATCCTCGCACGGCCTCCGGGGCATCGCCGTTGAGTTCGTCATTCGGCTATCCTCGGCTGCACTTGCCTGCGAGCCACTCTATTAGCTCTGCCGCAACCGGCCCTGTCCCATGTTTGACAGGGTCGAGCATCGGTTCTCCAAACAGGCTGTTACGGGGCGATGTTTGAATGATTCCCGTCCCAAAAAGCGTGGAGGAGGGTAAACGTTTGGCTTTCGTTTCTCTTGCTGATGGAGAATGGGTACGTAATGGGAATATGCCGTACTCGATGACACTAAAGCTACACTGTACGATGATCTATAATGCTTCTTCTGTGCTACCCGCGTCAAAGTCGGCTTGCAGACCGGCATTCCTACAATGTCGAGAATTGACTAACACTGTTCAAAGGTCTAGGCTAGATTGATACGAGAAGGTACTGTGTGCCCATCTAACAAACCTCACTCCGTGTCTCTGAACAATATTCTACTCTAGTCGTCAGCCTTCAAAGGCTCCGAGTAACTCGTCATACCCCCCGGGTCTTCGTTGTCAACCAGCTGGATCCCCTTGAAACTCTCGTCGTCGCTGTCAGAATCATCCTCCTGGAATGGTACCGGGAAAGTCTTGGGTCTAACTGGTAACTCCGGTCGAGACTGGTGTGAGTCAAGAGCGCCCTCACTCTGGAACGAATGAACTGCGACTGGACGTGGAGGAAGTCCTGGGTTCTTTTGTTGGTCCCCATCCTTACGCATAACTTCAGAGCGGAAATACCCCTCGTCCTTTTGACCGAGAGAGCTTAGGTCGAGGGGATCATTGACCTTGGGGGCGCTCGGCTCCTGTTTTTCTGTAGGCGGAGAGCTCAGACTTAGGAGGTCTTCGTGGTGAGGCGAAGCCGGCTTGTGCTTGCCCTGACCTATAGAACCCAAGTTTAACGGATCGCTGCCCTTGGGACCCAGAGGATCAAAAGCCTGCGAGACGGAAGCCGCTCCACCTCTGGACACCTTGTTGCGATTCGTCACCTTCTTCCGCTGCGGCGGATCAGGATGCAATGGGTGACGCAGTTCGTTCGGGAACCTCGCGGTTTGCTTAGACCTGATCGGCTGCGGCTCTGCCTCTGGATCAGGCTGCGCATCCAGCTGTATAAGCTCGCCTACCTGCGAGCCCGCCTCCTCGTCGATGATCTTGATGTCTTCGTCCTTCTCTATGGCGCCCTCGCCGCCCTTGACGTTGGGGAAGCCGCATCTCGTCAGGATCTTAGCGATCAAGCTTGGATAGCGCAGATGTCCGCTGACTTCCGCGCTCAGGTTCAAGTTTTCAACTCTCTCGATATCCTTAACCTCCTGGAGTCCCGCGATGCCCATCTGAAATGAGGTAGTGCGATACATGAAGCCGAGGACGCAGTCCGCCTCCGAGTACACATTCACTATGCGGTCGGATACCACAGATCTCAGAACCTGCCAGTGCTCTCTGTTGGACGGCACAGGGGCACCGATGAATACCACGGTATCGACTAATCCGAATGCCTGGCGTTCGGCCAGAGAGCGCAGGCATGAGTAGATGACGCGTGCACCAAGCGAATAGCCGACCAACGTCACGGGCCGCTCTCCCTGCACCTTGGCAATGAGAGCATCGGCTAGCACTCGCCCAGCCTTGTCGGACCGGTTGCGAGCTAGGTTGAAGGGATTATCGATCTGCGAAGCAGCTTTGATGAGGTAGGCAGGCCAGAGTGCAGCCCATAGAGAAGCCAGTACGGTTCTCTTTAGAATTTCCACCTTGACAAAGCTCCAGGCGTACGATGAGACAAGGGAGTCCAGTTCTCGGCCCAGAGCGAGGAGGGACTTCATCTCATACCGTAAGGCAAAGACCTCTGACTCGTCACCCAAGCTGCGCCAGGGTTTCGTCACGTCGCCCTCCTCATTCAGCCACCCGTTGATACCAATCGTCACACGTAGCCGCGCCCCTTGCTTGCCGTCGGCGTCGGCTCGTTTGTAGTCCTGGCCCCATTCATCCTTGAGCGGGAGGAAGCGAAAGTCTTCGACTTCCTTGGCGTAGGTATCCATCATTTCTCCTGTCATCTTGGCACCGAAGGCACCAAAGAGTGTACCGACAAGAGCGCCGTTCATCCAGAAGACACCGAGAAAACTGGCGACGCCACCAAGCCCAACACTTCCCATGAGGCCACCGATCGCACCTGCAACGACTGGGGCTGCCAGGCCGCCCGTGATTCCGATCACAGCAGCACCGGCCACCGAAGCCAGACCAACCTTCCAGAAACGGCTCTTCTGATTCTCCTGGCGCCGTTTCGCAGCTTCTGCCTCAGCTGACATGCTAGCCTTTTGGTTCTCAGTCGAAGTCGAGGATTCAACCAGGGACTTGGCGATCTCGGTCTCTTCTGAAATGAGCGTTGACAGCGGGAGTCCAAAAGCAGAGGTGAGGTACAGAGCCAGGACTCTTGAGTGTGCAGAGTAGCTTCCGGTAGACAAGATGAGCACTAAAAGGCAGCTGAGCACCTCTTTTCTGTCTTCCCCTGGGATGGTGGTGAATCGATTCGGAATCGGATGGTAGTGCTCCTGCAGGATGGCCACCTCTTTGTCAACTTCGGTCGAGGCAGTCTTCGGTACGTCTCCGAAGTTGATCAGATCTTCGCCCACTTCTGGCGACTCATACTTCAGCTTCTCCATCTCATCAAATCGCTTCTTCCGGGCCTCGAGGATCTTGTCATCATCTCTAGCCGATGCGATCTCCTTGACCTTCTCCAAGATGTCCTTGCGCCACTCGTCAAAGTGTTTCAGCGCTGCTCTTCTTAGGGCACGGAGCTGGGCGTTGTGAACGCCGGAGCCTCCGCGATCTGGGTGGCTAGGGCTGCTGCTGCGACCGCCCTGGGCGGCGTCCGGGGCGAAGAGTGGGGCATTGCGGTCCTGCAGCGAAGACGAGGTCGGGTTGGTAGCCGGCGAGGTGGTTTGATCATCATCTTTGAGCTCGAGCTGGGAGCGCATATATCTCGTGATGTCGTATAAAAGGGTGTAGAACGCTTTGCGGCGGGCGTGGTTGAGCACCACTACGAGCTGGCGGGGATCTGCCGCAAGGGGGGCCATGGCTGCGATGGCTCACCACATCCAATGAGGTCTTGTGGGTAGTATGGTCGAGTCGTCAAGATGCGCCAATACCGAAACGCCGCGTTGTTGCGGAGGAAACGGAATGTTGGAAAAACGAGGACACATGAGGCCAAGTTGAAACGGGTGTTGGTCAGAGGTTGTCTAGGCAGACGTTTAACTGAAGGAGCACTAGCTAGGTAGTTACGAAGCAGGGACACTCAGCTGCCCCCTGTAAGCGCGTTCGCCAAATTATAATTGGGTGCTGGTGTAAGCAGCACCCTTGAATTGGTTCTCGGTCCGTGCCGACGTCTGTCTTCCTATTGCATCATAAATGGGTAAATGTGTCTTTCGTCTGAAAACGGCTTGACACAGGCGGTCATCTACACGCACAAAGACCAGTTGACCTACGATGCTGGCTTGGCAGAGACCTTGAAGGAGGAAAAACAAAACAAAAAAAAAACAGATGCTTACTTATCAAACGAAACTCCAGTTGTCATGCAGGACGACGCTTGGATTGAGGGCAAAATATTTCAGGATTATGTCGCAACAACCATGATATATACCTGAACACCAGCGTACTAGGGGGCGACGCCGTAAAAACACTTTTTTATATCTTGTTCGACTCTCTAAAGCCGCACAAGTCTACTCTTCGTCGTCTTCCATATCCTCCTCGTCTTCATCGTCGTCTTCCTCCTCCACCTCGTCTGCCTCGTCATCCATCAACTCGTCGGCGTATTCCTCCTCAGAGTCGTCCTCCACATTCGCGGCAAGAGCATCCTTCTCCTCCTCCTTGCGCTTCTTCTCATCCTCTTTCCTCGCCTCCTCGAGTGCCTTGGCCTTCTGGTCCCTAATCTTGCGCTGCACAACGACGAAGGCGCCGAGAGGCGTCTTCTCCCAGTCAAAATCGCGCAGGAACGCGTCCACCTGCGCGCGGTCCTTAGGAGCGAACTCTACCTTGGCACGCTTCTCCTCGATGAACTTGGCGTTGGCCTCGAGCTTCTGCACGAGCAGCACGATCTGCGAGATGACCTTGTTGTTCTTGTTGCCCGTGCTGGTCTTGCGCGCTTGTTTGAGCCAACGCTTCAGCTGGATAAGGACCGGCAGCGCAAACTCGGGGAACGCGATGTTCTTGGCCCATATGGTGAAGTACTCGCTGAGGAGCTCGACGACCTGCTCACCAACGCCATCCTGGTAGACGCGGGTGCGGAGGTACGACTTGGGCGCCTTGTACGCAACTTTGAAGTCAAGCGGCTTGATGGACGAGGCCTTGGGGAAACGTCTCATGTCGGCCGACTCAAGAACCTCAATGAGGGCGGATGCAAGTGGGATGTAGGTGTTGGTCGCGCGTGACAGACGGAGGATGGAGCGGATCAGGTGGAAGCGGAGAGGGAAGAATGTGGGCGAGGGGATGAGACGCATTGCGCCCAACGTGACTTGCACGAGAGGGTAGATCAGAAGCTTCAGCTGACCTTCCTTACCCGTCTCCGCCTCCTTCAGGGGACTGCAGTGCTCAGCAAGTACACATGACCAGAAATCGAGCGAGTGGGTGTACTGCCAGTTGTAGACAATCTTGTGGGCATCCTTCTCCTTCTTGACGATGCTGTTTCTCAGGTGAATGGCGAGTTGACGGATGAAGGTGAATGCGGTCGTATAGCCGACGTTTTGGTCGATGCCCCACAGTTCTGCGGCCGAGTTCTTCATCAGGTTGATGCCCTGGATAGTGTTGATGTTTGTTGCTCTGCAGCCAGAAACCAGTCCCTGGTACACAGCCTTGAGAACTGTCTCGCGGATACCCTTGTCGCCGATGACGACGAGCTTCCGCAGGACGAGAAAAGAGGTGATCTTGGTGGTTTCTGAGCTGGCCGGTCTAGCCCAGTAATTGACCACTGTCTTGATGAGGGCCTTGAGAAGCTTTCTGAAGGACAAGAGGTAGGGAACCAGGGGCTCCAATGAGCCAATGGTGAGCTTTAGGGTCGCGTCGTCGGACAGGGTGCCGAGAAGATGGATGATGGACGCAGTAAAAGTCTTAATCATCATGGAGAGCGTGTGGAACTTCTTCGAGTCGGTAGGCACGTAGATCTTGCCGGACGCAGACTCCTTTATGGGCAGGTGGTGCGAGATGACTTCAGGAATCTGCTTTAGAGCGACGATCAAGATGTCGTGGAAGACCTCAGGGTTGGAGATGGTATATCTCTGCGTCTTTTCATCGTCCGCGTCGTCCTCGTTGAGGTGGGCCGCACAGCGGAAGGCCAGGACGACCTGTCTCGCGGCGCGCAAGCTCTGCTTCTCCTCGATCAACTTCTTCCACTTGGCCACCATCTCGCGCGTCAGCTCGTTATCGTCAAGGACCTCCTCCTCGACGGCGGCAGCCTTCTTGGAGCCCTTCTTGCGCTTCTTCTTCGGTTGCTTGTCGTCGTCTGAGTGATCGCTGCCGGCACTGAGCTCGTCCACCTCGGCAAGATCGGCGTTCTCGTCAAAGTCAAGGGCTTCCGGGTCGTTCTCCTTGAGGAACTTGTAGAATTCGGGGTCGTTCTCGGCGAGCTTTTCCATGGCTTCTTTGGTCATGCCTAGGTTCTCGTCATCGTCCTCGCTGCCGGCGTCCTCGCTATCGCTTGCGACAGGCTGCTCCTCGGCGGAGAAGTCTTCCGAGTCGGAGTCGGATCCCTCTTCCACAGGCGCATCGCGTTTCCGCTTGCCGAGCTTCTTTGACGCCTTCTTGTCCTTCTTTTCGATGATATCCTCGAAGCCGCCCTGGAAGAAGTCGTCAACGCTCATGGCGCTGACCTTGGCGTCCTTCCGGTGGCCATTAGCCTTGGCCTTTGCAGCAGCCTCATCATTCTTGAAGAATTCGGAGTCCTTGGTCTTCTTTGTCTGCTTCTTGGCCTTGACCTGGATGCGCTGCTTAATCTTTGCGGATTCCTTCCTTTTGTCCAAAACACCCTTGAGGTGATTCTTTTCGAACTTCTTCGTCGCCTTGAGGTTCTTCTTTTGAGAACCCATGGTGACCGGTAGGGAGGGAAAAGTTCCGTTCTGCCTGGGGGGGGGGGGGGGGGGGGGGGGTCTCCTGCGGTGGATGATGGTAAAGGAAGTTTTGGCTGCAGGGACCGTAGACGGTGGACGCGGGAAACTTTCTTCAGACCTTCTTCTCTCAATGGCAGAGAACGGTTCGCTCTTGCCCAAAAATTTTCGGGCTTATCGGGACTTATCGATGCGTACGCTAATCCTCTTTTGGAATGGCTTTTGGGAGACATTGCCCCACGTCTTAGCGGTCTGACTGTCTGAACCTCTGAGAAATGGACCATGTCACGCCTGGTGCCTGATGTCTGACGACGTCCTTGGCTCTGCGACGCGCACGTAGCGGCAGCTCAGTAGCTCCCCAAGCTGCTGATCGATCGACTATGAAGCCGGCCGCGATTCCAACACAGCCGCGAAGATGATGCCCCGGCAGCCCTATGCACCAACACCGCATAGCTACATCCCAAACACGACACTCTCAGCTACCATCAACCTCGATGAGGTTCGTCATTCACAACCTTCAGCCTTCCAGAGGGCGCTGCACACTCCCCTCCCCCTCCTCCAGCTGCCCCGCCCCCGCAAAGACGACTCCGGTCCCAGCTAACCAAACGATGCACCTCGACAGGAGGTCAAGTTAGCCGACACACGCGCCGAGCGCGATCTCCAGGACTCGCTCGCTGAGATATTCAGCATCATTGTCACCCTTGACGAGCTCGAAAAGGCCTTTCTTAAAGATGCGATCCCCGAAGCCGACTATACCGAGATCTGCGAGCGGTCCCTGAAGCAGTACAAGTCCATCCTGGCAGACGAGACCGTGTCTATGGCCTTTCGGGGCCTGGAAGAGTTCAAGGCGGAGTGGGATGTGAGCCGTCTCCCCTTTTCTTTTCGTGACCATCCTCCTTCTGCTCTAAAGCTGACCCCTATCGCCCCAAACAGCTCGAGGTCCCCCGCGCAACGGAGCGCATCCGCGTTGGCATGCCTTCGACAACTGTGACCGCCTCATCAAGCGCCGCCCCGGCGCCGTCGGCCGCCGGTAACACAAGCGGAACGCTGATCCTGGAGGCGACGCAGGAGTTCATCACCTTCCTTGACGCTGTGAAGCTGGGCCTGCTCTCCAAGGACCAGCTGCATCCCCTGCTGTCCGACGTCATCCAGTCGGTCAACAAAGTGACGGACCGCGACTTCGACAACAGGGGCAAGATTGTGCAGTGGCTTATCACTCTGAACCAGATGAAGGCCACAGACGAGCTGAGCGAGCAGCAGGCCCGCGAGCTCGAGATGGACATCCAGCAGGCTTACCAGGGGTTCAAGAGTACTCTGACGTAGCCATCACGCAGGTAGCGTTGTTTTGGTGTTTTCGGAGATAGATACCAATGAAGAACGGAGCTATAGCAGATCTTGTGTATTCGCCTGCCCTTGAAATCCCCAATAACTATGCTTTTCATGTCCTCGTAAAGAATACAGGAGGGGACTCAGAAGCCCCCTCAGACCAAGAACGTCCAGAAGCTGGGATACACAAACTCGTTCTCGAATATCCTCCTCACCTGCTCCAGCACGAACCTCTCCACCTTGCCCACGTTCTTCAGGCTCTGCTTCCCGCCGTCGCGGAGCCCGATCTCGCTTTCCACCTGGATCTCCTGCAGCAGCCCGCCAAACCTCTTTCCGGGCTCGCTGGGGCCCGCGTCATCCGCGCCCACCGCCGTGACGGCGTCCTCGGGGCTCAGAAAGCAGAAGTGCACTCTCTTGCGGATGTGCGCCATCACCCCGACCCCGTCAAAGGTCAGCCCAGTGACGCTCAGCTGCACGGGAATCCCCACGAAGCTCGGCATCGGATAGTCCAGCAGAATCTCCGCCGTCAGCCGCAGCCTCACATCGCCTGCGTACCGGATCCGAAACACGGCCTGCAAGTCCTCTGGCCTCGGCTCCCTGAACCGCGGCTCGTCCCCTTCCCCGCCTTGCTCCGGCCCCTCCTCGTCCTCCTCCTGGATCGCCGACCCGGCCAGGTGCGCATCCCGCGTCGGCGGCCTCGAGGCTCCCGCCGAGGTCGGCGCCAGTGTCGACACGCTCGACTTCTCGCGCAGCTGCGCCAGCGTCGGGTTGAAGTCGCTCACAGAGATGGAGCTCTGCGAGGGGTTGCGGCTGTGGCCCATCCGAGGCGAACCCACGGGTGACCGGGTGGCCGACGAGTCAAGCCTGCTGCCCATGTGCGCGCCGGCCACCGCCGCGAGAGGCGTCTGCGTCCCCGACCACCCGTTCCCCAAGTGCGATTGGAAATAGTGCAAGTTGGACGTGCCGCCCAAGATCCCCGGCGTTGAGACGCCCAGGAACGGGCTTGGGAAGTCTCCGGACTGGCCCCTGAGTGCGTGCATGCTGAGCCTTGGCGGCATAGACGCCCCCTCGCGCTGCCTCCTCCTCTCGCCAGCGCTCAGCTCGCTCTTGGGGAAGTGCTGCAGCTGCGGCGGGTCATCGAGGGCCTTCTCCTCCTCCTCGTCATCCTCAATTTCCGGGTTGTCCTCATAAAAATCTGGCAAGGGGTCGGTGATATCCTTGAGCTCCAGCTCCGGGGCGATGGCGCCGAATTCAAAGTCGTGTACTTTGACCGACTTGATGAAGCGCGGCAATGGTACGGCCTGGAACTTGGTGTGGATGAAGTCGCGGATGCGGAGGGCCAGGGCCTCCCCGTCGGGGCCCGTTGTGAGCGTCTCCCAGTTGAGGTCTATTGACATTACAACCGTTGTTTGTGAGTGAAGAAATGCGAGATGAAGATGGTATCAGTTGATACAGCCAAGGTGTTAGACAGGGTTGCCGTCTGCAACCTGACGGGGGACTTTGATGCCTAGCTAAAGGCCGTGTCGGAGACCTGAGAGGTAGGTACTAAACCCCCAGTTTCTAGTGGACCATTAGTCACTGGGTATTTAGCGGTACAGTGGCTGCGCTTTCTACACCCGGTGTCGGTGCCGCGACAACATCCTGAGCCAATTCTTATGCTTAGCTTTCACAAGAAGTGTTGTCATGGGTATATCGAATTCTTCAGCGGTCATCTATTTCATTACCGGGTATCTGAAATTCAAGGCCGTTACTCGTCAACGCCGTAATGCTAAGATACTTTGTTCTGGTGATGCTCAAGGTGCCAACCGTTGCTAAAACTGGACCGACTCCATGCTCATATACGCTTCCATCCATCCGTCAATCCGTTCACATTGTTTTGGGGAGAGGGGAACGCCGACAGTACGATTCAATTCTCATCCCCTTGTCGAACACAACGACTGATCCCGTCAGACTTGAACGTGTGCCGTACCATTTGATGCCGATGTATGCTGATATTGTTACTCAGGCTTGGTATCGAAGTCGAATCGTGGCCTCATGCTGTTGGTGATTTGAGGCACGCCGAACTGATGCCAGCAATTTGGCGCCTGGAGGATGTATCTGGCATCATGTGAGCAACTGATGAGATTCCAAAAACTAGGAGGGGATCCGTGGGTACATACCTGGCCATCGCCTCCCGGAAACGAGATTTGTATTCCTTCGGACTCGTCACGGTGGGACGGTTTCTGCCACCGCCCGCGAAACCACGATCCTTGATCCAACTCTCGAGTTTCTTGTCCCATGTGTACGTCCGGATACAGTCAATGATGCCCACAACGAGCTCCTTTCTGGCTTCGTCTACGGCAATCATCAATGAGTAATCCATCACGTTCTGCCTTGCGAGGAACAAAGTATCGTTCCAGACCTGGACAAGTGTCAGCGTTTTGCTTTGTCACATTTGATGCTGTCAACTTACGGATGCTCTCAGAAGCTTCTTGGAGTGCTCGCGTGCAAACAACGGCGATTCGTAAATGAACTCCACCATGTTCTCGTCCAGAAGAACCTCGTTCTGCTCGCCAGTAGACTGGATTTTGCGGTTGCGCATGGAACCCTTGAGGTCGAAAAGCCGAGTCGGACTGCGATCGTAAAAGAGATTCTCCATGAGCAGCAGGTCTAACTTGATCTCGACGCCTGTGACCGGGTTCTTGATGATCAGCTGGAAGAACCCTAGCATCTTTGCGATGACAGATGGCAAGTCATGGAACAGAGCCTCGGCCATGATGCCAAAATAAGCTGGCGCAAATCTCAGGAAAGCCGACGTCTCAATGGGCGATAGGCCCTGTGTCAACTGTTAGCCATCGATTCCATTTCGGGGAGAGTGGATGGGTGTCGTCAAACAAGCAACAAGGGAAAGAACTCACCTTTAAGACCAAGCGGTCGTCGAGAGTCTTGAGAAAGACCGACTTTGTCTTGCCGCCCTTGGAGTCCCACTTCAAGCAGCGGGAGAGCGATTCGACGATGCGATCTGCAACGCCGCATTTGCGACGCAGCGCATCAAACTGCTCAGCGTAGAAAATTTTGCAGAGCATGGTTGCAGACCCCTCCTTGAACTGGTATTTCAGATGCGTGCCCGTTGCTCTGAGAAGACTCTTCTCCAGCTCGCCCTCTTCCATCATCAACTCGCCGCCAGTATCAGACAGTCCTGACGACTTGGCATCGAAGTTGGCTTCATAATCATTGTGTATCGCCATTCGCTCCTGGCGGCGAATATCAGCCAGTTTTGTGCGGTAGTCGTCAGAACTCAGGGCAAATGCAATAACAGAACTGGGTTCGTCCTCCCTCACGATTACATCGGAATCGAGGAATATATGATCGCTTGCGTTGACTGGATAGTCCAGTTGAGGCCACCCACTGGCAGATCGTTCAGCCCAAAAGTTAGTGAGCATCTTCATAAGGCTAGTTTTCTGATGCTTCGGCAGTTCCAGTGGAATCTCCGTGCTGGGTTCAAGAGAGTCAGCCAGCTCCTTGACGTCAGGCAGCAGATCGTCCAGTATGGACTGTTCAGTGTCGCTCTGCCCTTCGTCATCGGATCCGCCGTGGCTAGCTGTAACTGTCGCAGTGTCGTCCGTCTCCCCACCAACTTGGTGCTCTTCAGTGGGGGGAGCAGCTTCTGGTGCAAGATCCGACTCTCCTCTCGGTGGACTGTCGGGTTCTGTTTGCACAGTTCCGGGAGGTGCTGGGTTGACTGGCGCCGGCTTGGGTTCGAGAATCTTGATCTCGTTATGCTCTGTGTTCGACGGCCCAGCTTCTTGTACGGCATTGTCAATGTTGTGGTAGACTTCCACAATAGCTTTGGTGGCAGAACGTGGCAAACCTGCACGAGGCTGATGGCCCTTGGCGAGGCGCTTCCTGCGGTCTTCTCGTTGTCTTTCCTTCTCGAACTCACGGCTCAACTGTTCAAAGTGCCGGGCAATTCTAGAAACCTGGGACGCCACATGAGTATCTTTCTTCTTGGTGATGAGCCGAGGTATTGAAGAGGGACCAGCTTTTCTATGGCTTTTCATTCCCAATGCCAGTCGATCGAACGTTTTCTTATCCACTTTAAATGATGTCTCACCCAGAGTCTCGGCTCCCATGGCGTCCTTCGGCACAATTGATTTGGCAAAGCTCGACTGGGACCTCGGTAGCGTTTGGGCGGGCTGCGACAGGGTTCTAACCATCGGGGCCCTACGAGCCAAACCTCGTTCCTGGTTTGTTTTGGGTGCTTCAGATGCATCACCGGTTTGTGATGTTTCGGCACCCATAACCTGTTGTTCACGACGAAGCTGCTCAACTTTCTCAGAGAGGGAAATATTAGTTGATGTCGTAGTAAGCGGAGGCCTGGCCACGAGGGGGTATGTCGACTCGGCATTGCCAGGCATTGCTGAAATCTGCCCGGCTTCATTAATAGGAGCAAACGAGACAAGCCCTTTGGCTTTCGGCGAGCCCGGGGTGGCTAAGTCCAGGGATTCCACTCTTTCAAGTGCAGTATCAGCTGGAGCATCAATCTTGTCAGCTTCCTCTGGTGCTTCTCGGCCAACAACCCCATCCTTTGTTGTTTCGGCTTGTTCTGGTTCCTTCTGAGGCTCTGACAATGTGGAAGGCTCCTCTGCTTCTTCTTCTTCTTTCGATCCCTCCTGCTCGAGCTCTTCCTGTTTCTCTTGCTCGTCCTCGACTGACCCCACGACCCCATCCTGATGCGGTTCGGTCGGGTCCGTGGGTTGGGTGGAAACCTTCTCGTCTACATCAGAGAAGGTTTGAGACGGAGGCTCCCCGGACTCAACGGTTGAGTTGCCATCTGTCGAGGGAAGGGACTCCCTCGATTCGTTGTCGGTGAAAATCTTTTTGAGTTGGATCATTGTCAATTGGCGCAGGTCCTTGTCGGGAAGGAAGTCGGTCTCGAACTTTGTGAACGAGGTGTCCCAGTCGCCGGCCTTTTCCAACATCTCCCTGACAATAGCATTGAACGGAATAACCTCATAATACTTGGAGTTGACATAGGTTTCCTGAAGTCTGCGTATCAAAGCAACTTGATCGTCCTGTGCCTTTTTGGCAAGCCTGTCGACTTCGGCTTTACACGCATCGGCCTTTTCGGGTAAGACGCTGTCGATGCGTATGCTCTTGAGTCTGAGCTTGACAGAGTTGATGAAACGAGCCCAACGTTCCTCAATCTTGTTGAAAATCTCGTTCTTGAGCTTGAGATCGTTCTCAACCTTCCACGTGATCCGGGCTCTTGGGACAATGATCTCGAGGAGATCGATAGGGTCATAATGTATCCTCACCCAGGTATCGCGATAGTGAAAGTAGCGGATGTGGTCACGGTGGTGGTCATGAGGGCAGCCAGTAATCTCATGGAGCCGCAGGCCCCTGCTCCAAAAAAGCAGCTCAAGGTACTTGCCGAAAGAGTATTTCCAGGTGCTGTCGGACATGCCCATCTCGGGAGAGTCCTTTTTGCACGTTTTGCAATAGCTCCACATGGTGATGCCGTCCAAGTTACGCCTTTTAGCTGCTGGCTCAACGAATATGGTGACTCGTGACTCGTCGTGTACGTAGGTGCGATGATGCTCCGTCATCTTTCGGTCGCATCCGTTGGAAGTACAGATGGAGTCCTTACTGATGCACAGATCTTCGATATACTGGCCGAGAGTACAGTCTGGGTCCATACTGCCGCTTTCGTCAACGTGCTCGTCGTAGAATGCGATTGCGATCAACCCTGGCTCGGAACAAGGAATCTTCGTCTCGGTGCAGATGACCGAGTACAAGACGACAATGTTCTGATGAGAATAGGGATCGAATAGGTCGAGGTTGCCCTGGATATAATTCTCCCACTGCCTCGTCTGCGTCTGGTAATTGTACAGAGCCTTGTCGTATTCGGCATCGTGGACGGCGTGCAAAATTTCCATAACCTGCCGTGGTGCCTTCTGTCCGATGGCGTGAACCATTTCAGGCTTGATGAGCTGGAACTTTTGCGACTTGGACTTTTCGGGGTCGATTTGTTCTTCTACTACGTCCTGATCCCGTAGGCGCTTCAGGTAAACGAGTCTCCGCTCCTGCTCTCGTGCCTTCATAAGCAGGTAGGGCTGAGCGAACTTGACGAATGGAGACGCCGACAAAATCTTCGTCTCGTATCTCGCCACCATGTCGCTGTAGTATGTCGGCATCGGCACATCTTCTGGCACTTGCGAATCGGGAGACGTGGGCGGCACATGAACATGAGTCGCATGAAGAGATACCAAAGGGGGCCGTTCCTCTGTGGCCGGTTCCTCAGTTTGGTCGGATGACAGAGTGCTTTCAGCCGTGACCAAAGATGTACCATCGCTTGTTTGAGAGGGGAGCTCAGTGTCGGTGGGCGAGGTTTTGGTGACTTGCGGCTCATTCTTCCCTATTTCAGTCGACGCGGTAAGGGAACGAGGCGCGTCCTCTGGGTTCTGGCGAACAGACGATCCCAGCAATGAGGATTCCTCAGGCTCAGCGGGTAACTGGATGTACTCATCCCTCATCAAGCACGTTTCTAACTTCAAGTTGTAGACAACGTAAACCATGAACTCTGTGATCTTCTTCATCTTCGACAGGACTTCAGTCGAGTCCCCACGCAAAGCGATGGTGCACCCAAGTTTCTCGGAACATCCGGACAGGAAGATATATGTCTTCTTCTTCCCAGGATAGTTCTTGTTGACATAGGTCTTGACTTCAAAGCCTCCCGACCTACCAACCTGAACTTGGAGGGCCAGCATGTCAAGAGAAGATATGATATCGGTCTCAGCACACCGCGATACCGCTTCGATGACTGAAGGCTTAACGTTGTAGGCAACAGCAATGTTGGCCTCTGACAGATATTGCAACGCAACTCCCGAAACAGACTTCTCGCAGAGCAAAATTTGGGGGCGCAGATTGATGATTCGGTTTACGACGATTCGTAAAAACTCTTTCTCTTGTTCGATGACTGGCTGAAGGCTCATAAAGTGTTGTTGGTGCCGCTGGTATTCGATCGGGAAGGAGACAATGACTATGCGGGGGCTAAGGATGCGACGAGGCATGCTCTTGAGGGCGAGATTCTTAGTGAAAATAACACCCGAAACGTAGCTAGTATCTCCCGGCTTGCCTCCCGGAATTTTCTTGAGCTTGACGTAGTGCCGTATATCCATGTCGTCCCCTGCCCTGATGTCAGGGGTAACGTCGTCAGTGCACTGGAGCAAGATTGGAATCAAAGCCTTTTCCCACGCAGGCACGTTAGGTATGCCCGAATCCTCGAGGAGCTGGTGCAATAGTCTCTTGACATGCAGCATGCTCGATGAGTTGAGCTCCACCTGTGGCTGTTTGTCGGCTTGCATCGAGTCGCTTCTCGTCAGCTTCGTGGCCTCGATCACAGGATTGTCGGTGGCGAACATGTTTTCGTTTGACGCTGACGGGCCCTTGAAAATGCCGGACTTGGGGCGCGGGGAACGCATTTGATGGCTGACGTTGCTCAGGTTGCGCCTTCTTCCTGGACGGCCGTGGCCAATAAGGCTTCCGGAACCAGCATTGTCGTCGATTCCACGGCTTGTAAAACTCAAACCACTGATGCTCTTTTCACCACGGCCAAGGCGATGTCTTCTTCCTGTACTGAGGAACGGACCAAAACTGGACTTCTCGTGATCGTAGCTAGACGGCTGCAGATCGGCATTTGACATGGTGGCGAATATGCTCATCTGCTCGTCGTCACTGGACTCGTCTGACATGTAGGCAGCCAACTCAGGGTCAATAATATTGTCGTCGTGAAACGCAGGATACTTTGGCTTCTTAGCCATCTCCTCAGTGATGCCCTTACGGAACGGGGCCCTGTCATCCGGCATTGGCTTAAATCTTGACATGTAATTGTTGTGATGTTTCGAATGATGCCGCCTGTGACCCGATGACTGCGGGCGGTTCGCGGACGTCAGAGATTTCAAGGAGCGAGAGGAGCTCGGGCGGCTGAGTTGCGGTGCGTCGATCTCCAAAATGGCCGAATTTCTGTTGGAATCGTTGATCCTCCGGGTTGCAGGGATCGCCATCATGGGTGTCTGAACAGACCTCGAGTCGCCCAAATCCTCCATTCGGTCAGCAAAGCTGGGCTCCTCAGGTTCGGCCTCAACCTGCGTGACCTTTGGGGTTGCCTTGGTCTGACGAAAAATGGCAGGTAGAAATGAGTCGTCTCCGGAGTCGTCAGAGGCGCTTCCTTCGTAGAGTCGCTGATTTATGACCTTTAAGCAAGTCTTGCAAACCCTCAGAGTCCCAGTCATCCCGAACTTCGAGGCTGGGATGATCGAAGTGCATTTGGAGTCGAAAATACAGCCGCAGGTTCGGCAATGATGTTTTCTTCTGAACGCTGAAAATGGCTGGCCACAGATGAAACATTCTTTGCACGTTTCGTCAGCCATCCAAAACTCTTTGCTCAGCACTTGCCGGCGCATTCTGTCAAGCCTGGCGTTAACTTGATCAGGAGCGCCCTCGTTGGTCGTCGTGCCTGGTATTCGCAGAGCGCCAGTTCTTCCATGCTTGGGCTGGGAATCATGTGCGAAAGAATCGTGATAGACAGAGTCGTGGGCGGTCGTGCTGATGGGACTTGGCTCAGCGGTGACATGCTCCATGGAGGAGGACCTTGACGGAGCGAAACCTGGCGATCTGGAACGACTAATGCGGTCAATAACAGCCGGTCTCTTAGGTACGAGCATCATCGACGCGGTCGAAGATGCCGGAGAACGCGGGTCTGCTGTTTGCAAGCTGGGCAACTGAGGTATATTGGTCTTGATCGGACTCAGGGGCTTATCCGAGGGCCCATCAACGGCGACGTCTTCGCGCCTCGTCCGGATGCTCGTATGGCCCTGATCAGCGCCTCCGCCGTGTTTGGGCTCCAGTACGTCAAACTTGTGTGAACTCTCGGAACCGATAACTAGCGGCCGGGGATCAGGCTGCTTGCTGATGCTTCTCCTCCCAGATGAGCGGACGGGTCCATCCTCGATTCGCGCCACGTTTCTCGGTGCCGTAGCAGGGGCAACCTCGGGATTGATAGCCGTCACCGCAGAGGCCTTGGCCACACTGGGCAAACTTTGTCGGCTGGAGGTGCTGGACTTGGAAGCTGTCATGGCGGAAATGGAAGTGGCCTTGGAGGATTGGGGCGGATGCGACTGGCTGTCGGAAGTGACGGTGTTAATTCCCGACGAGGACGTGGCTGCCATGGGTCCGTCGTGAGTCGCGCCCGAGTTGAAGGACGAGCTCGTCGTTGCGGTTTCGGCACGAGCGAGCGAGGCGATGGGTATTTTCGGGGTTGTAGCCGCTGTGCTGTTGCTGCGCTTGGAGGCGGCGTCGAAGCTGTCGCCGTCGTCCACGTCCTGCTGCCTTGTGCCAACGGCGCCAACAGCCTCCTTCAGACGGCTATAGAGCCCGCTGAGCCCATTCTGAACCAACTCCCCTGTCAAGACCTTTGTTTCCGTCGCAGGGAGGGATGTAGGTGGAGGAGCGAAGTCGTTGAATGTCGTCAAGCAATCCGACTGGCTTGCTGACGTATGGATCCTGTTGAGGGTATGGGCCAACTGATCCTTGTCGACCTGGGAAGCCGTGGATATAGAGTTGATAGAGTCATGGCGACTCCTAAAGCTCGGGGGCGTCGAGAGAACTGCTGGCGAGTTGGGTTTTGATGTGTTGTTGCTAGCCATCTTGCGTAAGCGCATATGCGACGGCTAGGCGATGAAGAGGCTCGTGAAGTTCCTATATCGTATACAGCGGTGACATCTTCTGGTGTCAGGATGACATGGCGTGTGTAAATTGTAGGGATTCCGTTAGGCACATCCGAGCCAGACCTTCTCCTCTTCCTCGGGCCCTTGCCAACGGTCAGATCCAGTCGAATGTGTGTATCTCGCGGTTCGTAGCAGAGAGGGGTATGGGATCGCCGGGGAGGGAGGTTCTTGGTCGGCAGTGGTTTGAGAGGTCGGACGTCGTATGTGGATATCGGCGGCTTTTCGACAGGGGCACAGGCAAGCTCAAGGGTTCGAGAGGGATCCAGGTGACGGAAGAAGAGAAACGACGTGGCAAAGGCCAGGCTTGGGTATGCGCGTTCGTATGTGCATATATGCGTGTGCGTATGAGGTGTTTGGGGTCTTGGGGTCCTAAGCGTTGTCTGCGCTGGTGCAGGGCGAGCTAGTGTCTTTCAAGACGGCCCCGGACGCCCTTTTTTAAGAGGTGGACTATCCGCAGACTACTACGAGGCGGGCAGCGCTATCCCTTGAAGGTTTAGGCGCGCGTGGTCTGGGGATTTGCAAGCTGGTGCAGTCGTCAAACGAGGTGAGATGACGCAGCGACAGCGATGCTGGGCTGAGTTGGCGGTTGGCAAGCCCTGGCCACCTTTGCTCCGACAAGTCTCCAACACTTTCTGCAAGGCGGATGGCTGCTGCTGCGTTAGTGTCTCTACAATACCTTTTGGAAGGGCTGGTTCTGGAAACGGTCCCGGAAGCCGTTGGCAGCGGTCTACCGGGTACCTTGGTCCTCCTGTCTGTTACGGATACAGCTGCTACAATGCATGTGGAAGTACAGATAGGTTTAGGTAGGCATGCTAGGTACTTTACCAGGTACATACCAGTTTCCGTTCCGACACCATACCTAGGTAGGTACCTAGTTCAGACGGCGGCAGACCAGTCCGCCACCTTAGATTTCGAAGCTTGGACCAGCTCCCCCCTCTAGTCGGTCAGTCAATCAGCCAGCCAGTTAATATAAACCACTCTCGGCTTGAAGAGAGAGAACAGAACCCCGCAATTGCTGCCACTTTACTCGGATAGGACCCCAGCAGCACCACCCCCAAGAAAAAAAAAACGCGTCCAAGCCTCCCTCGGTATCTAGCTAGGTACCTACCTGACCGCGTCGCTATAATCAGCATTCCAACATTTGGATAATTCTCAAATTCACAGCAAACATTGCGACTGCTTGACTCTGTTGCGACCTTACTTGTCCTCCGATTGGAAAGCTCGCCTAGTGCTGCTGTGGGTTTCCTCATTATACCTTTATCTCTTGACCCTTTCAACGCCTGGTCACTCAACCCAGATTCAACACCTACTCCCATTTCCCGTTACACCGTCTACCAACCTTTGAATGCAGGATTTCACAAAACCACCTCACCGCCGCAACCCCTGTCATGGCCGTTATCGCTAGTCCAACAAGCCGTTCAGATGCGTCTGACTCTTCGACTCCCTTTGGTATTCTCAAAGATGCCCCCATCCCCCAGAAGTTCACGGTAATACCAAAGAACCAGAACGCACTCCTCGAGCGTAAGGATTCTTGGATTTCAGCCCTGAACAACGACTCTCAAAAGGGAGCAGTCAATGTTCCACCAAATGTCCTTGAGACCGTCAAATACTTCCACACTTCCCGCACACTTCCGCCTGCTGCTCAAAAGCCGAATGTGGAAGGCTCTAGTGGACCGCTTCAAATGGAAGCAGAGCTGGCAGTTCCATCAGCACCATCCCAAGAGCAAGAAGATGGAGTTAGCCTAAACTCCAGCCCAGGAATTCCCGTCAGCTCCTGGCCAGAGTCTCTCCCTCCATCTCCCCATACCTCAAGACAACACCTCACACCGTCTCCGGCACCGTCTATCAAATCGCAGATTGTAACAGAACGCCAGTCTGGCCCGTTGAGTGTTGCTCCTGAATCTCCTCCGCCAGACCGACCGAGCAGTCCTCAAATCGCGTCTTCGCCGCCCATGCAGCCAGCCCCTAAGCGGCACATAGCGCCCTTGGCTGGGTCTAAACGTCGCCCGCTGGAAGCTTTCCCGTCAAGCAGCGCTGGTCTGGAAGACGAGTTAGAAACAGCCATCCCTGATGCCCTTGTTGAAGCAACGCCTCCTATCAATCGAATGGCCGCACGCGTGGCGACGGCGTCACAGGCTGTTACAAGTCCACCTTGTGGTCAGGGAAGCATGGTTCCATCCACTTATAGGGACGTTAAGAGCCCCGAAGAGAAGGCGCAAGCTCCCAATAAGAGGCGCTGTCAGGGTATGAAAGTCATCGTGTTTAGTTCAACCCCCGAAGATCAGCCAAAAGGGAGCAGCAATTGCGGCAAGACTCCTGCTCGACCTGCGATACCACTTGCAGCTCCTCTACAGGAACCTTCATCGCTATCTTCAGCATTCCCAATCGCGTCGGCGCTTCCCAAGACTGACACGCAGTCCTCTTTGAGAACATCTCGGAATGTCGAGGCTACCAATGGCCAACAAGCCGGCGCCACCCCACGCCCAGTTCCGCCCGCTCCAGGACCGGCTCACGATTCCGAAGATCATGTTATGACAGGGACCAACACTGTCCCGGAAGCGCGTCGAGCGATGCCGAATGATGGCAGCTTCGACCAGCCGGCACAAAGCTCACGTTGTCAAGACATAATCTCATATCTAGACCACGAGTGGAACGCAGAGAACCTTGACTGGCTTCCGCCAAAGTTGAAACATTTCCGGTCGGCTCTTACAGCTCGCAGCCTCGAAAACTTGCAGAAAATCACCAGCTTGGCCATCAAAAACGGCACCAGGCTTTCACGACTGTGGTCCGAACCTGATGGTCTTCTCTATCGCTCGGCTCAGCAGCAAACAAATGGGAAACTCAATTTCCCTGAAGAACTAGTTCATATGACACTTGATCTCTACGGGACGGAGATGGCAGGAATAGAGGGTCACCCGGCAAGGGCCCCAGAGGAAGTCCTTAAGGGGCCCTCTCGGCAGACCAGTCGACACGAAGTAGCAACTCAGACGAGAACCACAAACCCCTCACCCCCCACGTCACCGACTGTTGTTCAAGCTCCACGGGATGCCCCCTCCAGCCCTCAAGTCACCAACAAGCACGAAAGACCCATAGAGACGCCACCACGGCCACCACGAGAGGTGGTTGCCAAGACTTTTGCACGGGATCCCTTGGAAGCTTTCCGCAACGCCTACCCTTCCTATTCAGGGAGTACTGGCGACTTTGTCAAAGCATGTCTGACTATCAAAGACCTTCGTCGAAAGCTCCTGCTCCCTAAGTGGCTCTATGACGACTTCATCCGAGCCTTTGTGGATGGCTTCATCCCCTATATTGAAACCCTGGACGACGACGAAGCTCCACTTTCGGCTTATCAGTGGTATGTTGAGTATGTGGACAGCCCAGCCTTCCAAGGTGGCGTTGTGACGCGTGAGAACCTCCATCAAGTTTTCAGGGTGTATCACAGCGCATATATGTCGGCAAGGGGTTCTCTTTCAGGTAAAACATCTACGCATCCGGGAGTTGGACTGGAGCCTTCGACCGAGACGACCGGGGTTGATATTGAGAGGGGCCCCCAAACCAGAATTCCTCAGGTAGTCGAACCCAGGCCACGGGTTCGACCAAAAGAACCTCATAATTCGAGCGCAACATCTGCCGACCTGTCATTTTTGCCGGACCAGCCATCACCCGCTGTCGCGCAAGAGACAACGAAGGGTCTCATGAACGGCCGACAATCCAGCATTGAAGCCAAGGATGACGACCTCTTGCCCATCGGGTCGCATGTGCCCCTCACCAAAGTAGACAAGGGCAAACAACGGATGTCAGTCAAGGAGGACCAGGTCATGCGGGACGCTCCGGCATCAGCACCGGCCATTCAGCGCCACAAGAACGTCTTCTCGGGGGACCGAGAAGTCACGCATGTTTCGAGCACCCCGCGGCCTCGAACGGCAAACCCAAATGATGCCGGTTCCTCCAAAGATGAAAGCCGCAGTCACAATGGCCGTAGTGTCAGCAATATTACCCCCACCAGCCAGACAACCACCCGCAACTCGGTGCTGTCCGAAGGGAAGCGTGTCTCTGCAGTGAAACTCTGGCAGAACGAGTTTATTGCGGAAACGCCCCCTCGAAATTTGGCGGCTCCTGCCAAGACCGCGACACAGCACCCCGCGGTACGTCGGAGCCTGCCCGTCTCATTCGACTCCGCTACGCCCCTGGCTTCCATGCCGAGCATGGAAGCACAGCGGAGTGGCACGCCGAGAAGCACGCTCTCGGCTTCGACGCAGGCCCACCGGGTCAAGAAGCCCAGGTACGAAACGGAGGAGGAGAGAAAAAAGCGCAAGATGATGGCCAAACTCGAGAAAATGGCAAAGGAGGGACGGCTGGCGCCGCCGCTAAGCTCCATGCCTCGAAAGTCGTAGACTTGCATCGTGAGGGAGGAGGGGGGGACAGAAATTGACGAATCGTCTAATGGAGCGCCGCTAGAGCGCGTAACATGGACAAGGTCGCAGCATCCGCCGCTTTAGCACAATATTCTTTATAGGTCTGTTTCGAGTTGTATGTAATGTGCTGGGAGAGGTTTTTTTCTGTTTGTTTTTTTTCATCCTTTTTCTTTCATTTCTCTCTTCCGAGGCTTCGTATGATACCCCCTTTACCTGTCGGCAATAGATATACAGAGTGTTTGCTATACCAGCCTACCCAAGTCTGCATGTGTGAAGGACCCATAGGACGCATCAATGCCTAATGGAGATGCCGAGAACAGCAGGTCCAAGATGAGAATCGGCAAAAGAACGGGAAACAGTCTAAGCAGCGAGCATAATCAATCAAAACTTTGTTTGGAGTGGATCTAATTATGCTCTTCTTTTTCATGACCGGCTCTCTGGAGAGGCTTAAAAAGTATCTATTGTCCCCTTAGAAAAACATGGTGCCATATTCAACGATGGCTTTCCGTCGTATCCGAAGTCGTAAATGAGATGTTCAAGACGGTAAGGTTCGGTTTTCCGTAGCACAACAGCAAAAGCATAGCCCGACTCCGGTATAATGACACAAACACCCTTCCTCTCTCTCTCTCAAAAGTTCTCCTGTGGTTGCCCTGTCGGTTTCCTAGTATTCCGTCATGTCTTATTTTTCCTACTGGAAAGGTCGTATGTCTCATATCGTGATTTGCTCCGAGGGGTTGTACCCTCTTCGGGGGATTTGGTTGGGTATATCGGTCATGGTATTCTGTTGTCCAGTTTTTTTTCTTCCGTTTTGTTCTTCTTTTTCAAGCCGAGTCTTCAGAGGACTGGGCCTCGGCCGCCTTCTTGGCATTTTGTCGCTCCTCCTCCTCGGGGGTGAGGGTCTTGAGCTGAAGGGCGTGGATGCCGCCCTCGCGGGCCATCTCCTCGCGGAGGAGGGCGTAGACCATACGGTGGCGGGCGGATTGCATCTTTGATCTAAAAGACTCCGAAGTGATAACAAGTCTGCGCAGCGGTGGTGTTAGCCAACGATTCCAGAGCCAATTGTAGACGGAACGGGCAGTTGATTTGGGGTAATCTCGTACCTGAAGTGGGTTTCCTTGGAGGTGCTGCCAGCCATGGCCTTATGGTGGCTGTGGAGGTGGGAGTCGTTGTAGATTTCGAGGGTAGTGGGGGAGAAGGCAGCGGTCACCTGAGGGAAATTGAGTTAGCAAGCCGGCCTTGGGGTCGTCGTATACCTCGAGGGGCATCATACCTTGGAACGGATGGCGTCCTCGACGGGCGTGGCGGACGACATGGTTCCGAGGGGTCTAGCGGCACCGGCCGAGAAGCCGAGGGCGTATCTTCGCAACATTGGTGAGTGTGCTTGGGTTATTCCTCCGGTCAAACTACTCCCAATCCTGCCAACGAAGGGGCGGAATGTGTTCATAGGGGGTAAGGAAAGGGGAGGAGAGAGAAAAGAAGGCGAAGGGGGGAGGAGCAAGTAGAAGTAGGTACGCGGCGGCTTGCGGGCTGCAATGCGGTGCGGCGGTAAAGGAGTTTGGGATGGAGGACGGTGTAGAAAAGCCGGACAGGGGAAGAATAAGAAAAGCTGACCTTGCTTCTGCTGCGTGATTGCGTGGTGTGGTATGGATTTTGCCAGCCCAACAACTTTTTTCGGTTTAGGTAGAGAAGGGGGAGCTGCTGCGGGTGCATGAAAGGTACGGTGTGCGAAGTGTGACCCTGGAACTTGGGACCTGAGAGCGGAGCATGGATGATGTGGGATCGGGGGGAGGTGGATGGGTGGGTGGGAGGATGCAGGATGAGGAAGCAAGCAGACAGGCAGGCAGACAGGCAAATGACAAGCCGAGCAGCAGATTTTCCCACGGGCAAAGAACGTTCGGTGTATCGGTGAGGAAATGAAGAGAGCGGACATGCGGGACCGGCTTGGCAGGCAGCATGGCACATGTGGCCCCCGGCCAATCAGCAGGCCGCCGACCTTGTCTCTATCCTTCCGGTTGGGTAACCGGGTGGAACCCCACCACCGGGGGGAGAAGTTCCAGCAGTGCAGTCCCAGCAGCGTGTATTACCTACCTGCAGTGTAGCTACTTATATTTACAGGGTATTTAGATGCCGTAGGTAAGGTCTGCGACATGCACCTTGGCTTTTGTTCGGCGCACTCTTTAGTTTTGTCTTTTTCTTTTTTTTTTTCTTTTTTTTTGCCACTGGTTGCAAAAGTCTGTCTTCCGCCCCGCCTCGTGTAAGCAAGAGCGAGACGGAGATGAATATTACACTCCTCACTCATCTGCCGGCCAAGTTAGGTTTGCTTTTGCAGTATTGGAAAAGGAGCTACGCCCACCGCCCTTCTTGCTTCTTATTCTTCTTCCTCTACTCCGTATGTGAGTTCAGAACCCAGAAACCTCTTCGACCCCATGTATTGGCCGTCCGTTAGCGCCGCATTAGGCATGGCGGGCCAACTGGAACACCTAGAAGAACTGGAGAACCCACGTACCACCAAACAACAACAATCAACAACGCATGGGCAAGCCCGACACGCACCTCACGTTGTTTCGATGACTCTTCCGCCTAGCCCCCCCCCCCCCCCCCCCTTGCCCATTTCTGCTCACCGCGTGTTTCCCCCCAACCCCCCGTCACCGCGCATCGCAAAGAGGAGCAAACACACGAGCGACACAGCAAAAAAAGGCTCCGCTTTGACCTCCTCTCAGTTTCGCGCAAGGCACCATTAGATACCCGATCACAAGACACCCCCATTCCAGAACATCAAGCTGTTCACTCGCAATGTCGCCAATGCATGCGGGCGGGGAAGATGAAGGACTCCCAGGCACCTTGCAAGGGGCACTTAGATGCGGTGACGTGTGGTATGGTAACATCAACATTCGGCAGCGGCAAAGGAGGAGGGTGCAGCAGAAGCACCATCACCAGCATCTTATGACCAAGATACCCAGGTACTTCTCCCTTCTGCGTGAGGTACCCAGGCGCTTTGCAATGGAGGGGCGGATAGATAAACTAGGTAGGCAGAGGTGCCTCGTGGGAAATATTGGCCGCTTCCGAGCGGTCCCCGCCGCTAGCCAAAAGGCTAGGTAGATTGGGACGCGGACCAACACAGCAACCGATGGGCATCCATTCCGCGCCACGATGCTGCTGGATCCCAAACGCACCGAAGATTCACCATCCAGTTTTCAACCGAGGCGCACACACCACACCCAGATCTCCTGCCTGCCAGTACGGATAGCGCCATAATAGGTACTCAAGCCTCGTCTAGACTACCTAATTAGGTACTGCGGCCCGGACAAGCCACACCCACGACCCAAGTTTTCCGTCCGGTCTTCGGCAAAATCCTCCCCGTGGCCCTGCAGGGAGAAGTCCGACCCACGACCTGGTAGCAATCAACAAAAAGAAATTACGACACAGTTCACTCGCACACCCAACGCTGCTGCACTACATACACCTGCCCGCCACTATCAAGATCCGAGAGTTACCATCGAAGCCCGGGGTCCGTCCCCTCCCCAATATCCACTCCGTCCATCAACTCCGTGTTCCGATCCGTTGGATAATAACGCCATTGATAACGTCGCATATCAAGCCCCCCCTCTCCCCCACACTTCATGTTGGCCTCCGGTTTGCGGAATGTAGCTAGACGGCCCGGCTGCTGTTGGTGTTGCCGAATATCCCCATTCTCAGCCGCTCCCGCCATCCTCGTAGCTGCCGACGTCGCCTGTACAACTGCTCTCGCAAGCTCCCGTTCCGCATCACGATTCCTTGCTACTGCCCGCGCATTGCGAACCGCAAGAATGGCTTCCACTGCCTCGCTCCCAAAACTCCCCCTCTTCGAGGCCATCTCCCGGCACGACCCCGAGTCCACGGCCGTGGTCCACTCGCTATCCGGCCGCCGCTTCAAGTATGGTGAGCTCCTGGGCGACGTGCGCCGCGCGCGAGACAAGCTCCTGGACTCGGCGGGCAAGCAAGACCTCAATGGCGAGCGCATCGCCTTCTTGGTAGAGAACAGCTACGACTATGTAGGTAAGCCAAGTCGCAAGCCCCCCGCAATAGCCTCTGGAGCGTCCCCCCTTCCCCTGGGCTATTACAATGATGTGATACGTCGCGGTCCTGACATACGCTTGCCTCCCAGTGACTCTCCTCGCTGCATTCGCTGCTCGCTCCATCGCGGTTCCTCTGTCCCCGGCCTTCCCCGCGCCCGAGCTCCAGTACATCCTAGACCAGAGTGAGGCGTCGCTGCTCGTGTCCTCGGCAAAGTTCGCAACCAAGGCGAAGGAAGTGCTCTCAGCAAAGCTCGCCTCGAACCCTACGCAAGTCGAGCTGCAGAAGCACCACGGCGGCAGCGCGCATGAGCAAGTCGAGCTTGAGGACGCCGACGTGGGCGCCGCGGGCATGATGCTGTATACCTCGGGCACCACAAACAGACCGGTTCGTTACCCCACCAGACCTCCGTTCGCCGCCCCTGAGCGACGCTGATAACTTCCAAGAAAGGCGTCTTGCTCCCCCAGTCCGTCCTGACGGCGCAGTCCAAGTCTCTGATCGAGGCGTGGAACTACTCCCCCAAAGACCACCTCCTTCACGTCCTCCCCCTACACCACATCCACGGCACCGTCAACGCCGTCCTTACCCCCCTCCTCGCCGGGTCCACGATCGAGTTCATGTTTCCTTTCAACGCCGACGCCGTCTGGAAGCGCCTCGCCGCGCCCTTCATCGCTAGCAACGGCGTCAACGACACCAATGGCGCTAACGGCACGCACGCCCTCCCCAAGGAGAAGATCACATTCTTTACCGTCGTCCCGACGGTCTACTCCCGCCTCCTCGTGACCCACAAGGGTCTGCCCCTCGACCCCGCCGAGCCGACCCGCGAGGCCGTCTCCCCGCGCCACATGCGCCTCGCCATCTCCGGCTCCGCCGCCCTGCCGACGCCCATCAAAGAGTCCTGGAAGACCCTCTCCAAGGGCAACGTCCTTCTCGAGCGCTACGGCATGACCGAGGTCGGCATGGCCCTCTCCTGCGGCCTCGACTTCGCCGACCGCGTCGACGGCAGCGTTGGCTGGCCCCTCCCCGGCGTCGAGGCCCGCCTCGTCGACATGGACACGGGCGCCGTCATCCCCCCGGGTCAAGACGTCGACCCGGAAACCGGCCGCGAGCGCCCCGGCGAGATCCAGCTCCGCGGCCCCACGGTCTTCAAGGAGTACTGGCGCAACCCTGAGGCCACGGCCAAGGAGTTCGTTGAGGGGGAGGACGGCAAGGGCAGGTGGTTTAAGACGGGCGACATCGCCGTCCGCAGGCCCGTCCCGAACGCAGGCCTCAATGCGGCGCAGTCGTCCTGGGCCAAGGGCGACATGTACTTCATCCAGGGCCGCAAGAGCGCCGACATCATCAAGACGGGCGGCGAAAAGGTCAGCGCCCTCGAGGTCGAGCGCGAGCTGCTCTCGCTACCCGAGGTCGCCGAGGCCGCCGTCGTCGCCGTCCCCTCGGGCAAGTGGGGTTCCAAGGTCGGCGCCGTCGTCATCCTCAACATGGACGTCGTCCCCCACTGGTCCCCAATGGCCATGCGGAGGGCCCTTCGCGACCGCCTCGTCAACTACAAGATCCCCCAGGTCCTCAAGGTCGTCGACCACATCCCGCGCAACGCCATGGGCAAGATCAACAAGAAGCAGCTGGTCCAGGCCGTTTTCGAAGACCAGTTCAGCGGCGACGAGATGTAACAACAGCGATGCAGGAGAAGAATCCGCTGCAGCATTATGCGGCGATGCTTTGTTTGAATAAGGGGACTTGCTTGTTGGAAGGTCTGAGGCAGACGGAAAAAAAACACTAGATGAAATGTAATAGAGATACCCCTTCATCTTCGGAAAGGCACGGGCAGGGTAATTTGGCCTAAACCTAGGTATCTATTCCGGATATTCGTATCCGCCTATGTACTATCGATCATGACCGTCTAGAAGTTTCAAAAAAACCCCATTGATCTAATTTTTTTTTTCTTCTCTTCTCAGCAACGCCTTCGTCAAGAGCTCCTAAGACTATCATGAGAGAACCTTTTCCGCCCCAGAGATGCGTTATCATTGATGCGTTAGCACTGCCCCGTTTTGATCCTCCGCTGGCATCAGGCAACCTAAAAAAAAGAAGAAAAGAAAAGGTCGGCTGAAAAATGCGACGAGTGATATCATGCGAACGCGAGTCGGCCTCCTCAACGAATGAGGGGTCAAACAGGCCCGATATAATGCATTGGTATGCCTGGTATTGTGTGTTTTGTTCCCGAGGTTCAAATGCGTCTCTTAGACGGTGTGCTTGGCCTTCGCACGGCTGCTTCCGCTGTGCGCACTGTCGGTGTGGCCAGAGAACTCGACGACCTCATTGGGCGGTAGGTTCAGGATGTCCTTGAAGCGCTTGCCGATGTTCAAAAGAATGTCACGGCCCTTATCCTGAGAGCGGCCCTTGCCACCAGCCACATCACCGTCACCACGACCAGGAATGCTCTTTCCGATGGTACGAGTCCAGACACCAATACGGAAGAAAGCCTTGCGAACGTTGACAACGACGCCCATGACCTCTCCGTCATCCTCGCCCTCGAGAGTTTCGCCGATAGCAGCCAACATGACGTGAAGCCAGAGATCATCAATGGGGACGCTGCGCTTCTCCTTGAACTGGTAGGACCATTTGCCACCATGCTTGTTCTGGGCATCCTCCCACTCAGGGCGAACGCCAGCCTTGAAGAGGTGGTAGTCGGACTTGAGCGCCAGCTCGGAGACAGGAGCGATGTTGTTCTGGAGGCCAATCAGTAAATGGAAAGAGAGATCGAGTGGAGGGGGGGCGAGGTGTGCGTACATATACGCCCCAGAACTCCTCAACAGAGTTGAAAGTGATAACCTCCTTGAGGAGGTCGTTCCAGTTATCACCCTGCGCCAAGTTAGTATACAGCTCCTCACATGCCCGCGACTGGGCCAACTAACCTTGCCACTGGGGGGCTTGGTGAACCAGAGAGTCCACTTGTTCTGCAGAGGGTGCTTGACATTGAAGTTCTCCTTGTCGTGGAAGACGGTAACGGGCTTCTCGGCGTCGGTCTCCTTGATCTCGGACTTGTCGCCACCATCGGGGGAGATGGGGATGGTGGAGAGGTCGACCTGCTGGTCGGCGTTCGTGGGTGTTTGCACAGAGGTCGCCATCGTGAGGGGCTTGTTGTGGTGTTGGAGATGTAGGGCTGATTACGGATCGGAGCGATGAGGGGTAGAATTGGTAGAGGCGCTGGTAGGAGCAGACTCTAGAGAGAAGACGTTTGTCGATGTGATACGGGCAGCCCAAGGGGAAAGATTGCCGATCGCGGTTGTAGGGTGGAAGAGGTGGAGCGCAGGAGGGTTCCGCTCGAAAGTGGCTGGATACTGTAGGTTGTGACGACGGTTGCTCGCTTCACTGTCGAGAAAGTGCTGGGGGGGGGCGGCGATTGCTTCCTTCCAGAGATTCGATTGTGGGGGGAGATTCCGACGTTGCGCCAGGCAAAGTCAGCGAAGATCGGAAAGGGCGGGTTAGAGGAAGGCAAGAACAGGCGGTGGAGTTCTTTTCTTAGGCAGAACTGACGACGAGGTCGAGATGGGAAGTTGCGATGAGTTTGCACTTTTTGCGGAGGGTTGCGCTCAGCAGCAGAAAGCCAGAAGAGAGAGCGTGCACCCACCAAGAGGGCGTTGCTGGTCGCAAAAAAATGCCCAAGCGGACGGCCCTCGATCCGCCCAACAGAAGACGCCGGAAAAGTGGGGGTCAGGTTGGACTGAGGTGAGGTGAGGTGAAGCCATTTTTTTCGGGCAGGTACAACCTTGGCTCAGCACTTAAAGAGGCTAACCAGGTACCGCCTCCTTACTCAGTGAAGTCCTCCCGGGATATGGTTAGGGCGAAAGAAGCCCTCGATGAAAACAGCCCCGGATCCGGGCGACAGGTGAGGCAAGAACGGAGGCGAGTCCAGCCTGACAGCACCACCGTGGTCACCTTGACAGAGAAAGAAAGCGAAAGACAGGGTTTGCGGGAGTTTACTACCTACATAAACAACCCCAGTGGAGGTCTCGTGCTAGTGCTCGAATAACTGCGCATACCGACTGACAAACCTTGTAGACTGGGATGCTGTTTGTTGTAGGTACCTGCTTTGGGAAGTCAGTTATACAGTTAGTACCTACTTTGAACGCTGAGTCTTTTTGTTTACATCCTTTTGGGTTCTCTACTAGCTGTGTTTGTGCACTCGGTCTTGGATACCATCTGTTTGGTTTGGCCGTTTCCTCGACTGATCACCATTGCCTTTTACGATGCTATGTTCATAACTGCACGAAGACGGGAAAACGGAGAGGGAAGCTTTGTGTTGCCCCAGATGGGCTTACATCTCAAAGGGCGGTTTGCCTGCCTGCTATAGATCTTTACCCAATAAAGCTCATGTCATCCGGGTAGTTTCTTGCTTGTTTCCTCCCGTCTTAATTTTCCCAACTTTTTTTACCATCCCTCTCTCTCCCTCTCCGACCTCCACCCTTCCCCCATCGCCCGAAGTATTCTCGGCCTGAACCAAGCGTCTTCTCCTGACCCCTTCCCCTGCCCCTTCCTACACCAGAAGCTACATCCCTGTTTCGAGATCACGCCTTTTTCAGCCTCTGATGACACGACGTGAGAGTGTTTTGAGGTTTAATGTTAGAGGACTTGTCCGATAGGCTATCGGGTATGCAATCGACACGAAATACTCCTTTCTTCAGTCCCATATCCCTTACGGCCTACACCTAGTCGCGAGTCAAACAACACGCAATCCCAGAGTTACTCAACACCCTCTTCTTCTGCACTTGCAAAGTCAACTGAGTCGAGGTCAGCCTTGGGTGAATGTTACTTGGTGACCTCCTCTGGGCCAAGCGACCCTGCTGGTTTCAGCCTGTACACCCTCGGCGCATCCACATCGCCAGGGGTTATGTTGACCTCGTCCGAATGGGGTGGCTGATTTTGTATCAATGGTGCTTTGTTGCTGTTGACTTGTACCACATGTGTTGTATTACATGGTCTTGCCCTTCCGAGTTTCTTTTAGTTTGATGTCAAAAGCAGGCTGAAAGCGCAGGGAGAAAGACCAGCCAGTGTCAATGGGAATTTGCCAATGCCCGTACTTCCCCAAGCACGCATCAGGACTATTGTTTACCTCGTATGAAAATTCAAGCGACCTAAGTCCGTTGGTGCTAAATGGTACCCCATGAATGAACTCCACGCCTTTCTCTATGGCACGGAAAGGCGAAGATTGTTGGCTATCACTTGTTTTTGGAAGACTACGACAAAGCAATGGATAGGCTATTGTTGAGAGCGTCAGCATAACTCGCTTCAACAAGTTATTGACCAGGTCTAAAAACTTTCATAAGGCAGAACATGTGCCGAACAAACAATGATGGCAAGACCCCAAGGCTGTTAATAGCGAAGATCAGAGGACCAAACAGCCCCCCCCAATCTGTTAACACATGATAGTCATCTTACAAAAATGCGGCTTTTGTCATAATCCCTCGACAACATTTCGCAGAGATCCATACTATTCAGCATGTCGTTCATCAGACAACGTGGGCAAAGCCCAGCCCACGCCAGCCAACAATCAGGAACCTCGGCAACCAGGCCAATGTCAGCGAAAGTGCTCATGGCCAAAGACTTGAAGGACCTGGAAGGCTTCTGCCCCACTCGTCTTCCTCTTGAATGGGATCTCTCTGACCACGAGCTCACCGACAAATTCTTTGCAGATCATTACGCCGCTATCGTGTCGAATGTGAAGCTTCACGTTGACGACATGTTCAGGGTCGGTGGCCTTCCGCTCCAAGGGTCCGTCTGGACCATTTATACTGAACGCAAGAACCGCGACTTGGAGCATATCATCCGAGCGATTGCCCGGCCAAACCCCTCAGACCCGAACCCCTGGGATGAGTTGATGGTGTGCAACGAGAAGCGCATGGCAGTGATGCGGGCGGTCTTCATGAAGATCTACTCAGAACAATTGTTCTCCATGCAGCTCTTCGGAGCAGACGATACGCAAAGGCAAACACTCGTGCGCCAGGATGAAGAGTTTATTGGGCATGAAGGTGAGTATGCATTCGGCTTGAGGAGCACGCCGAGAGTACCGAACTTAATTTTCTTCCAGGCTTCCGCCGATCGAAATTGAGAGCCGCGACGGTTAGAATGATACTTGCTGAGACCCACGGTCTTCCGCCGCTATTCTGGGCTCAAGTAGATCAATTTGCCTGCAGGGTTTTCAAGCTCCTCCATCCCTTTCTGACTTGGGTCAGAATGACATGGCCTGAAAACGGAACCAAACCTTCGATCCGCTCAATCTTCCAGATGATACACAAGGACACGGCTTATGCAGCATGGCTCGCTGTCAATGTGCGAATGTCCCCCACTATCCTCAATTTCGACTGGAAACTCCCGGGCGAACGCTACCTCCCAAACCAGGTCGAGGTCTATCCGGAAGTGTACACGAAGCACCGAATCGAGATGACAGAACGCGAGTCGAGCAAAGGATCTCGTTATGGGATGGCTCACCCGGGATGTAAGAATCCCAAACCACCAACGAGAACTGCCAGAGTCATGATATCGGTGGTGCCTCTTGTGCAGAGAATCAGTCTTGTCGCCAGCAATAATAGCGAGGAACCACTTGGTTTCCAAAAGGCAACTCTGATCGCACCCAGGGTTGTCTATTATCACGGGCTCAACAACGACCAAGACGACGCGGCCCAGTTCAAAGAAGGCCCCCCTAGATACTCAACCAGTAGTTTCTTGGTGCGAGCAGTCTGCGTCTACTCCGGTTTCTGTGTTGTGATATTGGTCATTGGCTCGCTAATCCGGCTGCCCTACTCCGAGAACCTCAGGAACTTGCTCAAATGAACGCGTGTCGAGTCGCCTCGGTACTGAGAGGTATTCCACTGAGCTAATCGTTCACTACACCTACCTAACAACAAACTGTTGACAATGGCGTAGTGGGGGTTTGCCCAGCAGTTCTGCACCGGCTCAAAGCACCAGGAGCTAGGTTGGAAAGGATCATTAGCGTCAACATGTTATTCAGTATGTGGAAAGTAGCGTCCAAATGGGTAGATTATAAAAACTGTAACAGCACAATTCCCATAGCCAGAGATGCGTACGTATCTGACAGGACTTTGCTGGACTGCGATATACTTGGGATATTGTACCGCGTAACGTAAAGTAACGCTGTGCGAAGGTGAAGCGTAACAGCAAGGCAGTAAGCAAGGCAAGCAATAACAAGGAACAGAACGATGTCAAAAGGACAGCATAGTATCAGGTTAAAGGTATATTCTTAGTTGGCCTTCTCCTTAGGGGAGAAGGCTCAGCGCAGCAGTCTATATACCCTGTGGGCACGCAAATATTCACGTGCTTCTGAGTGTAGACTGTCTACTGCGACGACCTATCTACCTGTCTAGGTGGCTGTCCTGTGACAGGTGTATCTAATTGCGACTCATCTAACAGACAAAAGGCGGTACTAAAGTCGTTAAGTAATAGCCTTGTCTCCTTTAAGGGGGTTTTGTTGCTTGCTATTTTAAGCTATACAGCAGGAATCGCGTATAAAGGAATCCTAGCTGCTAGAGAGGTTTAGTTTTTGTTAGGACGGACAGGCTCTGGCTCTGAAGTTCTGACTTTAGTATATAACTAATCTACAAAGAGATTATCAAAGGAAGGAGGCAGCCGAGTGAACAAGAGAAATAGCTATAGCAAGCTGGGCTGCCAGAGACTAAGTAGCACTAAGCTGAAATAGTCTTGAATCTGACGCTTCTTTTGCATCTTGTTGGAGCTGTTATACAATGAAGATGAGTCCTGTTGGGGCCATCAAGACTAAAGCGATCAATGACTGTAGGTATTATTGACGTCTTATGTGTGGCGTAGCTGTAATCTGTAACTCCTGTAGTAAGCTAAGATAGAATCTCTATCTCTTGTGTGTTAGCATCTGCAATGCTAACTTTGACGGCGACGTAATTCGACGTCCGCTCGTCAAGAGTGAGCCAGACTGTTGAAAACGTGCTGTAACCAAGCTTATGCAATATGTGGTATTGCTTGTGTAGACGATTGTCGACAGTAGATGAGGGAGAAGCAGTTCACGTAGCTGATGGCAGCGATGTCAGACTTGTCGGTAGGGACTACTTTTGCTTGAGTGATATTGCTGAGCACAGTAGTAGTAGGCGGAAGCAAAAGTAATGCATGCGCCGAGGGGGAATCGAACCCCCGGCTCCCCGACGCTGCTTGATGGCAACGGAGAATTTTACCACTAAACCATCGGCGCTGGTAGAAGGATTCGAAGATCCAAGCCCTGTGGTGAGATGGTGGCAAGTTGAAAGTGAGGAGGTTATATTCCGAAGCAGTGTGGTTGTGCGCTGTTGGAGGTGGGGGGATAAGGGCTCAAGGGTCTCGCGAGTTGTTCCCAGGACAACAATCTTAAGCGGCGAGGCACCGGCGGCTTTGTCAAAGCGCCTGCAACCCCACTTGCCGACTTTCGATGTCATGTAAGACTCCGTACACTAGGGCAATATGACATTCCTGTATCCGTAGGCAAAGGCAGATCCGCCTCTGAATGTCATGCTCCCTCAAGCCCACTCTCTGCCGACCATGTCGGAGAGGTACTTCAGCGGTGTTGGCCATTCATCTGAAGGAGGAAGAGGGTATGATAGCGAGCCAATCGTTTGGCGGACATTGACCAGTTGGGAAGGACCCCTTCAAAAGACGAGACTACCTGCCTGAGAGGGGTAATCGCTGATACACGTGCATGGGGACTGGGAGAGCCAGGAAATAGCCAGCTGTGGAGATACTCTTTGTGGCGACCTACACTACCTACGTAGTTAGCAGCAGACTTCGGGGGGCCCGACATATCTGCATGAAAGCCTTCGGGCTGAACAGCCCCGGACAACGCAAACAAGATGGGACCGACCGGTTGAATGCTGGGAAGGAAGGGTCTGCCTCCTTTGGTATTGCCACTGAGGGTCGGGAGTCCACTGCCAGGCATCTATCTGTCTGGGTTGCTTGATTACGTCGAGTCAGGCGGTGAGAGAAGCACATTCAGAGGCGTTAAGCGCCGGCAGCGAGCAAGCGCGTCAGATTTAGGAACAAGTCAAGTAGCAACATGACAAGGGAACCGGAAAGACAAAGAGGAGACAGACCTCCCGGATACGATGCCCAAGTAGGAAGTCTGGCGTTGATGACGATTTACATTTGTCTGCCTCAGCAAACCATTGCTAGACTCCGAGGTCGCCGGAGCTACATGCCTGGTCAAGATACATACCAAAGACGACTGACTGTGTCCTTGGACACAGCAAAATCGGCCAACATGCCTTTCCAGCTGCCATAGGATCCTCAGCAGCGAATGCACGTACAAAAACATGAATCCGAAGGCCAATTGCAGTACTAATACCTTACGTACCCAGTGGTAAACCAGCAGCGTACTCTTCGTTACCCACTTTCTCTCAAAGGCGAAGCGAGAGAGTAGCGAGCCGGGGTCCGATAAGATAGAACCCGCCGGCGACAAGGGGGGTTTAGGCGGGGGCCACAGCGGGAAAGGGCAAAAAATTGCATTCGCCGCCCTCGAATCTCGAATTTTTGTGGCATGGTGGCATGGCGCTAACCCCGTCTCAGCGCTGGAGGGGGGGTTGGTGGGTCTAGGGGAGAGACCCAGAAAAAAAAAGTCGAAATTGATTTTTTTTTTGCGGCCTTCACAAAAAAATCCTGTGTTGAGACCCGGAGCGAGAGAAATTCTTGAAAGGACCCCACGTCGCCCGCCCGCCCTCCTCCTTCACATATCTTTCTCCTCCGCGCAAACCTCCCAATCTTCTTTCCTCCCCTCCCCCATTCACACAGGTCTTTTTTTTGTCTTGTGCAATCCAAATCTTTCAAAATGGCGGACGAGGTTTACGATGGTGCCATTGGCATTGACTTGGGTATGTTTTGATTCCCCTCGTTCCGGATGGTTGATGTATTTGGCTTTGTCTTGGTGGTTGTGATGGTGGTCACTCGAGGTTTCCCCTCTTTGGCATCACGATAGTCACCACCACCAAACCACAGAGGCAAACCATCATCAACCATCATTTGTGCCTAACGATGGATCGAGGACAACGGACCGTACTCGGATAGGAGCATGAAGCTGACCGGGCCTCTTCTTTCCAGGAACCACCTACTCTTGCGTTGCGACGTACGAGGGTACCAATGTCGAGATCATTGCCAACGAGCAGGGTTCTTTCACCACCCCTTCTTTCGTTTCTTTCACCGACAAGGAGCGTCTGATCGGTGAGGCTGCCAAGAACCAGGCTGCTATGAACCCCGTCAACACCGTCTTCGATGTCAAGTGAGTAATCGCCCTGCCTACCCGTCTCACCTATCCCGCAATACCTATCGCTTCCTCGTGGATGGTGAGATTTTTTTTCCCCGCCCGAGGAGGGGTAATCCGGTGCTGAGGCCGAGAAGGGAAAATTTCAACTCTACATACAGGTTGCTGACCACGCATCTGCTTACAGGCGTCTCATCGGTCGCCGCTTCGATGACCCTACCGTCAAGAAGGACATCGAGTCCTGGCCCTTCAAGGTTGTCGACGAGGGCGGCAACCCCAAGGTCCAGGTCGAGTACCTCGGCGAGACCAAGACCTTCTCCCCCCAAGAGGTCTCCTCCATGGTCCTCCTCAAGGTACGTTTTTCCATGGCAGCGCCACCGGAAATTACCCGCCGGCCAAGCCACGATACATGCGCGAAGTGTTCAACATGCTGACCCCATCAACAGATGAAGGAGATTGCCGAGGTCAAGATCGGCAAGAAGGTTGAGAAGGCTGTCATCACCGTCCCCGCCTACTTCAACGACAACCAGCGTCAGGCCACCAAGGATGCTGGTGCCATCGCTGGCCTCAACGTCCTCCGTATCATCAACGAGCCCACCGCTGCCGCCATTGCCTACGGTCTTGGTGCCGGCAAGTCTGGCAAGGAGCGCAACGTCCTTATCTACGACTTGGGTGGTGGTACTTTCGATGTTTCCCTCCTCAACATCCAGGGTGGTGTCTTCACCGTCAAGGCTACTGCTGGTGACACCCACTTGGGTGGTCAGGACTTCGACACCAACCTCTTGGACCACTGCAAGAAGGACTTCCAGCGCAAGACCAAGAAGGACCTCTCTGGCGACCCCCGTGCCCTCCGTCGCCTTCGCACTGCTTGCGAGCGCGCCAAGCGTACTCTCTCCAGCGGTGCCCAGACCACCATTGAGATCGACTCTCTCTTCGATGGTGAGGACTACACCACTCAGCTCACCCGTGCCCGTTTCGAGGACTTGAACGCCAAGGCCTTCAACGGCACCCTCGAGCCTGTTGCCCAGGTTCTCAAGGACGCTGCCATTGAGAAGAGCGGCGTTGACGAGATTGTCCTCGTCGGTGGCTCTACTCGTATCCCCCGCATCCAGAAGCTCTTGTCCGAGTTCTTCGACGGCAAGAAGCTCGAGAAGAGCATCAACCCCGATGAGGCCGTCGCCTACGGTGCCGCCGTCCAGGCCGGTATCCTCTCCGGCAAGGCCACCTCCGCCGAGACCGCCGACCTTCTCCTGCTCGACGTCTGCCCCCTGTCCCTCGGTGTCGCCATGGAGGGCAACATCTTCGCCCCCGTCGTTCCTCGCGGCCACACAGTTCCTTGCCTCCGCAAACGGTAAGGTCTCCATTTCCTTGGATTACGCATAATGTTTTCGCTTCAACAAGCAGTTTCCTTGGCCCAAACTAACAGTTAGTAGTACATTCACCACTGTTGCCGACAACCAGCAGACCGTCCAGTTCCCTGTTTACCAGGGTGAGCGTGTCAACTGCGAGGACAACACCTCTCTGGGTGAATTCACTCTTGCTCCTATCCCCCCCATGAGGGCTGGTGAGGCCGTCCTCGAGGTCGTCTTCGAGGTCGACGTCAACGGTATCCTCAAGGTCACCGCCACTGAGAAGACCTCTGGCCGCTCCGCCAACATCACCATCTCCAACTCCGTTGGCAAGCTCTCTTCCCACGAGATTGAGAGCATGATCTCTGGTATGTCTTATCATGTTCCCTGGATGATGCCCTCAAGCCACTAACAGATCGTCAGACGCCGAGAAGTTCAAGTCCAACGACGAGGCCTTCAGCAAGCGCTTCGAGGCCAAGCAGCAGCTCGAGTCTTACATCGGTCGCGTTGAGGAGATCATCTCCGACCCTACCCTGTCCCTCAAGCTCAAGCGTGGCCAGAAGGACAAGATCGAGCAGCAGGTCTCCGAGGCCATGGCTGCCCTTGAGATCACCGACGCTGGTGCCGACGACCTCAAGAAGCAGGAGCTCGCCCTCAAGCGTCTTGTGACCAAGGCCATGTCCTCCCGTTAAATGCTCAACATATACCAAGGAATTTTCTTGTATTTTGTTGTCGCGCGGAGGATGTTTACGGCTTTGACGAGGCCGCTTCATTGCGGTGTATCTGGTTCAACTTTCTTGCGTTTGGGTGGCCCAACAGATTACGGCCAGGCAGGATGCGAATAATTTGGGTCAGGTGATATCAAAAAGGCACTTAAAAGTTCCTCCTTTCTTCCAGCCGCCTTCCCCCTATCATATACCTCCATAACCTCTCACACACACGACACGACTCTGGCATGACTCTCAGGCGAGTAGGAATGCCTTCCGGGTGCCGTCTTCTACGGCTTTCATAGATACTGTAGAAAGGATTAGGGCGACATGAAATGAAATTACGTCTACTTCAAGCTTCTTCACTTCATACACTGCAATGACGAACTATTTGTGATATTCATACATGCACCTAGCTCGGCCAAGATGGCCGAGCTACGGTCGGGGTTAAGAAGAGTTCGCATTGGGCAATCAGCTCTCTGTATTCGCTGGTCAAACTCGTGGAGGCCGATTTGAGGACGCATATATTCCCAGCTAACCTAGGAACCAGTCTTCCGCCGGTCTTTTCTACCTCATTTTGTTTGGGCCGGGCCTGGTTCTATCTCGAGATATCCAAGTGGGTGAAGTGGCTGAATTGCGAAGTTCCGGCTTCCCTGTCAGCCAGCATCTGCCTCATCTTGGATCCATTGCTACCGCCAGGGCCAATGCCATAGATGGTCTCGCCCAGCATCCGAAGTTGCATAGGGAAGTAGTCGTCCCTGTAGTGCTGGATTAGGTCGCCCTTGCTGACCTTGTTCTTGAGGCTATACCACTTGTGTTCGGCCTTGTGGCCGAGCGTCTCGCACTCCGTTTGCTTCTCGCCATCCCACCACGCCGGCAGCAGTGATCGCACACGGCCAACGCGGGCCAAGAACTCCCGAAAGCCCTCGGTGGCATCCGTCACTCCGTTGCAGTACAGGGACTTGGGGATTGCGGCATGGTCCATGTTGAAGCTGTCCTCCATGCGCAGGCGGTAGGTGTCAATGAGGACGCGGTAGACGTCGACTTCGGGGCGGTCGTGTAAGAAGGTGCCTTGGCCGAGCTTGGTGAAGGCGCCGAGAATGGGTTGGTTGAGGCCGCGGCTGGGCGTAGGCTCGCTCGGCGACCACGCGGTTCCGCCGCTGCCACTGCCTCGGGGGGTGGCCTGTGGCACTGGTCGGTCGTTCCGGTTCTTGGCGCATGCCTTCTTGTGGTTCTTCCAGTGGAGATTCAGGCAGCTCTTGGAGCAGTACTTGACGTCGCAGCGGTCGCACTCTGTCCAGTCCGCCTCCGAAACCTCCTTCTGGCACTTCTTACAGGTCGACATAGTGTTGGTATCGGCCATTGCGTTGGGATATCTGTTTCTTGCTGTGGGATCACGAGTGACTGCAAAATAAGAAGTTAGCATCGAAGTAATTCGTTTATCGCGATCTGGCTCACTATGTTTATTGTGTATCTGGTCTTGCTCGTACTGCAAACCAATTTCCCAGGTCTTCCTAAGCACAATAATTAGAGGACGATAATTATGAAAAACGCCTTGTCGTAGGATAGAACTTACATCGGCAAGAGGGCGGCGTGGACTCGCGATCAGAAGTGGGGTCAAAGCGACGGGTCGACCAATTGTGTAGCCGGATACACCACCCACTCTTTTGATCCCATTGTAGCCGTCACTCTCTGCTTCCTTCTCACTCATCCGATCCTCGCCAGCTTCCTCATTATGCTCAGTCGAAGCTGAGTATACTTGATAGTAGCTCTGAAGCTAGACTGTAAGCAAAAAAACCAAAAAAAAAAACCTGCTGAGGCCGTGGTATCCGGGCGTCGATTCCGCAACATCTCGCCGTAATGGCCAATCGCACTTTTGACAAGTTCTTTGACCTCCCCGTCGAGATCCGAGACCAAATCATCTCGTACCTCTGCCTGCTCCCGAACCCGATCCAAATCGGCCCCACCGAGACCTCGGAGATCCCCTTCCCGCACGACCTGCTGCTCTCCCACCCGTTTCTCTACGCCGCCGGCTCCGCCGTCTTCTACGAGCAGAACCGCTTCGTCCTCAACCTCCAGACCGGGGCCCGTGCCGCCGTCGAGCGCGCCATCTGCGACGGCAGCGTGCCATGGCTCCTGGGCAATGTCCGGGCCCGCCGTCGCCTCCGGCACCTCGAGCTCTCGCCGGGCCGCCTGGGCAACGTCTTCCAGACCCACGTCTCGCCGGCCGTGGCGGATATGATCCTCAACGGCGCCCTGCGCCACCTGAGGCTCGTGCTGTACCCGACGAGCGCCGACAAGGTGGTCTTCAACCAGGCCGCCGCCGACGCTCAGTCGAGGAGGGCCGCCATCACGCGGCGCGACGACGCCTTTGCCCATTCCCAGCCGTTCAAGGCGCTGTTGCGGTTGCTGGCTGATCCCGACCTAGAGACAGCCGAGCTTTACGTCGACCCCATCCACCGCGACTTTTGGTGTGAGTTCCACGAGGGCGTGGCGTGTTGCAAGGGGCATCGGAAGGGGCCCTGGCAGCTCATACCCATCGACTGGAGGAGGCTGGCTGCCACTTACGCTCAGGATCATGAGCTCAGTATTGTCCGGGTGGGCTGCTGAGTCCTCGGTGGGATCGGGCACGGTGCCTTGGATTGACACGCCGCAGGCATGACTCCATGTTGCTGATGAAAATGGCTTCAGAAGCAATTGGAAGCCATTGGCATACCGACGATTAGCCCCTCTCGACGGATTCTCGTCTCTCCCTGCAGAGTCCGAGAGGACACTTCTCGAGCCTAGGATACGATGAACATCGAGGGAGCAGCCAGAGGCTTGTCGTCCTGGCTTTGACGTAGCGTGGCAACTCACTCAAAACCTCCGACGATAAGTACCGGCCTTTGAGACGTTGGAGTTTTCGAGGCGATCCGCAGCGCGAACCTTTGGGGTTCTATGATGATCTGGTGTAACGGGTCTTGCCCATCTGTTTTGGATGTGTCAAACTGGGAACCAACGCCTAGACACTCAACTACTCCTCGGCTCTATCCACAGCGACTTGGTTCAGCTTTTATCAATACTTACCAAGTTATCTGAGCCAACTCTAATTTCCTTGCATCTTTTTTTCCCAACAGATGCGACGTCGTTCATTGATACTATACTTGCGAGCGCCCATCGCGCTTTATGATTACTCCAAAGAGAAAAGGCCGCCTCTCGAAGCATGGAACTGCGACCTAAGGAGAACGACCAGACAAGGCGTCCATTATCTCGGCTACCGATATACTGGGCTCGGTCTTTTTCCATACGCTCGCATGAGCCAGGCCTGGCTATATCTTGTGCATGGATGCCATTCCGTCATTCGAAGCTGGACTACAACAGTTGCTGCAGGGCTCGCAGATGGTATTCTGACCATTTCCAACCATATGATGGAGAAAATTGTACCGCCGAGAAGTCCAAAAAAGGTCTCAATGCGGTCCCCAACGAGACAGAGCCGGACCCCCTCCCGGAGTTCGGTATAGAAGGCTTTGTGTAGAAGTTGCCACAGCCCTGCTGCGGGGCATAGGCATCTCCTACGCCATCAACTTCACCCGATTTCTGTTTACCTATGCAGACAAGCTTGATTGGTTCTCGGAGAGCCGCATAACACTGTTGCCCACGTCGGTTATTTTCAACAACTGGGATCAACCCCCCCGCAGGCAGGCCGATGTCTATTTTCCCTCCCGCTGCGTCGGTCACTTTTCGACCGAATCTTTCAACCACGGCTCTATGGTTTTCAGAGGGCTGTATACACGCGTGCGTGTTTGACTTATCCGGACACGAAGATGCAAGCCTTTAAGATCACCTGCCAGGTCAGAGACGCACGGAATGATCTCCGCAGAGACATGGGAATCGGTTCGGTTCAGGCCCGCCGTCTGGTCAATGCGAGTAATCTGGATTCGTATGAGGGCAAGATTTACTAGTAGCAGGTCATGGCTCGGATGGTGAACCTGATGTCTCTGAAGCAGATCCGAAGAGGGGGGAATTGATATTTTTATCAGTAGATGCATCTCCCGCTCGAATTGGAATCTTGCAGAGTCGGAGTCAGGACTTCCGGATCTATGCAACTCCATGGCTCTGGCTGAGCAGTTTTCAAACAGCACCAGAAAACGTGGGAGACGTGATGATTGCCACGCTGGTTGTGCCAAGACTGGCGGATGTGTGACACGACAAGCCAATGCTAACCATCTACACGGCAAGTGCAACGCTTCATCACCCAAACGGCGTCCCTAATCGGCTCCCCTCCCTGCAATAGGCCTATCATCGCTCTACACTCCCGGCCTGAAGTGAGCCTGACGAACGGCGGCCCCACAGCTCGCTCTTATCACCGTGTCCGAGTGGGGCCGTGATCGACCTTGGGGGGCCACCGCTCCATATCTGTCAAACATCAACCCTCCTCCCCCTCCTCGTTACCCCTTTTGCCCCTACCCCGTTTCTCACAACTCTCCTTTTTGACGCTGCGCTAAGAATGGCACGCCCGAAACGGCCATCGAGACTTACACCGGGGACTAGATACCATGTCGCCAAGAGCTCCAGCCTCTCCCCCCTGATACGGGAAGATCTTTACATAGAAACAAAAAACCCCAACCCCCCCCCTGCCCCGCTCAAGAGACCTTTATAGTCGAGCATAACAAAACCGCCAAGAAGATAAGATGCTTCAAAGTTTACATGGGTAATAAACGAGATGGCCCCCACGGATTTGTTTTCTGCGGCGATTTAGAGCGTTTGGGCCTTCTCTCTCTCTCCCGGGGAAGGGAGGCCTCGCCCAAGCTCCGTCGTCTTTCCTCTCGTCCTCGAACAGTAGTCGAGCTTGGCGCGGGACCCTCACGAATCGGCTTCTCTCCCGGACTCATACGGTATCGACCCTCTGTCACTCCGAGCTAAGGACGAGCGCGGATACCGTGCGGCTCAGGCGTACACGTATAAACGCCTGCTGCTATTTGGGCACTTCTGAGTGACCGCTCTTTTCGACCAGGGAGCTCAAAAGACTTGAGATGACAAGAGGCGCCATTGCACATCCTCATGCCGTCCAATCTTGGCGCGTGTCGGAAGGTCGGGCCCGGCCCGCTGCCCGAGCTTTTTTTGTGCTTGGGCTTGTGCCTGTTCGCCTCCACTGATGCTGCGGCTGCGGCTGCGGCTGCAGACAAGTCTCGGGGGGCGGGCGCCCTCCGTTGGTTGAGGACAAGCCACCAGACAACAACAACAACCGGACACACGCCAAGGCTGCCAGCACAAACACAGCTCAACGAGTCCCTCAATGCCGTGACGTCGACACGGATCGGGGATTGTATCATCGGCACAGCTTTCTGTGGGGACCATTCGCCGCCAGCTCCGTCTTTTGCATCCTGGTCTAGGTATGGGAATTGTATCGAATGCGCGAATGGAGCACGAAGACGTTCCAAATTGGGTAATTGCAGGGCAGGCAGTGCTCGGTGCGCCAGGTGCTCTCTGCCGGCATAGCGGTCGGTCACATGCCAGATTCGGCCCCGTCGATCTCTGCCCGCGTCCCTCACCTCTCATCTGCCAAGAGACCAGCGGCCGGGAATTTACATAGTTGCAGCAGGGAAGAGGCTAGCAACCTGTGGTTGATGCAGGAGCGATCCCCAGTGACTCCTTCCTAAGCTGTCTCGCAGCTAACAAGGTCGACTCGCAGGCCTGTACCTCTCTGCAACCCGCAGCTGATACGACAGAACTTTAGATTAAAGAAAAACATGGTTTTTTGACCAAACCCGACAACTGAGATTTTAACTCCAGCTACTTTACAAGAGACTCGGGACAAACTATCAAGCGCACGTCACAAAACACTCACACTCACGACAACCCGCCGTCCCCCCCGGGGGTAGGTAAACGGTCTACAGCCAAAGAAAGAACGAGACAAAAATCAATCTTGATAGACGGAAACTAGTTGAAACTATCGAAACCCGCCAGCCTCGGCACTGGAAGGGCCCCCCTGTCGCCATGTCCAATCTCTACCCCACGTGTCTCAATGAATCGCGGTCTTCCTTCCCCGGCCCAATCTGCCCTCAGTAGTGTAGCCCCTCCATTCCAGCTCACGCGTCGTCACAACCGGCGCAGTGCGCACAGAGAAGAAAACATGAAGAGGTGGGGGAGGGGGGGAACAGCAGGTGCAGAAGTGGCAGCGAACGACCGCCAAACACGCAATCAAAGCAAGGCGGCTCACTCCAATCGACCTCGTCACCCCACACCATCAGGTTTCGCACAATTGGAAGGGAGAGAGGGGGGGGTTGGTGAGCTGTCTTGCCGTCCACCACCAGCTCTCAGACTGCGGTAGCACACGATCAACAACGCAGAAAGAATGAGAGACAGAAAAACTCACAGTCATCAAACGCGCCAGGCCCAGATTGGTCAGACGAGCCCGGACAGAGAGAGAGAGTGTGTGTGTGTGTGTACTCCGTAAGAGATGAAGGTCGCTGATGCCGTGCAAGCCCCCCCATGCCGCTTGGCCAGCGGGGGTCATATGTCAGATCGGTGCATGAATGGTCCACCGGATGGAAGCTTGGTGTTCCATTCTTCAACCTCTATCTACCCTTTTGCGGGCGGGTTGGGCAATAGCGAGCATGTTGATAAGCAGCCATGCGCGCGGAAAGAAGCTTCCTCCAGTTGCCATCGCCCACTCGCTGCTTCCACCCCCACCTTTTTGGTCTTTTGACACATGCATTCCTGACTCTCCATCCGCCCTTGCCTTCCCTTGATCCGCGCGAGCCCGGCTATGTGACCGTATGGCCGACCAAAGTGAGAACGCAGCACAGCCGACGGTATCCTCAACACCCACCGCCCGTTCCCATGACGACTTTGCATTCTGTGCCCCTCCCTTTCCCCCTCTCTGTTTGTCTGTCTGTCTGTCTGCCTTCAACTAGCATTTCGTCTCGTTGGTAAATTACAGGACCGTGGGGACGATACAGGGCTCACAGCTGAATGATGCACGGAGGAATTTCTGCCCGCCAAAAGACCAGGTTTATATCAGAATCTCGTTGATCCCCCCACTTGGTATTCCATTTATTTATTTTCTGGTAACGTGGCCTTCTGCCGTTTCCCTTTCCCTTTCCCAGCGAATCTGCCAGTGGTCCCGTTTCCCTCCAGGCCTCTGTATCTTCGAGACAGTCTTGCCCAGTTTTCTTCATGTCTGTCTGTATTTGAAAACCTGCTCGTGTCCATGATTTGATGCTGCGCCCGCGTGATATAAAAAAGGACAAAATAATCAAGCCGAGAGGATGCCTGCGCCAAAAAGTTTCCCGTGGGTTCTCCCACACAAATCCCAATCGCTTGCCTCATAACGGACTTTCTTCGGTTTCCTGCACCTCGAAGAAATGGCTTTGACACAGAAAATCATAACCGCTCTCTCTCTCTCTCTCTCTCTCTCTCCGGAGCATGCCTGTGGTGAATAACAGTCTCAGCCCAGGAGGGCCGGGTGCCAGTCAGACTGGTGCTCGTCAGGGTGCTCGCCGTAGTGGACGGGGCCGAGCTTGAGGAAGCGCAGCCCGCCGGCGGCACCGTTCTTGCTGGCGTCGCTGCTGACGCTCGAGGTGCGGCGCTTGAGGGGGGCCGGCTCGGTGACGGCGGCGGTGGCGGCG